CTTGTATATCAGACATTACTCATTTTATTTATGCATCTCTAGGTTTAGTTGAATCTTATTGGTTTTTGTTTATGCCTAGTTTCCTCACACTGCTAAAGACACTAGCACGCACGCGAATACTTGTCCCAAAATTAGTTTGCACATGTTAAAACCCATTTCTCTCTCTTATCTCTCTTGTCACAAGATAGGTAGTTGAAGAAAGTTACATCATTATCCTTAAATAAAATATATATATAACCTGTTAAGTTGAATACAAGTAGATTGCATGTGTATACAGTATGTGTAATGTATGTGCGCAGCAGGTACCATGTGCGTTATTTATGATAAGAATGTATCGAGTATATACGTAAGGAAATAATTGAGATAAGTCCCAGGTTAGTCTGATGTCAGACAACATATTTATAATAACACATTGTTAGATTATATAACAGTATGTATATACTTCTTTGTAATGCTCAATAACTTTTTGGCTTCTAAAACCATCCCTATCAATTTTGCGACTCAGTGTTTGAGAGGGATGGTAGCATACTGTCAAGGGGTCGAATCATTTGTTGGCCAAGATTTTTCAAGCCCAATTTTCACATGTAATACTCAATAGGTTTTTGGCTTCTCAAACCATCACTATCAATTTAGAGCCATAGTAGTTGAGAAGTAGTACCTGGTTTTAAAATTAGTGTTGGCCATGATTTTTCAAACTCAGTTCTGACATACTCAAAAACCATTAAACCTTTAGCACTCATGTAAATATAAACTACCCCAGTCAAAAAAATCAAAGAAACATGATACAGTTTATACTGGACCACCCCATCCCATCAAATTATCTCTGAGTTTTAGATAGTTGTACAGGACTAGGAGAAGGATTTGTAAGGGTTATTTCCCCAGAATCAACTAGTTTTATTCACTAAAAATTATCAAATGACTTAGCCTTTGGGAGCGGGTGGAGTAGCCTAGTAGTGTAATATTGCACCTGAAGCTCTGTCTGACCTGTCAACTCTGGCTTGCGATCGTGAGTTTGATCTCTGTTGTAAGCATATATGACTTCTCAAAACCTTGTGTGGGTTTTCTCTGGGTAATCCAGTTCCTCCCACCACATAGACCCATGTGCAATGGGTTGAATATACTAAATAAAGGTGTTCTGTGATCATGGCCAGATTAAGGGGGGGGGGGGCTGACTGGACGGCAGTTAAGGACCCAGGCTTTAAAGAGGCCTCCAAATTATTTATAAAAAAAACCAAATTCTACCATAAATAAATATGTCATATGTTACAGTCAAGTTGAACATATCGACATAAAATTTCAAATTGCATCTGTGTGAGTGTGACGGACAATGACTAGAATATGCCCACTTTTCACTGTTCATGCAAGCTACCCATTCCATTCTCAACCAGGGGCCCCATACAGGCCTAATCCAACCCTATTTTTGATGTCACTCAGATTAAAAGCAGACTAAATTAACCAGTGAACCAAAACTCTCTGGAAACAGTAGGGGGTGTTGAATAGTACTAGTAGTAGATACTGTAGAATGTATGTCTATAAGTTACCATAGTAACTGATAAGTTTGGCAGGTGATGTTATGGTTTCAGTTTGTATCAGAAGGTTGTAAGAAATGGAGTTAGGTTTCACTCTGACTTCCAGTAAACAGACATGACACCAGTGTGATTTATAATCTTGAACATTCTCAATAGTTTCCAGAAATGAAATGAAATTGGGTTTAACGTGTGATTTTATATCTTGTACATTCTCATTAGTTTCCTGAAATGAAATAAAAATGGGTTTAATGTCCTACTGTTCTGCTTCGACAGGGTTAATGAAGACAAGCATATGCTCGTCATAAAGTGTGCTAGAAGGTGATTTTAGCCTGGACAGCGTTACTATACAGCCTACTCTTATATTGAATTCAATGTGTACACAGGACCTCAGTTTTTCGTCTCATCTGAAAGACTATAGTTCCTGGTCTGGGAAATCGAGACAAACTGGTTAATAAATGGGTGCATTTATGGAACATCTAGTGTCACATTTCAGCATGGATATTGTTTTTATGTGACTGATTGTTGTGATTATAGTTAATGAAATGTGTATTTTGAATGATGACTATGATTGATGTAAGAAGCCTTGACAGTTGGATTAAAAATGAAGAGTGGAGGAAATGCCACTGCCTGGCCAAAATTTCCCTTATTGCAACCCGCATGTCTTCATTAGTCCACTTGGTGCAGAAAAATACTAAATTAAACTTCATTTCCAACCATTTCATGTCAAACCTCTTGGGAGAAGGGGGTGGATGGCCGATTGGTTAGAGCATGCGCATTGTATCATAAGGTCTGTCATTGAGTCAACTGGCGTAATTTCGATTCCCCGGTTGTAGGTGACAATGAGTAGGGTCGCCTGTCCAACCTGTGGGTTTTCTCCAGGTCCTCCGGTTTCCTCCCACTGCTAAAGACCTGTATGTGCAAGTGAATTATTGAAATAAAATTGAACCATATGTTAGTCCCAAAATGACCTGGTTTGTGTCAAGTGGATGTTATCCCCATTTCTCTCTTGGGAGATTGGGTGGCCTAGTGGTTTAACAGGGGTGCATGAAATCACAAGATTCGTCATTGAGTGAAGTGGTGTGGTTTCGATTTCCCACTTGTACATGACAAGGAGTAGGGTCACCTGTCCAACCTCATGGGTTTTCTCCTTGTCCTCTGGTTTCCTCTCACTGTTAAAGACCTCTACGCGCAAGCGAATTAATGAAATAAAATTTAACCATATGTCAGTCCCAAAATGACCTGGTTTAGTGGACCTTAAACCACATCTCTCTCTCTCTCTCTCTCTCTCTCTCTCTCTCTCTCTCGTCATATGTTTTAGATTGAAATGTTAATTAAAGTACTAACTGATGCCATTTAAATTAAATGATAATTTAAATAAAATGTTTAACTATATAACCTGCATGTAATTTAATTACTTGGATGTTGGGTGCTTATGGTACCTAGGATATCATGTATGATAAATAAGACTGGATTATTGTAAAATACAACCTCGAGTAGGTCATTGATATGGAATTACTTAAATCAAATCATGAGTGCAGGTAACTGTAAGCCCCAATGGATTTGTTACATTAAGGCACCATGGTAGACATCAATGTTAAGGGTCATGGTAGATATCAACATTAAGGGTCATGGTAGACATCATTGTTAAGGTGCCATGGTAGACATTAATGTTAAGGTGTCATGGTAGACATCAACATTAAGGGGCTGTGGTAGACATCAACGTTAGTGGGCTGTGGTAGACATTAAAGGAGCTAAATCGCAAATATTTGGGACCTAGAAATTGACACAAATATTTGGGACCTAGAAATTGACACAAATGGTTTACAAAGCATATAATAATGTAATATGAATGTATATAAACTGTTTTACATTCAATTGTTTCCGTTTTTTTTCTAACTTCAAATCAGTTATGTTCGACGAAATAAGCCAGAAGTCTCAATCAAATGACGATCTCTAGCGTCTGGTTATTCCAGTCTAGATAGTATTTATTAGGCATACTCACCAGATAAGAGTATGGCGGACCGTTTGATGTGACTTGTGAAATATGTCTAGCCTCGTTCTTCAAGTCCCTCAGTAAAAATGGGCCTGAAACGCATTATGGTACACGAATGGTACACGATTCGTGTACCAATGGTAAAATGTTTATTTTGTCTTAAATATTGGATATCAGAAGCCCGTCTTTTCCCGATAAGACCACAACATCAATGTTGATTTAAATTGACAAATAATTCGTGTTTTCAATGTCGAAGACTTTGGATGATATTGACTTAGAGACTTAGCTACTTTAATGTTAAGGGACGGTGGTAGACATTAATGTTGAGGGACATCAATGTTAAGGGGGGGTGGAAGACATCAAGGGGAATGTCCCGGAAAATAAGATGAGCCTGTCGCCCCAACAAGTAAAGCAAATTATTGAAATTAAATTGTACTATGTGTTAGCCCCAAAAGGATATAATTGTGTCGAGTGGGCATGAAGCTCTCTCTTTATTCGGATTTTGTTTTACTCTCTCTCTCTCTCTCTCTCTCTCTCTCTGATTTTGTTTTAAACCCTGTGAGACCAAATGCTGTGTAGATTATAATCTAATGGTGTATACTTGATGTACCTGAGCCAGGTGTTAAGCATTAAACATCTATAATAAACTCCAGCCCTATCTATAAATAGATCACATGCATTCTTCTAGAATATACCATGAGTTGTTCATAGAGTATTTCTTACTCATCCGATATACTGCTAATATAAGGTGTATTTCTCAAAATGGTACGACACCCTTATCTAATTTAATTATATAATCTAGACACCATTTTGAACTAAGTGACAGTTGGAACCCAATAGTTTTCGATGATAAAGTAGGAACCCAATAGTTTTCGATAATTCTCAACTAATTTGTCAACAATTTATCAACAATGGTTTGAAACTAAACATTAAATACTGAAACCTCTGCTATAACAGCACAACTACATTATACCGGAGTTGTAGCTGGTAATGTGGATTCTAGCGCAGGTTTATTATTTATTGAATTTTATATGGAAAAGTAAATAATTCTGATTAGCATCTCAATATTTATTTACCTTTATTAATATGTGGTAGCCATACGTACGTCATGAACATTTCATATATTATGCTATATGCGGTAATCTTACTGGAGAGTAACCTAGACAGAAGACACCTGTAGTAAATTAATAATATAACATATACGTATATGCCAGTGACAGGTGCCTTGTGTCCAGGCTTGCTGGAGAGGTGTATTTAATGGAGGGTACCGGTAGTAGGATGTTAAACCCCATTTCATTTACAAAGAGGATTCCTACACACATGCTTCAGGAATTATCTTCATATATTAGTGGAATAGTGTTGAGGAACAGCCTAGGCCTATTTTGACTCTTCTTCATGTTCTGATATTAAACTGCTGGTGGATGTATCATAGTTAATCATTTCAACCCCAGTTAATTGTTTCAATTTTTCTATTACAGATACAACCAATGCCAAAATGGATTTTGAGATTCCAGCAGATATTGGTAAGAAAATATTGCATTTTTTTGCTACTTTTAGTTAACTATATAAAATACTAGCTACATTGTACTGGTAAAGATCGCTGATGCTTCCTTATATGAGTTCCATGAAATCCGGAGTAGTATAACTTGAACACCAGAAGTAGTAGTACAACGCTAACAGACAAGGCAAAATTTGACCTTACAGTGTATATACCATAAATTTTAGCGTTGGGGCAGCCCTGGTGTAAGTCTAGTTGGAATGTGTGGTTTTGAGTAGAATATGTGTGTGCAGTTAATCTGGTTTTGCTAATAGTCTGTGTCAACACTTTCTTGCTTAAGATAAGAACGTCAACGTTTTTAACCTTTAGATTTTGGTACATGTAAATATTGACTTGAAGAAAATTAAAGAAAAGAGAAACAAAATGTATATTCCATATTTCATACCGATATATGTCTGACTGTCAGAAACTACTGTTCTTAGATCACCTCAAACCGCCCAAGTTATAAAAATAGCTGAACAGTATTAGTTATGAGTGTAAACAAGTGTGTTTATATATATATTTGAAAGGCGTATTAAAGTTTGTGTCAGACTGATAAAACTGATAATATAATATTTTGGGATAATCAGAGACACCGGGAGTTGAGATAAATCATCTGGTAATAAAACGGATAAACTCTAACTTACTTTCTTTAAAAACAGATAAAATACAATCATTATCACAGTTTAATACGTCTTACTAGTGGTAATTTACCAACCATAAATATAGGTTTAAACCTATTTTTAATCTTACGTTGTAGTGCTGCCTTTTTGGCAAAACTCTGATAAACATGTCTTTTAGTGCTGGTAGATGTAAATATAATCAGTAATGATCACACAACAGGGAGGGGTGTGTACAGAAAAATGAGTAAGGGGTCCCTATTTCGGCGTGACTGACCGCGGAACTTCAAGGAGGATATGAGGTTCACCTTTTAAATGTATAGACTGTCTACTAGGCTCTCTCCTGACAGGATAGTGATATGAGATTATTAAAAGACTTGGCAACAGGCGACATGAATCACTCCACCTGTGTTACTACACCTATTCTCAAATAATTAAACTCATTTGTTCTTTGTCAAATTTCCTAAATGCCAGAACCAAATATGTACAGATAAAATGCTTTGAAAGTATCATAAATGGTGCTGAATGCTTTGAAAAAATAGAGTTTCATAACTAAAAAAAACAGTCATTAATAATTACTTTTTGAGTTACAGCTCTTGCTTCCCTGATTCAAAGCTTATTCTGTTCTGGAATTGATATTGATCAAATATCATGTCATGAGTAATTTGCAAGAAACGGAGCTTCTGATATTTGGCATACAGAATGTTTGAATTCCTCATGTCCGTAGGAGCGCCCAGCCCCTTGCCCCCAGTGATGTTCTGATGAGAGGTAGGGGGGTCGGGGTGGTCTAGTTGTTTAACGTGTGCGTGGAATCACAAAGTCTATCATTGAGTCAAGTGGCGTGGTTTCGATTCCTGGCTTGTACAGTACATGTAGATGACAAGGAGTCATCTATCATTGAGTCAAGTGGCGTGGTTTCGATTCCTGGCTTGTACATGTAGATGACAAGGAGTCATCTATCATTGAGTCAAGTGGCGTGGTTTCGATTCCTGGCTTGTACATGTAGATGACAAGGAGTAGCGTTGGATTTTCTCCAGGTTCTCTGCGTTCCTCGCACTGCTAAAGACCCCTATACGCAAGCGACTTAATGAAATAAAAATGAACCGTATGTTAGTCCCAAAATGACCTGGTTTGTGTCGAGTTGGTGTTAAACCACATCTCTCTTGCTCTCTCTCTCTGATTATAGGACACTAACTGTTTTATGAATATTAGATTAATAAACTACATGTTATATTTCAGATTTAAGTAAATGCCCAGGTTTGGTTCCGACACCAGCTCATTGTCCGGTATGGAAGAGGGAGATGATAGACAAGAAAAATAAAGACAGAGTTGAAGAATATGTTGTAAGTTTTATTGAAGATTACAGAATGCTAAAGTAAAATTCTACTCTCCCGAAAATGAGATCTGACAGGTCAGGCGCGAGGATCACCTTACACCTCAATCATGGAACTGATCAATAATTAGGGGGGAGTTGGGTGGCAGAATGGTTTAACATGTAAGGTTAAGATCATAAGGTCTGTCATTGAGTCAAAATGAAATGAAATGGGGTTTAACATCCTACTGTTCTGCTCCAAACTGGGCTAATGAAGACAGGCATACGCGATACAGTGTGCTCTGAGGAAAATTTTGCCCAGACAGCGGCACTATGGTCTACTCTTATATCGAATTCCAACTGTCAAGGGGTCTTTTACGTGCACGCCAATGTGTACATGGGACCTCGATTTTTCATTCTATCCGAATGACTAGACAGCTGTCCTTGTCAGGCCCTCCGTCCTGCATCACTGACAAGGGGAACACCCGACCTCCAGGCTAGCGAGCCAGCGTCTCAGCCACCGTGATCCCCGTCATTGAGTAAAGTACTGGGTATTGATTCCCTGCTTGTACGTGACAAGGAGAAGGGTTTGCATGTCCAGCCTTCTGGATTTTCTCTGGTTCCTTCAGTTCCTCCCACTGCTAAATAAATACCCCTTCGTGCAAGCGAATTATTGAAATAAAATTGAACCAAATGTTAGTCCCGAATGGCCTAGTTTGTGTCGAGTGGATGTTAAACCCCCTCTCTCTCTCTCTCTCTAATCAAAAATTAGATCATGGAGCCATTGAGTCAAGTGTGATGGTTAATAGTTTTCTGCAGGTACTCATGTTTCCTCTCACTGCTAAATGTTGTAGGCAAAATATTGAAATTAAGATGCACCATATGTCAGGCCCAAATAACTCCCTCTCCCATCCTTTTCTTCTTTTTTCTCTACCTCACTGTTGATCGTCAGTCTTGAAGTGTACCTCATTTTTGCCATCCATTCCCAGGCGTATGTCAAGAGGGGGATTCCAGGGGGTCCAGACCCACCCCTGCTGGCACAGAGAATATATTTTCTCTCCTATATACGTGGAAATAACACCGTTTTAGCTCACTCCACTGTAATCCTATTATAAATGTATGCACCTAAATGAGTAGAAATATTGTCTCAAAGCTTCTGCATGATTCTATCAAACTTTCCCCGACCTAACGCCTAACTTAACGTTGTCTCCATCTTGGACCCCCTGCTGCTCAAATTCCTGGACTCATCCCTGATTCCTCTCTCATGATTCTTTTGTTTTTTAGCGAGAAATTTTACAAGAAAGAGAAGAACAAGAAAAATGGAAAAATGTTCCTGAATGGAAACGAAAAATATTAAAACAGAAAGCTGATGAAGACAGAGCTAAAGCTGTAAGAAATATTTTACTGATTATCTCCCCCTTTTATATTAATCTATACCTTATATGGTCATGTGGATAATGGAACGTGGAACCTGTCAACAAATTAATTAAACATTAATTTACCATACAGTGTGCTATGAGGGAAATTTTGCGTGGACAGTATAAGCACTATGGCCTACTCTCATTTAAAACTCCAACTGCCAAGGGTTCTTTTACGTGCACACCTATTTGTACATCTGACTACACCTAGAACTTCATGGGTTCTTACTCTTAATTAGTTTTAGTTCCATGTAAATGCTCCCATTACCTACCAAAGAATAAATTTGTGAAAATCTTTGTGTGAGGCTTGGATAACTCAGCTGTGGTGTGTGTATATTCTGTTGCCCGGCAACCTGTCATCTCCTCATTCTGTTTATTTTTTCACAGAAAGCCACGAAGGAAGGAACAGCCCCTCCGCCACCAGAACAAAAAACTACACAGCAGGAACTTCTGCACGCTGGTCAGGGACATAGAGAGGACAATTTTGTTCCAGCGGCCATGAACATTGATCCAGAAGAATTTGAAAGCATGCCTCCATGGAAACAAGAACTGTTAACCAAACGTAAAAATATCCCTGTTACATTCAACAACGAATTCAATCCAGACGAGGAAGAAGAACCGCAACCCCAACGTCAAGAATACAATCTGGATGTCAAGATGGCGAGTTGATTTCCTTCAGTGACGTTGAATTAAAAACTCTTAAACTACGTTAAAATAATGAACAATGTGATGTAATGATATTTTAAGACATGCTACACTTCGCGTTTAAACTCCATTTCAAGGTAAACTGTAAAGAACAGTGCGTTAGTTTAACAGAGTAGCAACTACTGTGCAGCATTGAATATCGCTCGCTCGTTGGCAATAATTCTATTAATCTTTATTGTAAAATACGAATTGGTCAGATTGCCGTTAATCCAAACCAAGAAACTCTCCAGATTTAAAATCTTTTCTCTTTGTTTATGACAGATTTGGAATCTATGCATACTGTTTTGGACAGATTTTTAAAATTTGAATTTAGTTGCAGGAATCTGTGAATGGTTCCAGTGACGGTTTATTCACAAATTGACAGATGAGATGGTGGATCAAATCTGGATGAAGAAAACAATTTTCAGATTTGAATTTGGAGAGAGAGTGAATCTAGATTTGGATATTTGGCAATCAAGTAGAATTCAGTGGTTCCCAACCTTTTTCCACGACCAGACTCCTTGGGACATTTAACAAAATCCCAAAGACCCCTTGAATTTATTCACTGCCACCATTTTCCACATTAATCTTTGATTCATCCTAACATGGCCTCTCTTAAAGGCTATTCTGAACATAAAATGTGGTACATTAACCCATAGAAAGACGGTCGCCATTCCTATAATGTGACTCAGCTACAGAAATCTCCAAATAACAACAATTTCATACTGATTTTACATTTCCTCTCTGGTTTTTTTCATGGACCCCTTTACCTTGTGGACTTCTCCGAGTTTGTGGGCCTTAGGTTGGGAAACACTGGCTTTCATGTAGATAACTGAAGTTTACATCATTTTTTAGTTTCAAAAATAAATTGTCAATTTTGAAAACCAGAAAACCAAGAGTTTAAAATTGACAAATCGGTTAACTTTTTTTCTCAAGATATTACTGCTGAATTAAATTTTTTACACAATTTTCGAAAATATTTGTCATAAATAGAATTTATTATAAATTTGTGTTTTGTAAACAAAAAGCAACCAAAATCATTTTGTTTATGACTTGTATGTTTTATTAATGATTTTAGTAGGTAAATGAAAGCTTTTTCTTATTCTGAAGGATTTATGATAAATTGTAAGTACATGTATATGTTTATTGATAAATAAATGGCTGTGTTAATATTATCTAGGCTATTTTCAATCAAATCATGTAACAATAAGGCTATGTGCACACTTTGATTGCAAGGCTGCTTTTAACCAAACAATGTTATAATAAGGCTATGTTCACACTGTGAATTTAAAGGCTGCTTTTAACCAAACCGTGTAATAATAAAGCTATGTTCACACAGGGAGAATGTCTGGTGGCTGGAAGGCATAAAACATTTTTATTCTTAACTTATAAACTACTCTGACTTGTTAACCTCTCTATGCTTTTCATAAATGTTTTATGGCTCTGAGCCCATATTCTTAAAAATTTAAACCAAAATATATTAAGAATGAAACCCAAGAGCTAAAACTTGTACTATGATTCTTACTTTCAACCAATGAAGAGGCCCCATTCTTAACATATTTTAGTTTGAATTTCATGAATAAACCCCTGGGCTTTGATAAAATCTGAATGTATTTATAAAACGTAATCTGTTGATATGTGGATGTTTTTTATTTCAGTGTTTATAAGATAGATTATTGTATTAATGATGTAAGTTGTATTATAAATAGAGACAGTTATTATTTTATTAGATAACCAACATGTGTTTATAATAGTATTTATATCCATATTTAAAGCTTATGCAATCTTTTTCAACCAATCACAGCAGCTGTAACATATGATAGCTATATATATATAAGCTTACTGCTGATTTGGTCCTGGTCAAGTCAAAATTTATTAACGAAAATATATTCTGTTGTTTTGTTAAGAACTTTTCAATTGTCTCAGTCAATTTTATATTAATTGCTAAGTTATTTCTCAGTCACTTCTAAAATATTATATAGTAGGTTTGCTTTGTTTGTGTCATTCTTGGAGATTAAAGGGAGATAACTCTTACCCAATGGCTGTTTTGCCAGGATACTTTGAGTTTCTCGATAGATGTACAGAACATATCAAGACTAGAATTTTTATCAAGTCCTTTTTTTCTTCCATTATTCCAAAAGTGTTCTTGCCAATTTATTAAGAATTAAAATTTCTATCCCCTACCAGGTCACATAATGTTCAATCAAACCCTGGAATATTATGTTATTTGAAGTTGAAATGTTTTATCCAGAATTTTGATGATCTTTTTTTTATAAAATTTTAAGATAATTCTGACAGTATTATTAGAGAAGTTTTATTTGTACATAGTTTTGAATTATTTATATGTATAGCTTTTACAACATGTTTGTATCATTTCATAACAATCGAGCTCCATGTAACCTTCTCTGATTTTAAAATGAGAAACAGAGACTCTGTGAATTGGATTTACACTTTCAGTTAGGTGACAGTTTTCTGTGACAGATGAAGCTATTGGCCCGCAGCAAAGCATCCTGGGTGGCAGTCTTGCTGAAGCAAGTTGTCTGACTGTGAAAAGTTGCCTTGCAGCAATTGTCCAAAGTCTTGGTTGTGCTGAAACAACTGTCATTGTAGGCCGTTCGCATAAAACAACTGTCATTGTAGGCCATTAGCATAAAATAACTGTCATTGTAGGCCATTAGCATAAAACATCTGTCATTGTAGGCAGTTATCCAAGAGCAAGTTATTGTAGGCAGTTAGCATGAAACAACTGTCATTGACGCCAGTTATTCTAGTGTAGTTCTCATTGAAGCTAGTTACCATATAGCAATAGTGATCTGTTCTCCCATTTTATTTTTTTAATGCGTATATATATAGCTCACCCTGTCATCACCCCATCCCATAATGCTCAAAGTTTAACCATCATTAGCATCATTTTCTTCCTGTAAATGAATATAAAGAGAATAGTTTATATTTCTTCTGATAAAATAATTTTTAGCTTTCAATATGCATGTTTTAATTATTTATCGTTAAAGAATCTCTGTTTTTTTGTTATAGAGAAATATTTGTTTATCTGCTGGCCTACAGCGAAAGGCTTGTAAACAAAGTGTTTATTTATTTTGAAAGCCTGCGAGTGTTATTCATAATTCTGCTAGCAGCAACACGCCTGCTCCTACTAGCCTATGTATATACATAATATATTGTCGAATCTCTTCTCTCTAATAAATGTTTTGTATTGTGTGCAGTATTAAACATTATATAAAATACAGATATCAGTTTTACATCGTCTCTACTCAATAAAACCATTTTTTGAAGAGCAAAATGAAATCAAATGGGGTTTAATATCCTACTTTGTAGAGAGAGGGAGGGAGTCCAATCGAAACAACTGGGTCATTTCGGGATTAACATATGAATTCAATTTTATTTCAATAATTTGCTTGTGTGTAGGGGTCTTTAGCTGTGGGAGGAAACCGAAAGACCCACAGAAATCCCACAAGGTTGGACAGGCAACCCTACTCCTTGTCACCATGCCACTTGACTCTCATGTCATACCACTCGGCCACCCACTCCCATGCCCTACTTTGGGCTAATGATGACGAGCGTAATACAATGTGCGATGAGGGATATTTGCCTGGACAGCAAAACTCCGTAACCTACTCTTATTTCCAACCATCAAAGATTATTATTTTTTGTCCAATCTTAATGACTAGACACTGTCCTTGCCAGGCCCTCCATCCGGCAACACTGACAAGGGGAAACAATGCTGGAAATTCTGGGGAACTTTCTCAGCCAACACATGGGTCCCTTGTTGAAAATGTCACTGAAGCCATTACATTAGCAGTGATAAAGGGGCATTTTGTGGTCATTGTCAGTCACAATCACATAAATGTAATTTGTCAGTGTGGTAGATTTATTTTTTTATAGCTAAATTGGGGGACCCTTTAATATTGGGGCCCTGGCTGCAACCAAGTCATCCACTCTGAATCCAGGCCTGCCTATAACTCAGATGTTTGACCACAATCATTTATAACTACTGCTAACGGACCACAATTTACAGTTTCATGATAAGAAACCACCAGATAAATTCCTAAGGGGATCATAGTTAAGATATATGAAATCCATTGGGGGGGGGACTCGGACCGTATCCAGGAATAGATTATTAAATGTCAAAAATTATATAACTCACTGAGCTCTGATGACAATCATATCAAATATCACTGGCTCACTATGCATGAGTCGCGAGTTCGATCCCAGTGTTAGTGGAGAAAGTAGCCAGGATTTTCCAGCCTTTTTGTGATGGGGGACAGAAGGCTTGTCAAGGAGTTTTGTCTGGTCATTATTTCATTTTCATGTGTTTGTGCAATTTAGTTAGGCTCGTTCCAGTGGCGCAGCAATGATTCCCAGCAATGGGTGATGAAAAAAACAAATATTTCCGACCAAGAGGTACAAGGAAAGAAAGACAACCATGCGGAGTGACCAAATTAAATACTGCCTTGCTCTTGATGAATACACACTGCTGATTGAAATGTGTGAACGTCTTTTTATAAAATATATTGGTAACTCATTCACACGAAATTTGCATATTTCTTGCCCTAACAGATCGAACAAAGCTATTAAAAGATAATTAAAAATTCTGAAGCTTGATATGGATATAATTATGTTTATATTATAAAGGCTGGTATGTTGATACACACTTCATTAAACACACTGGGTCAAATGAACCATACAGAATACATAAATCAACAAGAGCTTTGCTAACACTGCAATATACGTCCACATTCAAGGTTTGATTGATATGGTACTTTTTAACATTAAGAGAATGAAATGTGAAATGGCTGCAATGACTGTAATATGACAAAAGGCAAAGAAGGCCAGGCGTTGGGTTTGGTTTGTCAAATGTACAGACTAAATATTAACAAAAAAGTGGGCATGCACCAAAATAAATAGTTGCTGTCTTTACAGTATATGGAATAAATATGCAAAGTTCCAAGATAATTTAGAATTGCAGCCTGTAGACAATAAATACAAAAATTGGGCATGGCTCTGCCCCTGGGAGTTGGATATGGAACAATATTAATAGGTACCACCCCGTTATTGAAATGATTTATATGCTGATTTTGTACAAAATCTATAGAGTATTAACAGATAAAAATTAACAAAAAAGTGGGTGGGGTACCACACCCCTGGGGGTCGGGACATGCAAAAAAATAAATAGTTGCTATCCTTACAGTATAAGGAATAAATATGCCAAGCTCCAAGATGATCCATTTAGAATTCCAGCCTGTATACGATAAACACAAAAATTGGGCGTTGCCCTACCCCTGGGGGTCGGGACATGCGGCTGTCGTCCTTAGGCTTTAAGGAATACATATGCCAAGTTCCAAGACGATCTATTAGAAATCGTGGCCTGTAGGTGACACACAAAGAACAAATTGGTGTGTCTCTGCTCCTGGGGGTCGGGCATGCACCAAAAACAATAGGGATCATCCTTACGGTCATACGCATACGGGCTCGATATGACAGTTAGGGGGCAGAACCCGAAAGGCCCGAAAAAATTTCGGGTTTACAGAATGCGGTGCCAGTCTTCTGCGAGACGGTGTATGGACCACCACCCCCACCCCCCTCCCCTCCCCTCCCCACCTCTCCCTAAGAAAATTTTGGAATATTTGACTGCCTCAAACGCGTATTCCTGCTATTACAGCCCGTGAACAAAGCAACTTCAAACCAATCACATGATTAATTGCATCATAATTAGCCAATAGAATAAGTAATGGCTGTGAATCTGAGGCGCGTAAAGTATTCATATCATGGCACGGAAAGATGTGGCTTGTGAGAATGTACGAGTTAGCTCATACTGGCACGCGTTGTAACCAAAGAAATAGCACACGTAACCATAGAAAAAACCCATGTAACCATAGAAATAGCACATGCAACCATAGAACACGCGTAACCATGGAAACAGCATACGTAACTATAGAAATAGCACACTTAAACATTTATGTACTTTATACATCAAAAAACAAATCGTGGACTGATATTAATCAACGTGTTGATGGGCCGTCAAATGAAAGAAAACAGACATTTTAAAAAAATGAATTGAGGTTGCGATATCAAATAAGCATTAGCAGTTAGCACTTTGGAGGTTGATAAAAAGAAAAACAATTTAACTTGCATGCTTGATAACGACCAGTGAAATCTTGTCGAAACTTCGTGTGTATATAATATAGTGATTGTTATCCATAGAACTGTGTCGTGTTATAAAATTGACTTGATGTTTCATAATTTTCTCGAAAATATATATTTATATATTTGTATATTTTTCATATAACATTAGGAATAGGTGACGCGTGACACCTAACAAAATTAATATAAATGTTAACTTGTTTTTTTATGTTGCTGACAAATTTACGTTTGTTAGAAGTGTATTATAATAATATATCGCTAAATTAAACCTAGGCTATGTATTCGAAGACTTGGAGCGTGGTGGGGGCGGTGGGTATAAGTCATCAGGGTGCGAAAAGAAGAAAAAGTACAAGTAATTAAGGGGCCAATACACGTTAAAAAAAACATATGGAGAAATTTTATACATAATTATGATGTGCTAGTGCCCATACACGATTCAATGATTTTCCACCAAAAATCAATCTCGTCAAAATCTTTGACATGGACGCATCGGTCGCAGTCGCACTAATTCTCGCTTTGGACTCCGACGAAAGGCCGCGAAGGAAATTCTTCAGCATCTTTTTGAGATCTTCTGCCGTGGCGGAAATAAAATACTCACGATACTTCTTCAGTAACATGTCGTACGCATCGGCTTTCTTGTCCCGATTTCTACAGTCAGGTAACTTAATTTTCCACATGGCTGACAAGGTCTTGTACACATTTAGCACTTCAATTAGAAACTTCTTTTCTGCCGCTTTCTTCCCAGACATGGTGATCCTCACACCCAGGCCTGTAGCCATGGCTTGGTGGCTGCGGAGGGGGGGGGGGGGCAAAACATTAACGCCCCTTGCCCCACACTGGCTACGGGCCTGCTCACACCTCGGCGGTCGGTGCGAAATGAAATTTTGTTCAAAATTTTGACAGAAGCCCACAGATGCTTGAAAATATTGACGACCCGTCAATAAATATGTTTGGTGGTTTTATCCGTCAAAATTTTTGAGTCAATGCTTTTTTTGACATCAAAACGTACCATACATGGTCAAGTATGGGCCCCTTTAATTCCAGAATATCCCAAAAATATATTTTTTTTTTTTTTTGCGATCATCAAATCTAGCTTAAGGACAAACCGTTGTGTAACTGTGTTGTGCAGTCTCGGGGTGCGGAAAGAGGAAAAAACCAGCGGCTGCCAGGCAGGATACGCCAACATTTTCGAGAGATGGATAGAGAACAAGCTAAAAAGAAAGTGATTTTTCCTACAATCAGGGGCCATAATTCAGGAAGTTACGGTCCGATATGCGCGAATATCGAAAGGAACCGAGATCTTTGGGTTATAAGCTTACATTTCAAGTTTCAACAAAATCGGATAAAAATTGTGACCTTTATAGGGTCCACAACCTTGATATACCATATTTTTACGCTATTTGAGAACGAATGGCGGCCATTTTGTCTGTCATTGTGTCAATTTTGGGCCGATTTACGGACGTCCGGACGGACAGTTGCGACGACAATATACGTCCACATGAAAATGTGGGGGTATAAAAACAGTAATTAGCTCCAAAATAGCTCAAAAATAGTTTTTTGCGATCGATCATCAAATCTCTTGAAACTGGGTTGCCATCGCCACTCACCGCGACCAGTTTCTCCACTATCTGCCGCTTATTTGTATACTTTCTTTTGTACACGTTCAATGGGTAGATTATGATGGGATCTAAATATAAAGGCCACCTGCAGATTTCGTCATGGACGCGAGATGTAAACAGGGCTAGAGCGTGTTAAACCATTGCCCTTAAGCCAACAAGGAAAACAACATTATTTAGAATAAAATTATTATACAATAAATTGTTCGTTTTATGAAATTCACAAAGCGGGGGTTCTAGAGTAAACATACCAAGTGGCGTGTCGAGAGAAGGGTTAAAGGAGCGGTTGGCCTGGGCAACAAAATCAGGGAATGGAGTGGTGGGGTGGGGTGGGGACATCTAATGAAAGAGAACGTAAATTAAACATGCATTATGCAAGAGCTACATCTGCCTATTGCAGGTCTTTTTTTTTTTAGGTCTTAAATGTTATCTAAATTATTAATTAGACATTAAAGATATATTATGTAAGATTTAGATAAAGAGCTAGACATTCTTGCTATTATAGTTCGAAAAGAGATAATGTAAAATGAATAATTTGAAAATTTCATTCAAATTACTATATTGCGAGCGAAGATATTAGCCTTTGAAGGTTTGACAAGACGTGTGCATAATTTCAACCACCGTACTGGTTGTTAGAAGCTAAATCTCGCTCCTCCATTTTTAGCTTAAATCAAAAGATGGCTGAACTGTTCTAATCTATTTAATATCGGAGAAATCCGACGCCATCGAGAGTTGATTATGGTTTGGCTAAGTTAAACATGCATTATGCAAGAGCTAAATCTGCCTATTTCAGGTCTTTCTTTAGGCCTGAAATGTTATCTAAATTATTAATTAGACATTAATTAACCTATCCAGGCCATAATCAACTCTAGATGGCAGCGCTAGCCTGCGATCTTTAGTGGATTGTAAGCCGATTTACTGCATAACTTTCCTTCTCTATTAAACGATTAAATGGATAATCGAGACTGTTGTTTATCGTACTGACTTTAGTAATGATGACCGAGGCTTATGGGAATTTCAGTCGCTTAGTTCTCGGTTCATAGTGGATCAATTTGAATGAAATTTTCACCAAATTGCCTTTACATTATCTAGTTTTTAACTATTATAGTGAGAACTGCCAACTCGTTACCGAATCTCCCATAATGTATCTTTAATTAATGTCTAATTAATAATTTAGATAACATTTAAGGCCTAAAGAAAGACCTGCAATAGGCAGATTTAGCTCTTGCATAATGCATGTTTAATTAACCCATCAGTGGATTGATGATTTAACGTTTTTTGATTGATGATTTAACGTGAAATTGGATAATCGAGATTTTATTTATTATCGTAACTACGGCAGTAATGAAGATCGAAGCTAGCCTAAAATTCAATGGCTAATATCTCGGTTCAGAGTGAAGCAATTTGACTGAAATTTTCATCATATTTTGTTTTCATTATCTATTGTTTAACTATTACAGCGAGAACTGTCAGCTCTTCATCTAATCTTACCTAATACCCCATTTAGTTTCTTGATATTTGAAATTTTATTTTTGTTGTCCACCCAGGGTGTTGTGACCACATTACTGAGTCCAAGTAACTTCTATGTAATTATATTGAACATAGATAATTAACAAATGTTTACAAGAAAAAGATAGATCCGATCCGTTCTAAATCATAGCTCACTCTGTATTTGATATACAGTTCTACAAAACAATATAATAACCAGTCATGATATATTTGTATTTATAAAGCTTTAACGGGCAATAATAAATTTATTTGGCTCGATCGGGTCGGCTGTCTTTATATCCGTTTAACATTCTACTGTGCAACATATGAAACCAAAATAAAAATGTCAAAAACTGTTTTAATGTAGCATGTGACAAATTGCACTCTTTAGTCGGCTATGCTCTGACCTGAGATATATTTCTGGTATGGGAGAGATCTTGAAAATGTCAACCAAATAAAATTGCATCGCTATATATGAGATTAGAATAAGATTTGATTTGATTTTATTTTATTTTATCAATACGTCCATTAAGAGCAGCAAACATGAAAAAAATACAAAAGAACAACTTGGAGGTCCTCTGTTCGATCTCTGTGTTGACCGAAAAAGCTCATCTGGAATTTCCGGCGTGGTTTCTCTAGTCAGAAATGCAAGACGTGGGGCCTGGCAAGGGACTTCGCATAGTCGTTCGGATGGGACAAAAACCCCGAATCCGTTGTAAGCACGTAAAATAACCATATACAGTTGGAATTCGAAATAAGAAAAGGTCGTAGTATCCTGTATGACGTATGTCCGTCTTCATTAGACCAGTCGATGCAGACCAGTAGGCCGTTAAACCTCATTTCATTTATGTTTGCACCCTCTTAGCAATATGCCATTTCACATACAATTATTATCTACTTTTATATTTACACCCTCACTCCCCTTTTTTCAAAAATCTTGTATCCGCCCATTTTAATAGGAAAACCGGTTTTGTGTATGTATTCAATTGTGCCCATATATTGAAATATCTAGATAACCAAACATAAGCCCAGCCTAGTTATAGTGGTGTATACCTGAGCTGAAACTTTTATATATATTTATATATTACCTGGATAACTCAGGTGGGAGTTAAACAACATGTAGGTATTTAAATGGATTAACAACCTTGTGGATTAACAAAGTGCGGTTTTTTAAAGGTGTTATAGAGATCGTAGTGTCGTGTTTTGTACGTGTAAAAGTATAACAAGTGTTACCTGTAATTAAAGGTGTTTTATAGTATAGTTTTAGTACTGTGTTTACCTTCAGGCTGTATTTCACAGGTAACCGGCTGAACAGGTATTTTTGTTTACCTATTACTTTTTACCTGTAGGTAACGAAAGTTTGTTTAATATTCAGGTGCATTCTTCAATGATGGCTAACGGTATATAGGTGGGCGAGTGTTGAAAACATCGCCCTAGAAGTTTTCAAACTTGTGCCAATAATTTCATTGCGTATGGATATATTATTTATTTATCTGGATTTATTTCTTTATGTTATGTAACAAGAAAGCACGAACCCGAGTCTAGAAGTTCTGCAACTAATGCAAAAAATAACTTATCGCTTATAAAGATATTATTGTATTTGTCTAGGTTTTTTTCTTGTACCTGTGTCACCTGTCGCCATAAAGCACGAACTAATACCAAACGAATTATTGCGTATAACGATATTACTGCAATTATCTAGATTTATTTCTTGTCAACAGGGTCGGTTTCTGGCACATTTGACCAATTTCCCCAAATTGGGCCTCGCAGCTCACCAACTTAAACATTTTCCAGGCAATCTGGCAGCAGGGTTGCCAGGTGTGGCTATTTTTAGGTAATTTAATCAATTACTATTTGTGAGGTAAAGCATAGTTGACCTTAAAACTATGAATAAATATAGGCCTAGTTAAAGTTATTCACGTCCTGCAATGTTTTCATATCCTGTAACTTCGGGCCTCCCAAATCGGGCCTCGCATTTTTCACAACCAGCCCTGCTTGTCGATTTAACGTACCAGCTAGTGTCCTCGGTCGTCTGGAACAACCCCCATAATAGATCATGTAGTTTAAGTTATGTAACGGATTAAGCAGCAATCTGGGTCTAGAAGTTCTGCAACTAATGCAAAAAACCAAATGAAAAAAAAACAGCCCAAAAACCCCCTAAAACTATCGTGTATGGAGACATCGTTGTATATTTAGTTTTCGTAGATAAAGAGAGCTTTAGCTTAAAGGAAAATTGAATATGAAGTATCTCGTAATACTACAGTACCACAAGCGTGTATGGAGACATCGTTGTATATTTAGTTTTCGTAGATTTAAAGAGAGCTCGAGCTTAAAGGAAAATGGAATATGAAGTATCTTGGAATACTACAGTACCACAAGCGTTTGTTACCTATATGAACGCCTCGACTGATATCTGGTATTAGGTGTTCTAGAAGGAATAAGCATGCCCTGGCCCATGCACAAAACCATTCACTGAATAGAGGGAGAGAAATGGGGATTAACGTCCACAAACTAGGTCATTTCGGTACTAACATATGGTTTAATTTTAATTCAATAATTCGCTTGCGCGTAAGGGTCTTTAGCAATGGGAGAAAACCGGAGGTCCCGGAGAAAACCCACGAGGTTGGACAACCGACCCTACTCCTTGTCACGTACAACCGGGGATTCGAAACCATCACTGAATAGATAAACAAGTGTGGTATGGCTACCTGTCTGTATTGTTGGTATAATATTTGTACCCATAGCTGACCTTGTTTATTATAAAAACATTATGAGTATATTATAAGTTTATAAAGAACATATCATTTTATCAACCGTGGTATATTATTCTATCAACTGTTGTGTATATTCAATATGTATTGTATATAATAAAAGATGGCGATAAGATATAAACGGTGTAGATAATATAATAGACTAGGAATAGAAATACGTGATCGACCTGTAATAGTGGCGAGATCTCTGATATATCTAATGACAAATATAGTTTACAAAATTGTACTTTTAACTAAATATCGCTAAGATTATGTTTATATTGGGGAGGACTGTGGAAAATCCCGGGGAACTTACTCGGCAAACACCGGGAGCGAGCCCAAGATCTCCTGGTTAGTGAGTCACTGTCTACACTCTGAGCCATCGCGGCTCTCACAAAGATTTAAAACCCCAATAATAACAAGAGAAATAATATTTATGACGGTAGTCCTGATTTGCTTTATCAACAAATAAATGGTTTTACCAGGTCAGGCGAGGGCAGGTTCACGCACTGTTGAATAGATGATGTCACATTGTCATATGGTATTTATTGGTGAACTATAAACTCAATTTGTAAAGGGCTATTTTTCCGAAGTGTAGAAATTTCATCGAACTTTGGCTATAGATGTATTTGTAAACGTACCTATCACATGGTCAATATCGTATTATAGCACTCGCAAATGTGTTTAAATAAATGTGTTCAAAATCCGTAGCGAGCCAAAATGAGGTTTCGGAGGCTTGCCCCGTGGACAGTTTTCAAACTAAAAAGGCCAAATATTTGCAGGTTATTTCCCGATTCCGACAGGCAAGCATTGCACGATGTTTCTACAATTGTTCTATCGTCGTTCTCCGAGCATATGTGTTGAAACGTTGTACAATACGTGTAACAACCCAGTGACTGCAGTATAAATTGTCCTGTGATTTTTTGTTTGGCTGAATCGCTAGATGCCACTCAAAAAGTCTATTAATTTCTCTGGATATAAACCATTTTGTAGACAACTAGTCTATTTCCTGCTAGCAATCAGAGATTTTACAGCAAACGTACAATTTCTTGACAACATTCGATGATAAATGTATTACAAGCCCTCGTCATCGCAAAAGGTCGCTAAGTTATATTATCTATTTCTAGAGATTTTCAGCATAGGTTTATTTTTGGACAATATTCGGCGATAAATTTATCGGTCCGAGACGGAGGGCTTGGCAAGGACAGTGTCTAGTCGTTCGAATTGAACGAAAAACACATGTATACACTTTGGGGTGCACATGAAAGAATCCTTGACAGTTCGGCGAGTTCGCATAAAATTGCAATAACACACTGTATGGCTAAGGCCCGTCTTCATTATCCCAGTCGGTGCAGAAAAGTAGGACGTTAAACCCTATTTCATTTGTGAACGGGACTAGGCTATAAAGGCCCGTTTTCCATGTGTGCATTTCCACCGATTACTTCAAAACGGTACCATTACATTTGCATTAGATCAACATGTTCGCGAAAACGCGCGCGGAAATATGGTGAAAACGCGTCCACGGAATAAACTATCTATGAGTCTGTTATCTCATAGAATTAACAAACATGTGTCTTGAATGAAGCCACCTCTTTTATTCCAATATGGATAGGAGGATGTAGGTTGAGAAGTCTTTCATAATTAGTGTATACATACAGGTATTTTTAGGGCCCATCCCTGCCCTTTTATTAGGTAAATGCTTCGTACACATCTTCAAAGAAAACTTATTTGAAAAGAATTTAGAACGAGCACCTTTATATCAAAATATCATAATAATCTTGTTTAGTCCGTCGAATTTTATTTTATTATCTTTTTGAATACAGTTCAGTTAAATTGATCATAAATTATATAACTGCAACGACGTCGTGAACTATATGAAATGGAAATGAAAAGTGTTTACAGTACTAAACGAACTTTAAAGATACATACATTTCTCGCCATAATACATACTGAGTTTCAGTCAAATTATATCATTCTGAGCCAAGTTATGAACGCTTTAAGAATAGCGTAGTCTCGATTTTCATTGATCTCGATGTTACGATAACAAACGAAGTTTCGATTATCCATTTTGAAATTAAATTAAATTATTAAATAGCGATCGTGTTTCAGTCCGTTTTAAATCAGAACTCAGTGGTTTAGGGAGTTGATTATGGGTTTAACATGTGAATAAATGTCTATAATTTAATTTATGTAACATTTGAGGTCCAAAACGAAAGATTTGCAAATAGGAAGATTTAACTTTACTTTAAAGGAAGGTTATAGGCGACAAGTCACAGTGTCGTGTTATATTTAAGCCGAGTACAAATATTTGCAAGGCTAAATACTAGGCCTATATGATTACGTGGTTACGTCGAATGGAAATGAAACAGAGTTTAGCGTCCTACTTTTCTGGATCAACTGCATGCAATCATGAGCTAGGATGGAAATCTCCCCGGCACGGTGACGTTTATTCTTCGTCAAATTCCCAACTGTTAATTTGGGCCCGTTACGCAGAAGGGCATTGCTTACGGGGCCTCGCGGTTACGTCCTATCCGAGAAAATTGACTCTATGCCTTCACTGTGCCATCCTATGCGCCACTGAAAAGGGCCCGGAAACTAAGTTGGCAAATCCAGACGAACATTCTCGGCTGACACCGGGAATCAACACGAGATAAAGGCAAACAGAGGATTTTGACCAGGATGCGATTCCTTATTGTGGGCATATTCCAAATCAGAATTTTAAAAAGATATTTACTCTAAACCTGACAAATAAAATGAAAAGATATGAAGTGAAATGGGTGTTACGACCTACTCTTTTACGTTCGTTAACGTGCACGCCAGCGTCTATACGGGAGCTCGGTGTAAATACACGATACGAATACTTTAATTTTCAAAAGTTCTGAAAATTAATTAGAATATTCAAGATTTATACCGAAATATTAATTAGAATTAACACAGTTTATTCAACAATTATTGTTCTTTAAATGTCGATTAAATTTATTTTGATATGATTTTAACAGGTGAGGAGTGATCAATTGTGGAATATTTGGATGATAAATGGAGAAGTAAAAAAGGTGAAAATGTAAATACAGTTTAAAGAAAACCCCAAAACACAAAACAATAGTGAATGTATATATTTTGTAAATTTCACACCGCGTGATATTATCTGTGATGGGCTTATTTCAGACGTTGGATTAAAAACCGTGAAACGCTCCATTAACGATCCGCGTTTATTCAAAGATAAAATATTATTTTAATAAGCCCGAATGCCTGATTTCAAGGTCGGATTTCAGGTATAATCAAGGCTGGTGTTTGGTGGAGTGTTTCGTCAACTCAACAATTTTGAATCGCTTTTCTAGAGATCGACATTTTGTCTTCATTCCATCTCTAGATTACAAACGGTTGCAGTAGGAACCCCATCTTTACGCTCGTGTCTTTATATGTGAAGACTGCGTGTTTTGCTTTGAGTGTTATTTTTCGAGTGTTTGGCCCCGAGGGTGTTAAAAACGTTCCACGATGATGATGGAGAATAGTCTACAGATGAGTATGAACGGATTCCGGACGATGAATACAGTCGCCGACGCGCAGTGGATTCAAATACAACGGAACACGTTCACGAACTGGGTGAACGAACAGTTAAAGCGACGGAATATTGTAATTGACGATATTAGTGAAGATTTAAGAAACGGTGTTATTTTAATAGCACTGGTGGAAGAACTATCAGGAAACGTCATCAAAACTCGAGTTCCTCGACCACAGAATCAACATGAAAAATTACAGAATGTTTCTGTGGCGTTAGATGTGTTGTCACGTGATGGAGTTAGAATCTCTAATATTGGTAAGTCAGCTTTGATTATTTTCTGAAATGAAATATAGTTGATGATCAGTGCAGGCCATATACTAAGGGTAATCCCATTTGGAGACAACAACAAAAAATTTCCGGAGCTTCATTCCAAATGGGCTTCACAGATGTGTTGTCAAGTGATGGAGTTAATATCTCTAAATGGGCTCCACAGAGGTGGGCCTACTAAAGGGGTGATAGGAGGTAGTCCTCAACTCAACTTAATCTATTGATTGTGCACCTTATCCAGCACATACATAAAAGCCCAATACCCCCACCCCTCCACCAACACACACACACACACACACCCACACCCACACTCACACGCTTTCAGGGAGGGATTAAGCTGCATGAGACACATTGACTGACAATATTGCTATGATCCTTGCATCAAGGTTCTGTGAAAACCAGGAATATTCTGATCATTGTAGGTCACACTCACACAAACTATATATCAGTGCAGATATACATGTACAACATAATATGGTACAAAATTGTCTTTAGAACTAATTTGATGGCCCTTTTAGTATTGGGGCCCTTAGCTGCAGCCTGCCCCCTTTAACCTGGCCTTACTTATACCCATTATAAAATCGAACCTGTAAACTCAGTTTGTTAATGTGGTTAGTGTTTTAAAAATACTGAAGGTAATAACATAATGTCTAAACTGTAACGTGACATCTCACATTGTGACATGATGTCTGACATGGACATTGTGAAAATTTAAATATTGAAATAAAAAGCCACCAGACATCACACATATTGTGTAAAATATAAAAAGTTCATGAGCAAGGAAGTAATATATCTTGACCATTACAGTATATAGTACTATCTGAACCATTACACTAAATAGTAATATCTTGACCATTACACTATATAGTAATTATCTTGACCATTACACTATATAGTAATATCTGGACCATTACACCATATAATAATATCTTGACCACTACACCATATAGTAATATCTTGACCATTACACCATATAATAATATCTTGATCACTACACCATATAGTAATATCTGGACCATTACACTATATAGTAATATCTTGACCATTACACTATATAGTATTATCTGGACCATTACACTATATAGTAATATCTGGACCATTACACCATATAGTAATATCTGGATCATTACACTATATAGTAATATCTTGACCATTACACTATATAGTATTATCTGGACCATTACACTATATAGTAATATCTGGACCATTACACCATATAGTAATATCTGGATCATTACACTATATAGTAATATCTTGACCATTACACTATATAGTATTATTGGACCATTACACTATATAGTAATATCTGGACCATTACACCATATAGTAATATCTGGATCATTACACTATATAGTAATATCTGGATCATTACAATATATATAGTAATATCTTGTATCTGAACCTTTACACTATAAATGTAATATCTTGGTAATAATTTTACACCACAATAGTGTGCATATTGGATGAGGTCTGCCATTTAGTCAAGAGGAGTGTTTTCAATTCCCTGCTTGCATGTGACAAGAGTAGAGTGACTAGGATCGCCTGTCCAACCTCATGGGATTTCTCAAGGTCTACTGGTTTCCTCCCACTGCTAGAGACATCTCTGTCTTCCTATATATATATATATCTTAATATGTTATTAAAATGATTTATCTTCACGATATACTCTGTGATAGCTTTGTGTGTAATATGGTACAACATTATACACCATCGCTACAAGAAATTTTATATTTTATCATGACAGTTTGCATGCACATGGTATTATATAATGTTTGAAGTTGACATTTAAAGTTAAGAGACAGTTATTCGAGGTATACTTATTAGACGGGTCAGTGCAGAAAGTTAAAAGATTTGAATACCGTAAAGTCAGACATGTAACCCACACTATATTTCCCCTGGTAGCTAGACGTACAGATCACTCATAAATCACTAGAGGGTAGGATATTAGACTACACCAGCTTGTTGTATTTAGTTATGTATTAAAAGGTAACAAAGTCGATTTGATGCATTAAACTCAGATCCTCCATATTGTCACTAATATACATACAATAAAGTTTTGTCGTTTTAGTGCACTGCATCTACATGGTGTCTGCATTATATGCAAAAACTCACATGCACATGCAGTAAAATGTTAAAGGGACTATCCCGATTTGAACAGAGTCTCAAAAATAAAAGTCTGAATACGTATAAAATTTAAGCACCAACATATTGAAGAATGGTGTATTTACCTTGTCTCAAAATTTCAGCTCAAAATATTGAGTCATTTGGACGAAAACGTAAAACGTACTTCACCTACACATTATTTTTATAAAATAAAAGTCTGGTTTTATCCAAACACTGCATAACACAGCTTGGGACCCCGGTCTCCATTTCCAGATAAAGACTGACACGTTTAAGCTGTTTGAAAACGTATCACAAATATTGAGATGGTTGCTCGGCCCTTAGGTAGAGGATTTTAAGGGATTTTAACACAGAATTAGGCAGTTTTATTTTCCAACATATTATCAGGATTGGCCCTTTAATCAAATGCATTATTCCGCTTGGTTTTGGTCTGGATAAGATTGCCTGATATGATAAAAGGAACAATATACACTTGCATAATCACTTAAGCCTCCAGAATCTGTGAAAAAGATAAATAGAGAACATAATATCATGTTTTATAAATAGATCACATCATATCATGTTGTATAAATAGATCACATCATATCATTATTTATAAACAGCTCACAAAATATCATGTTTTATAAACAGATCACATAATAGCATGGTTTTTTTTTATATAGATCGCATAATATCATGTTTTATAAATAGATCACATAATATCATGTTTTATAAACAGATCACATAATATCATGTTTTATAAACAGATCACATAATATCACCTTTTTTTTATATAGATCAAATAATATGTTTAATATATAGGTCAGATAATAGCATGTTTTATAGGTGACATAATAGCATGTTTTTTATATAGATCAAATAATATCATGTTTTATAGCATGTTTTATAGGTGACATAATAGCATGTTTTTTATATAGATCAAATAATATCATGTTTTATAAATAGATCACACAATGACATGTTTTATATATACATCACATAATAGCATGTTTTATATAGAGATCACATAATAATATGTTTTATAAATAGATCACATAATGTTTTATAAATAGATCACAAAATATCATGTTTTATAAATAGATCACATAATAACATGTTTTATAAATAGATCAAATAATATCATGTTTTATAAATAGATCACACAATGACATGTTTTATATATACATCACATAATAGCATGTTTTATATAGAGATCACATAATAATATGTTTTATAAATAGATCACATAATGTTTTATAAATAGATCACAAAATATCATGTTTTATAAATAGATCACATAATAACATGTTTTATAAATAGATCAAATAATAACATATTTTATAAATAGATCACACAATAACCTGTTTTATATATAAATCAAATAATAACATGTTTTATTGATAGATCACATAATATCATGTTTTATAAATAGATATCCATTTTTATACGCCCACATTTTCATGTGGATGTATTATGCCGTCGCCCCTGTCCGTCCGTCTACAATTGTTTGTGGACTCTCTACAGGTCACAATTCTTATCCGATTTTGACAAAACATGAAATATAGGTTGATCCCCAAAAGATCTCGGCTGCTTTTGATATTGGCATGTATCGGATCGAAACTTCATGGATTATGGCACCTGATTGTACGAAAAATCACGTTTTTAGCTTGTGGACCCTATAGAGGTCACAATTTTTATCCGATTTTGTTGAAACTTAAAATGTAAGTTTATAACACAAAGATCTCGGTTCCTTTCGATCCCTGAATTATGGCCCCTGATTGTACGAAAAATCACTTTTTTAGCTTGAGGACCCTATAGAGGTCATAATTTTTATCCGATTTAGTAAACATATTATTATATCACTGTTACACCCTAAGGAAGGCTGAGTTCGAATTTCGTGAAAATCGACCCAAAATTGACAGACAAAATGGCCGCCGTTCGTTCTCAAATAGCGTAAAAATATGGTATATCAAGGTTTGGACCCTATAGAGGTCACAATGTTTATCCGATTTTGTTGAAACTTGAAATATAAGTTTATAACCCAAAGATCTCGGTTCCTTTCGATATTTGCGCATATCAGACCGTAACTTCCTGAATTATGGCCCCTGATTGTACGAAAAATCGCGTTATAGCTTGTGGACCCTATAGAGGTCATAATTTTTATCCGATTTAAAAAAACATATTATTATATCACCGTTACACCCTAAGGACGGCTGACTTCGAATTTCGTGAAAATCGGCCCAAAACTGACAGACTAAATGGCCGCCCTTCGTTCTCAAATAGCGTAAAAATATGGTATATCAAGGCTGTGGACCCTATAGAGGTCACAATTTTAATCCGATTTTGTTGAAACTTGGTAATTTTATAATATAAAGATCTCGGTTCCTTTCGATATTTGCGCATATTGAATTGTAATTTCCTTAATTATGGCCCTTGATTGTAGGAAAAATCACTTTTTTTTTAGCTTGTTCTCTATCCATCTCTCGAAAATGTGGGCGTATCCTGCCTGGCAGCCGCTGGTTATAGTTACTGCCAAGAGATCTTTAATGTGCATGCCAATGTGTACACTGGACCTCGGTTTTTCATATCATCCAAACAACTAGACAGCTTTCCTTGTCAGGTCCTCCATCCTGCTCCACTGACAAGGGGATACCATGCCGGAAAATCCTGATGAACTTTCTCAGCCAACTGTTTGACTATTATCCTGATCACCACCCTCTAGACATTTCATATACGGGCTGGTAGTATTTGTTTTCATCTCTACGTCCTTTGTTAGATGAATATATGTGTGTGGTCTGTTGAATATATACAATATAGGTATCTGTTGAGTAGATATAATATATTCAAACTCCTATACTTATTTATCTACTTGAACATTCCGCTACCCTTCTTTATTATTGATACTTAATCGTCAACAACCCCATACATCATTATAGGTTAACAAGACAAAATATACTTCATTATAGTTGAGGAAAAGACAAATATACATCATTATTAATTGTTTAATCTGAAATATATAAAATAATTGGTCTTGAAAAGTTTTATAAACAAGTTACAGCATACAACAGGAAATATGAATTTACCATGATGTCATCACAGCCATTTTGGAATTGGGGAGTCAAAAAACGAATTAAAGGCATTGGGGAATCATATCAAAAAACGAATTAAACTCCCTCTCTCTCTCTCTCTCTCTCTCTCAGTAATTCGCTTGCATTTAAGTAGTGGGAGGAGACCGGAGAACCTGGAGAAAACCCACAGGGTTGGGCAGATGACCCACCTGTCTTCCTGGCTGTTAACAGATAGAATAAAATTTTATTATATCCATCTTTGGCTCAGGCAAAAAAAAATACCTTTGGTTATGATGAACCACTCCCTCCTTGTTTTAAGCTGAATCAAAACTTTTCTTTCCTATATCACAGGCCTTACAAATTTTGGTATTTACAACAGTCCAAATCAGCATTATTATTTACAAATTAACTTTACTCAGAATAGAAAGAATTATCTCTGATAAGATAGTGAATAAAGGGAGATAATTTGTGTAGTTCTATTGATCTGATTGGTTATAGATAAAGATCAATAATTTAATTCTCGCCAGTAGATTATAAAATTCTGTTTGGCTGTAATCTGTTGTACAATTTTACAGTCTCTGTCATTGCAGTGATATTATACCACTACTCTATTTCACCGATTCAGCCCTCTAACGCTTGGTTGCATCACTCCCTTGCTTCATTGTCCTCTAAATGTAAATGTTATCACTGTTTTCTGTCTGAATTTTTTCTTTAACATATATTTGTATATAATTGTATACAATTATCAAACACAAAATGAATGTCTCCATCTTCAGCCAATTCAGCTTTTTCATATATTCAAAACCTATTACATGTTCTACTTCGTCGACCATCATTTGGGCATGGCTTGAACCGCTTGGTGAGAAAATCAAATTGATACAAATAATGTACAGGGTTATAAACATGAACATGGCTTGTATGGGGCTCCTGGTTGCAAGTGTCCCTGAAACCCTTGCATCAACAGTGAAAAGGTGACATATTCTGGTCAACGTCTGTCACATTTACACAAATGCAATTTGTTTGTGGTAGATATATAGATTTATTTGGTACAAACATATACAACCAATTAAGTACAATCTTTTAGAACTAATTTAAGGTCGGCTTTGATATTAAGATCATTGGCTAAACCATGTTCCTGAAGCAACGACCGCAAGTCTTACAACTTCTGGATAAGTTGTACATAGTTAAGACGAGATTAAGCCGTCTATTGAAGATAAGGCTACCTAGGCCTTGGATTAAAACCAACCTCATAGAAATAGTTTAATGAGAGATCATTTCCTTATTTTAATTTTTTAGAACTAATTTTGGGCCCCTGGCTGCGGCCCAGTCAGCCCCTCTTTAAGCCGGCCCTGGCGTTAGCGATGTTCATGTGAATATTATAATAATAATAATGTCATTTATATAGCGCTAGTCAGTGCCGGACTGGGCCCACCTGTCCACCTGTCCGTGACAGGTGGGCCTAAGCTCATTAAAAAAAGTGGGCCTATGCCTATAAAGAAATAAAAAATAAAAAAGAAAAAGATACTTTTAAAATTCGACAACAATTTACAGCCTAGATTAGTCGTTTGAGTCACAAATATCAATAGTCCACACAGAGTATGCTCATAGCACTTGTGATTCAGTTCTGTACAATAAAAGTTCAATACCAAGGCACCACTAAACATAACGTTTAAAAAAATATTTCTTCAGTAAGGTTTTGAATGTCCATAAGGATGGGCATTTTTAGGTGGATACGAAGATTGGTCCAGTATACTGCAGCAGTGTATTTTAAAGATCGGGCACCAAAAGATTTCAAGTTGTAATTAGGAATCGTATTATGCACATGTGTACGTCCTCACAAATTAGGATGTTGTATAACAAGAAGTAGGTTTGTCTGCCTCTCTGAAGATGTGCACATTAATATTATACATACACCTGCGGTCTGTCCTCACTTACCCTATTTCATATATCATTAAAATATAATATAAAAGAGTTTAAATAAGAGAGAGGTGAAAGGTCATGTGTAATTTTCAGGCTAAACCTAAAATACCCTGAAAACATTAAAGAAAAGTAAACTGTTTATTTCTATGAGAGTGTAGATTAAGATTGAAAAACAAATAAACACCCACGTCCAAATATTTCATACAGTCGACAATTCTAGAATAAGAGAGAGAGAGAAATGGAGTTTAACATCCGCTCAACCTAGACTAGGTCATTTCGAGACTAACACATGGTTCAATTTTATTTCAATAATTAGCTTGCCCATAGCAGTCTTTAGCTGTGGGAGGAAACTGGAGGACCTTGAGAAAACCCACGAGGTTGGACATGCGATCCTTTTCCTTGTCATGTACAAGCGTGGAATTGAAACCAATGACAGATTTTATGATCTAAACTATCCGGTCATCCAGCTTATAGTCATTTGGATGGGATGAAAAATTGAGGTTCCGTGTAAAAGAACCCTTGACAGTTGGAATTCGATATAAGATTAGGCTGTAGTGTAGATGTCCAGGCAAAATTTCCCTCATAATAGCACAATGTGTGGCTCATTGTGTCTTCATTAGCGCAGTGGAAGCAGAACAGTAGGACGTTAAACCGTATTTCATTTCATATTATTTGTCAATTTTACCCCCCCCCTTCACTGCTTGTACATAATTAATATATTGAGATTCATATGTTATTTCCATAATGAGCATGGTAAATGCAGGGCCCATGCCCAAAGCGTACCTAGAAGAATAACAGACAGATTGCCAAGAATTGAGTGAGGGGAGGGAGGCACAAATCCTACACCAGGAGCCAAACATGTCTCTAACGTACATTGAGCAGATGGCCTAGTTGATCGTTTGAGCCACAAAAGTTAAGAGATACATTATGTAAGAATTAGATAAAGAGCTAGCCATTCTTGCTATAACAGTTCAAAAATAGATCATATAAAATGAATAATTTGAAAATTTCATTCAAATTACTCTATTGCGAGGGAAGATATTAGCCTTTGAAGGTTTGACAAGATGTATGCAATAATTTCAACCAGCGAAGCTAAGTCTTGATCCTCCATTTTTAGATTAAATCAAAATATGTCTCAACCGTTCTAATCTATTTGATATCAAAGAAATCCGATGCCATCGAGAGTTGATTATGGTCTGGATAAGTTAATTAATGTCTAATTAATAATTTAGATAGCATTTCAGGCCTAAAGAAAGACCTGCAATCAAAGAAATCCGATGCCATCGAGAGTTAAGTTAATTAATGTCTAATTAATAATTTAGATAGCATTTCAGGCCTAAAGAAAGACCTGCAATAGGCTCATTTAGCTCTTGCATAATGTTTGTTTAAATAGGTGCAAACTGGAGCTAATTTGTTAGGGTTTGGATTGTCCTGATCAAAATGATGATGGGCAAAGCATTGTAAAGATTACAACTTCAACATAATTTGACCTTGACAGCTATGAATATTGTATATTTCAGATAGTACAGATGTAGTACGAGGTAATATTAAGTTAATCCTCTCGTTAATATGGCAGTTAGTCCTACGGTACCAGGTGGGATTATCAGCCGTACAACACAGACAGTGGTTCCTGAAATGGCTGAAGGCTGTCCTACCAGATGTCACCATCACTAACTTCGGTAGAGATTGGAACGACGGTATCGCTTTATAGTAAGTGAAATTCTTGTGATATGTCACTTTCTTTTACACAGGATGATTAGATAAGCCAACAAAAGTACACACAAAATAATTTGGTTTTAATTAAAAACACATTAGTTAGGAGTTTTATAAAGAGTTGGCCATTCTTGCTATAATAATTCAAAAATAGATGATAAAAAAAGAAAATGTTTAAAATTTCAGTCAAATTACTTTGTTCTGAACGGAATTGTCACTGTTGGAAGTCTACGAGAATTGGCGATCGTTTGATTGACAGATGATAACTCCACCCACATATTCTCAATTATCAAGTAACATGCTTAATGGCTATGGTAGCCTCGCTTGACAGGCCTTTCATCACCAGTTTCCAGTAGTGACATTAGCGACTTATGGTAAACGTTAGCTTGGTCCGCCATTTATTGATTTAATTTTAAATGGACGACTGTTCAAATCCAAACTGTATCCAAGCCATCCGTGGGTCTACAGAGTTGATTTTGAGCTTGTGGTGTAAATAAAGGTCTAATTAAGAATTTCTATAACATCTGAAGCCCAAATAAAGACTTGCTATAGGCAGATTTAACCCTTGCATAATGTATGTTTAAACTGACAAATATCCAGGAAAGCAGTTTACATAGGATTTATATTAGTGCTGGGTATTGCCACTACACTCACCATACGATACGTCGATTGCCATCGATTCAGATCACTATTTGGGAGCTAGGATACGATTCGTATCACGATTCATAACCAGGGCAATATTTACCAAGAAAACAACAGGATGTCGATAATTTTCAGTCCTGCTGATGTTGTTAAAATAAAACGGTTTTATATCACGATATGAATGTGCATCAAAATAAGGACCAAAACAATTGAAGAGTTTTTATGAAGGCTCTAGCTATTGATAATGAGTGACTTGGATAGTTAAGAGTGACAGGTTACTTATTGACATGACCAAAAAAACGTAAAAAAGATCGTTAAAAATCGATTCAGTGTCTTGCGATTCAATGCTGAATCATGAGAATGTGAATCGTGATATATCAATTCAACCAGATACCGTTCCAGTACTACTATATATAAGCCTATTTGCCAATCTTATTCTTATATCCTGAATAAAATACTGTTTTACACGAAATGAATGGCTCAATTTTAAATATGTTATATGAACTCTTAATTGGGGATGAAGTTGGATAGACATTTGTGATCATTGTGGGATGGGTATTGAGGTTTTTGGACCCAAAATTGGTTCCCATGCACTATTGATCTTCTTTTTGTTTTACTTGGGGGGGGGGGGGGGGAGGGGGAGATGCCTTCGAAAAAAGCATATAAATTAAGGTGTGGAGTGTAGTGGTGTTTAGAGGTTTTTATCATGTCTGGCGTGGGATTGAGAGAGATTTTTATCATGTCGGGGGTGGGGGTGCTTATTTACTTTATTTTTTATCATGTCAGGAGTGGGGGTTCTTAGAGTTTTTATTATGTCAGAGGTAGGGGTGCTTAGAGTTTTTATGTCAGGGTAGGGGTGCTGAGAGGGTTTTATCATGTCAGGGGTTGGTTTGTGCTGAGAGGTTTTTATCTTGTCAAGGATTTCATGGTGCTGACTGTTTTTTGGTTTTTTTGCATGTCGGGGTTTAGGACAGGAGTTTTTTTTTATCATATAGGGGTGGAGAGGTTAGGGGAGGTTTTTAACATGTCCAGGTGGGGTGGAAAGTTGTTGAGAATTATAACATATAATGAGTTCTTCATTATTGATTGACTGTTATTATTTATTTTATTTCAGTGCTTTATTAGAATTCTGTAGACCAGGTCTTTGTTCCAACTGGCCAAACATCAACAAACATGACAGGTAAAATGCATTTTTATACGCCCACATTGAAATGTGGTCGTATATTGTCGTCGCCCCGTCTGTCCGTCCGTCCGTCGTCCACAATTGCTTGTGGACGCTCTAGAGGCTAAAGTTAATATCCGATTGACTTTAGATTTATATACAGTGTGTAAGGCCATGAGGCGAAGAAGCCTATTGATTTTCAGCGATTTTCGATAATTACTGCCAGAGTTATGGCCCTTGATCACTTCAAAAAATCTTGTGGACGCTCTAGAGGCTAAAGTTAATATCTGGTTGACTTTAAATTTATACACAGTGTTTAAGGTCATTAGGCAAAGAAGCCTTTTGATTTTCAGCAATTTCCGATAATAACTGCCAGAGTTATGGCCCTTGATCGCTTCAAAAAATCTTGTGGACGCTCTAGAGGCTAAAGTTAATATCCGATTGACTTTAAATTTATACACAGTGTTTAAGGTCATGAGATGAAGAAGCCTGTTGATTTTCAGCGATTTCCGATATATACAGTTAGAGTTATGGCCCTTGATCACTTCAAAAAATCTTGTGGACGCTCTAAGAGGGTAAAGTTAATATCCGATTGACTTTAAATTTATACACAGTGTTTAAGGTCATGAGACGAAGAATCCTATTGATTTTCAGCGATTTCCGATAATTTTTGCCAGAGTTATGGCCCTTGATCACCTTGAAAAATCTTGTGGAAGCTCTAAAGGTCAAAGTTAATATCCGATCGACTTTAAATTTATACACAGTGTTTAAGGTCATGAGACGAAGAAGCCTATTGATTTTCAACAATTTTCGATAGTTACTGCCAAAGTTATGGCCCTTGATCACTACAAAAAATTATGTGGAAGCTCTAGAGGTCAAAGTTAATATCCGATTGACTTTAAATTTATACACAGTGTTTAAGGTCATGAGACGAAGAAGCCTGTTGATTTTCAGCGATTTCCGATAACTACAGCTAGAGTTATGGCCCTTGATCACTTCGAAAAATCTTGTGGACGCTCTAGAGGGTAAAGTTAATATCCGATTGACTTTAAATTTATACACAGTGTTTAAGGTCATGAGACGAAGAATCCTATTGATTTTCAGCGATTTCCGATAATTTTTGCCAGAGTTATGGCCCTTGATCACCTTGAAAAATCTTGTGGAAGCTCTAGAGGCTAAAGTTAATATCCGATTGACTTTAAATATATACACAGTGTTTAAGGTCTTGAGACGAACAAGTATATTGATTTTCAATGAATCTTTATGACTTGAACAGCTAAATCTATGATGTGAAAAGTTTCGTATGCTAAACGTTAGCATGGCGCAGAACTTTATAAAAACCGAACAAATTCTAATGGTTTTCTGATAATTACTTAATGAGTTGTTACTCTTAATCAGATTTTAATGTATTATAAATGTTTCATTACCGAAAAAAGTAAAAATATGCGACAACTCTTGTTGACTGCCCAGACGATATAGCTGCTGTGGGGGGGTATGTTTCGTTGCCTGGCAACCTATCTTATATATATTGATATATGGACCATTATAGTCAGGTCACGTAGGTTCATATTTACTTTTATATTGAGGCTCCTGGCTGCAGCCCAGCCAGCTCACCCCACCCCTTTAATTCAATCGTGATGAATACTGTTAAGACAAACTGTAATAATTATCAATACTTATTGTATTTATTGTAGGTGATATATTCAAGATAAAATTATCATTAGCCTTTTCTAGTAATAGTCACATAGCTTAGGTAAAAAATCATTCAAATTTTGAAAAAAACATAAAACTCTCCACCCCCCACTCCCTGTATGTAATGTCTAAATATATAACATGTAGACCAGACTTGTGTGTAGATATACAACAAAACAACAAGCCTGTTAAATATCTCTCTGGTTCTTCTATTGTAAGAAGTAATTTGAACTAGGAACGTGATAATAAAACTCTATTGTTATCATTCAGTCAAACCCCAAATAATATAAAAACCACCACTACACATTCCACCTTGACAACCTCTTTTAAAAGCTGGTTTACTATTTTAGTACGACATGGTAATAAAATGAAATGAAATGAAATGGGGTTTAACGTCCTACTATTCTACTCCAAACTGGGCTAATGAAGACAGGCATACGCCATACAGTGTGCTATGAGGGAAATCTTTCCCGGACAGCGGCGCTACGCCATGCTCTTATATCGAATTCCAACTGCCAAGGGATTACGTGCATGCGGGACCTTGGTTTTTTGTACCATCCGAATGACTAGACAGCTATCCTTGTCAGGCCCTCTGTCCTGCATCACTGGCAAGGTGACACCACGCCCGAAATCTGGACATGAAAATAGGTATTCTCTTATAGTCATCTAATGTAAAAACACATTAACAGTGTTTATGGGAACCAATCATTGGTTTATTTTATAAACACAACCTTTCTAAACGTATCCTCTTATGCGTAGCCTCATTGTTTACGTTCACAACAATATGGCACTTGTTCGCTCGATTATGAGAAAGTTTGCAAGAAATTGACTAGAAAAGAAGAGTCATACACACAAAAAGATGTCCTCAGTCAAAACAGGCAGTGACAAGTTGTTATGCTATGAAGCGTATTGGTCAATAAAATTAGCACAATCATCAAGGGAAGATAATTTGAATACGTGTCTCCACCCATGGATGAATCATTACCATTCGTATAAACACCAGAACACAATTTTTAAGGGAAAGAGCATCATTGTGTTTGATATAGTAAACTAGTGATTTTGTCCATTCAAAATTGAGAGAGAGACAGACAGACAGAGAAAGAGAGAGAGTTCATTCACCACAAAATAGATCATTTTGGGCCTCACATATGATTTAATTTCATTTCAATAATTCGCTTGTGCATAGGGGTCTTTAGCAGGGTAACGAGAGGACCCAGTGAAAACCCATCAGGTTGGACAGGTGACCCTACACCTTGTCACGTACAAGCGGGGAATCAAAACCACACCATTTGACAGAACTTAACCATTCGGCCACCCACTTTAAAATATGGCAGACCAGGACAAAATTTGAATAATATATTATATTTTAATGTAGCTCAAATATTATTCATAACTGTTGATGATGACATTTAATTTTAGATATCTTGGTTGTTTTTGTTGAAACCTAAGTTCTTTGTATAACTAGTTTAGATTAACTCAGTATGAAGTCCAGCCTTGAAATAAGCCAACTGTTATTCTGTCAGCTACAACTTGTATGGAGTACTTGCTTACTATAAAATATAATAAAACCAAGGACATCCCTGATAAAATGTGATCAAACCACCATTCTCTACTGAAGCAGAATAATAAAATCGCCTACTGGGCCTATAATGATTTAAATGTGAATACATGACATACTGTAATGAGGTGAGGCGTTTCTATAGAAGCACCAGGGGGTTATGTTTAACACCATGCTTGTTCATACATACCAGAATATTTTTTATTGTTCCTTACCACACAAAGAAGAATAAAACTATATATTTCTTATAAGGATCAGTTTTGTTGATATTCAAGTCCTGTTTCCACTTGTCATACACTGTTGGTTTGATCACTGGACAAGAAATGGGATGGGGTTTACCGTCCTACTTTTCTCCACGAGCGGGGTTAGGTGGCCTAATGGTTAACGCATGTGCATTGCATCATAAGGTCAAGTGGCGTGGGTTCGATTCCACACTTGTATGTGACAAGGAGTAGGGATGCCTGTCAACCTTGTGGGTTTTCTCCGGGTCCTCCAGTTTCCTTGCACTGCTAAAGACCCTAAAGGCTTAAAAATAGTACGAATTTGGGTTGAACCAGTTTCTCTTGGTGTAAGTTTACCTTTACTATCGGCCTTCATGTCTAAAAATCATGGGAACTGAAAAGAGCTCTCCTGGTATTGGAAAACATTTACCCCATGTCCGTGTGAATAGGTGGATAGTACAAGTTTGGGTTGAACCCATTTGATAGCCCAGTTCAGTGTGTACTGGTGGAGAGTACATTTCTTTCAGTGTAGGTTTAGCTTTATTGACTAAATACTCTATTCACTGTAGTCTATAGAACTTAATTTTACTCAATGACAATACAATGACAATAGGTTTAAAAAGACTGGTAGAATGGGGCTATACAAATCACTGTCCACTCCAATATAATGATGAAATTGTTGTCAATTTTTTTTTATTTGGTCATTTCGGGATGTGCCCATTTGAATAGGGACTTATCTTTATGTAGGAATATGTTTTGAGAAAAATAATTTTCACTTTTATTCACATTTATGAATAAATTCTCACTCCACAGCTGAAATATCTCTTTACATAAAGTGTACCCCACCAGCCTGGGGTAAATTTTGCGTACCCAGAGGCTATATTGCTGATTCTGAATATGTACATGACTTTAAAAAAATAAGAAATTGACACACAATAAAATAACATTGTTATGTGATGTCCTAAAACAAGAACACTTTTTGTTTGCAGCCAACCACAGATTGTTACAATATTTTATTCATTTTCAAATTTAGGGGCCATTATGTTTGTCATTGTTATTAGGGGATATGTTTATTCATAACTTCTAATACTAATACAATAACTAGATAAGAACGCCCATATGAGGACTTGACTCCTTTATAAGAACTCAATGTTTTTCTTCTGCAGGATTGAAGAAAAATGAATAGAAATGTCGACTGTAAAAAGATCAAATTATTCTAGCTAACTAAACATATTTAAGCCATGTGAAATTAAGCTTGTCTTTTCACATAAACGTCCCATAGAACTCTGACTTAGCAAATAAGGAAACAATGAGCCTTTAGAAGTATATATATATAATGTATACGGGTTTATATGGAGCAAATGTAGTATATATAATATATCTTCATGTATATCATATATACTCTTTATATTAAATGCTTTTATTTTTTGATTTTCTGTAGGTCTAAGATTTTTATCTGCTAATGTGAATAACAATAGGAATTATAAAAACCATTAAATTTCTCTTACCATCAAATGGGCACAAAAACAGACCCAACTTTTCTAGAGTAAAATTTTGCGTAGAATACGATGCCTCTTGGTAATCAGGCCGCCGTTGGGGCATTTTCGAGATATTCAATTGTTTTTTCAACTAGTTTCATCATGTATAACAAATGTTGTTAAACTAAATCGGGGAGATTTCGATTTGACCTCTGGGAACACTAAGAACAAAAGTGAATTTAGCAAGTTTACATTTTTATTGAAAGAGTGATTACTTTCGATCATTTTAAGCATGTTTTCATGATACAAGAATGGCTGCGCATTCACTTTCAGTGCAAAATGACCTCATTTGACCTTTGACCCCAAATATCTCGAAAACAGCCCAACTGTGGACTAATTACCACTCAGCATCATATTCTACGTAAAAGTTTACTCTAGAAAAGTTGGGTCTGGTTTTGTGCCCATTTGATGGACCCCGCCCCCCACTGCACTGAGCCTCTGGTCTATGATATTTAATTAAGAAAACAAAATCAAAATACAAGCTAGATAATCTCCCCGGCTTGGATTAAATCAGATTTAAACTAGGCCCATCAGGTGTCTCTGCTTTTGGACTGATATTCCTATGAGAGATTCATCTTTCACAATTCTAATTTGTTCACATGTACACCATATTTTTATGTCCTATCCAAACAACTTGTCAGCTTAAGTATATTGATGAACTGCCATAAATTGGTCACAATTATTTACACAATACCCATGAATGTAGCATATTTACCAAGGCAGTGGCGCTTGATACATTTTTAAGAGATCCGACGAGGATCTACTAAAAATACAGATGAATAAAATGGAATGGGGTTTAACATCCTACAGTAGTGTTTTCATCTAACTGTAACTGCCAAGTGTTTATTTACCTCTAGGTCCAAGTGTACATGTGACACTTGCATTTTTCGTACTGTTAGAAGGACTTGGTGCCTGACCCTCTCTTTTGCACCACTGACATGGGGAACCACATTAAAAAATCCCAAGGGACTTGTTTTTCGTCCAGGGACCTGCTGGTTAGTGAGTCAAAGCCCTACTTTCCCCTAGTATACTAAATGGGTGGGTGGGGGGAGAGAGAGAAAAGAGAGAGAGGGAGTTTAATTCATTTTTTAATATGACTCCCCAATTCCGAAATGGCTGTGATGACATCATGGTAAATTCATAGTTCCTGTTGTATGCTGTAACTTGTTTATAAAACTTTTCAAGACCTATTATTTTATATATTTCAGATTAAACAATTGTAGAAATGCTATGAAATTAGCTCGTCAGCATTTTGGTATCCCGATGGTTTTACGCCCAGATGATTTAGCCAGTCCTGATTTAGATGAAAGATCCGCCATGACCTATCTGTCTTATTTTATCAAGTATGGCGGCCCCGGTTACTCAGCAACGTTAGACAGATTACAGAATAGGATCAGAACAAAAATAATTACTAATTTTACGGTGAGTTTTGTTTGTACGTTAATCAAAACAAAAAGAAATTTAATTGAACTATATGTTAGTCCCGAAATGACCCAGTTTGTCTCGAGTGGATGTTAAATCCCATTTCTATCTTCACATATGCTTATGGCACCACATAAGGGTGGTGAGTACAGAGTTTTTTCCAGTGGCTGGTATTACGCAACTAGAAAATTAAAATTACCTGACAAACATACTGTAGACTGAGTTTATCTGAGATTTATCTCCTTTCATCATATGCCACTTAACAATCTAAGGTTCTTAGATATTTAATGAGAAATCACAGCTGCCATGCCTTGTGGTGGATGCCGGATATTTAGGATTTGTAACATATCTAGACCCAAACATAATATTCAATTCATGAACCCCCACCCGACTATCTGTACTGCAGTGTAGTGAATGAAATTTTGAAATGTGACTGGTAATTACTTAGGTGGGGAGGCCTGCACCCAAGGGCCACCCACTGTCCCCACCTCTATTCACCATTGGCCATGCCCAAACATTGCTGAGCCTCGCCATGAATACAATGTTAAAATATTTTCTCACAATGAAAGAAAAAATTGTTAAGATATTTTTTAACAACAACATTTGTTGTCAAATGGATATAAATAAAACACATCTTATAGTGTACGTCACGTAAACTGTCATACACAGCGTGTGAAGATGCATAATTCAATTTAATTTGAACAAACTTGTACAATATACATGCACTATAATGTATCTAATTTGGTCTATTTAGTCTATATATTGTAAGGGGGGTTGGGTGGCCAAATGGTTAATGCGTGCATGTTGGATCATAAGGTCTGTCATTGAGTCAAGTGTTCAATCCCTGCATTGGCCGAGAAAGTTCACCGGGATTTTCGACGTGGTTTCCCCTTGTCAGTGGTGCAGGATGGAGGGCCCGACAAGGACAGCTGTCTAGTCATTTGAATGGGACGAAAAACTGAGATCCCGTGTATACATTGGCATGCACGTAAAAGATCCCTTGGCAGTTGGAAAATCGATATAAGAGTATACCATAGTGCCACTGCCCGGACAAAATTTCCCTCATAGCACACTGTATAACCCAGTCGAAGCAGAACAGTAGGATGTTAAACCCCATTTCATTTCATTTCCTTTCATTTTGAGTAGGGCTGTACGATATTCTCAATATAGTCATTTATCGCGATATGGTATTTTCAGACCCAACTACGATATCATGTGGCCAAAAATCATCGATATAGTGGTTTATCGAATATCACCAAAAACTTCAGATATCGAAAAAAATTATCATAAAAATAGATAATAAATACACTATACAGCAGTGGAAATTAGCCGACGGCAATAAACTATAATAAAACTAATGTTTTGAGAATCGTTAAATGTTGAAAACACTTGCGCAGTGTCCGCAGCCGTTTTTCACTGCATCATGTATGCGTTACTTTTACTTTGTTTTTAGTCGACAATAAATTGTCAGTTGTTACTACATGTAAAGCTTAGGCCTACTAAACCCCTGAAATTTCCCACTACTGCGGCTAATTACCAGGCTATAAATAGGTTGTCATATTTTCAAAAAACGAATATTTTTAGAAAACTCTACAAAACTTAATTTCTGAAAGCAAGAATAAAACTATCTATAAATAGATTACTGTCACTGTTAGGCCAGGAATACCGCAGCCAAGCAAATGCTTGAATGGAAGATAGTCCGGATCATTTAGTATTTGTTAAACTGTTTGAACTTACAATACAAGACTTGAAGACCGCACCTACGTACTTCCGCTGCAGGTGATATTTGAGAATTTTCTTACACAAGGTCACAAGCAGAAGCTTTTTAAACACCAGTGGTTGTATTTAATTTTTATCCAAAAAGGATGTTGTTTTGTTCATTTTAATAAATCTATATTATAAAAAAAGCAAAGTTTAAAGTGTATGAATAAAGCAATTCTTACCCACACTGTAATCAGCTTTAATGCATTTATATTTAATTTATTTAATAGCAAAGTGACATTATTATTAAATATCGTGATATTTGACTATATCGTTGAAAAAAAACCCTTTTTGCAATATCGTACAGCTCTAATTTTGAGTCAAGTTGCGAGTATATGGTTCTACAACATGTATCTTGTGTAATTGATGCTGGTCTAAGGAACCCTAGTTTCAGGCTGTCTAGCAGAGATATACCAGTATGAAGTATTAACTCTTTTACACAAATTATCCTTATAACAAAAAGGCTGAACCAAAGGGGTTTCCCCAGTTTTGGATTGATAGTTTTAACGCTAATTGGAATGATAGTTTTAACGCTAATGATAGTTTTAACGCTAATTGGAATGATAGTTTTAACGCTAATTGGAATGATAATTGGAAAGGATATCCGCTGGCTAACTAATTAGGTCTGGGTTCGATTCCAGTGTTGGCTGGGAAAGTTCTTCGGGATTGTCTGGTGTCTGGTCTGACACGGAACAGGATTCCATGTACTCATTGGCATGTGTACCACTACCCATTGCTCAAATATGGAAAAGCAAAACCGCCAAAAGCTTACATCAAACGTGTGACACATTCCCTGCTACACATCATTTGTTACAGCCTTGATCCTCTAGGTTTGACATCAGTGCACATCAGTGCACAATTTATACCTCATACATTTAATTTTATCACTATCCATATATAGTTTTAATAAATCTTGCATCTGTTAAAAACTCATCATGTGACTTGCACAGAGCTCAAATTTAGTGTCATAGTGTTTAGAACATATTAGAGAGCATCGTGACATAATATCATTTCTTACATAATTTAATAACATATAGTAGACAAGGTTTTTTTGTTCACAAATGGATAATCGAGATTATGTTTTTTATTGTACCCAAAAATAGATAATCAAGATTATGTTTTTTTATCGTACCCGGCTTTAGTAATGATGATCAAGTCTAGGCCTAAAATTCAATCACTAATATCTCAGTTCAGAGTGGAGCAATTTGCCTGAAATTTTCAGCATATTCCCTTTACATTATCTAGTTTTTAACTATTATAGTGAGAACTGTCAACTCTTTACCTAATCTTCCATAATGCCCCTTTAAGCATTCTGAGTATTATAATTAAAGAATATGTTGAAAAGATATAAAATATATTGAATGAGGTTATTTAATGAAGGTAATAGAAATATTGACATAGTGCTAGGCTTGTTGTTTAAATGGGTTTAAAGATAAAGAGATGTGTCTCGTATTGAGAGATGTAACAAACACATGCGAACACGACTCTATATAATTCTATATCTATTCACGTTGAATTTAAATATACATCACTATACTGACTGTTCAAATATATACACTGGTAAAATACTTGCTGGTTAAAGAGACAATGACACAATATATATAAATGTAAACAAAGAGGGCGGGGACCCTTTGGGACTAAAATTTTTCGTTGGGAAAGTTCTTAAAGTGTGAATCCATTTTGATTGAAATACTTTTCAAAAGACGTATTTTTGTCACTATTGGGATCAGTATTGAAAAGCTCAATTATTTGAATCGTAACATTTATAATAAACTAGGTTTATAACACAGCTAAAGGCAATTTGGGGGTGGGGTAGAAATATCGGAAGGGGATCTTGTCTGGGGAGTCTTAACTATCACTATACTTACTTTTCAAATATATAGAGGAAAAAAAGTTGCTACTTAAAGAGACATTAACCCTAAACCAGGGCTATGGACGACTTAAGTCGATCTTCCAGGTGGGGTGTTGGGTGGTGGATCGCAGATATTGGAATGGAATCTTGCCTAGGTACTAGCTGAGGAGTCTTAAACATCACTATACTTAAAGTTAAAATATTTACAGTGGAATAGAGGAAAAAAATCTATTATAATATAGGGCTATGGAGGGCTAAAATCGATTTGAGGTTGAGGGGGAGGGGGGCGTCGTTGGGTGGAATCTTGCCCGTGTAGTAGCTGGAGTCTTAAAGTGCCTGCACCAGTCCATCTCCCCACAACCCATATCTATGGATGGCTAAAATCAATTTTAGATTGGGGCCCATTGGGTGGTGGCACAGTGTTTGGAATGGGATGTGGCTTGTGTAGTCCACCAGTCCAGCTTCCCAACACCCATGTCTATGGCTGGCTAAAATCAATTTTGGATTGGTGGCCATTGGATGGTGGCACAGTTATTGGAATGGGATGTGGCTTGTGTAGTAGCTGGGGAGTCCACCAGTCCAGCTTCCCACCACCCATGTCTATGGTTGTGCAAACCTGCCCATACATAGAAATATGGAACATTTTATATTGTACACAAAGAAAAACAGGAATGCAATATTTGGTTGATAAGAATTTGAATTACAAAGAGGGGATATGACTATGCAGACTATGAAATCTACGTCTCACACCATCAAAATACGCCAGCATTTTTTACTTATCATGAGTAATTTATTTCTATTTTATTTTCTTGTGTGGTAGGTGGGGACCATGATATAATGACCCCCTCCCCCCCACACACACACCTTCTCTGCCTAATACTAACAGATTAGGCTAGATAGAGAGTAAGATATTTCGGACTATCCTTTGTTTAGATTATCTAACCACATTGTGTATATAAAACTTGAATATCGTCAGTGCATCTCTTTAACTCACCCAAATTTAGGGATTGTATGCAAACTATATCGGTGTTATCGGTACGATTCATCCCTATTCTTCTCAGTCTTAACTGAAATGAAAGCAAAATAACAGACAGGTCCCAGAACACCGAGTGGATAGACATCAAAATCATATATAAAGTGGATTTTATAGGAGTAGTTAATCACATTGGATAGTGTATTTATTTTTTTTTCCAATCAAAATCATAAGAAAGTGGATTTTATAGGAGTTTTACCAAATATATATTTAGTTAAAACCCATAGGATTATTATTAAATCTGTAACATTGGATTATTAATAAATTTGTGAAATTGGATTATTGATAAATTTGTGAAACGGATTATTAATAAATTTGTGAAATTTGATTTTAAGTCAATTAGTGCAACAAGATTTTAAGTCAATCTATGAAATTGGCTTTTAAGTCATTCTGTGAAATTTGATTTTAAGTCAATCTGTGAGATTTGATTTTAAGTCAATCTGTGAAATTTGATTTTAAGTCAATCTGTGAAATTGGTTTGACATCAATCAGTGAGATTGGATTATAAGTAAATCTGTGAAATTGACTTTTAAGTAAATTGGATTATAACTCTAATAGTATAAACAAAGTATTGGATATTATTTAAAGGAAGAATTTTACAAATCAGGTAAATTCCACATAAGATTAACAAACCTGTTATCTGTCCTTTGATTGCTTTTTTGTCTATTTGTAATTATTTTATCAAAGGATATATATAATTTTGTAAACAAACGCTCCTAAAGAATGATGGCTGTTCTGTTCGGACCTTCATCAAGTAGGCTTTGAACTCATAAATCTGAAAATTTGTTCAGTTTCAAATGAACTCCAGAGCATGAATATTATGTCAGGGCAGACTGAACCCTTAGAGTTCTGGTTTTCGTCAAGTTTGATCTGAACCCTAGAGTCCAGGTTTTTGTTGAGTTTGATCTGAACCTTACTTGGAGTCCTGGATTTTGTCAACTTTGATCTTAGAGTCCTGGTTTTCGTCGACTTGGATCTGAACCCTAGTGTCCTGGTTTTCATCGAGTTTGATTTGAACCCTAGAGTTCTGGTTTTCATCTGAACCCTCGAGTCCTGGTTTGTGTTGAGTTGGATCTGAACCCGTAATGTCCTGGTTTTCATCAAGTTTCTGGGCGTTACTGATGGTGGCTCGTTCTCTAAGATGTTGGCTCACTAACCCGAAGGTCCCATGATTGATCCCGACGTTGGCCGAGAAAGTTCATCAGGATTTTCTGTCATGGTTCCCCCCTTGTCAGTGGTGCAGGATAGAGGGACTGGCAGGGGACAATGTTGGCGTGCCCATAGAAGAACCCTTAACAGTTGAATTCGATATCAAAGTAGATCGTCTTCATTAGCCCAGTCGGTGCAGAACAGTAGGAAATAAACTCCTTTTCATTTCATTTGCGTTATTAATTATTTTGATAAGGTGTGTAAATATTTGTAAATATGTGATGTGCTGTGTAATGTTTGTAAATCTGGACACGCTTTCATTAGTGTTTGTTACTTTGATTAGTGTTTGTTATGTATATACCTATGGCTTCCTTTTTCTGTATATAAATACTTAAGTTTTAAACATATATGTTACCATTTGCTTGATAAAGACTAGAGTATCATCGTCGAAATGTTGCATGTTAATAAACCAGTAATTGTTATTCCATAAATAGTGTTAGTGTGTTCTGTGATGTCTTCTTCCTACTTAATTGGTGCAAGGGAAATTACCTTTGGCTCATTTAGTAGAGGTGTATGGATTTCCTGGAGGTCAAAGGTTAGAGCCCGTTGTTGGCTGAGAATGTTCATCAGGATTTTAAGGCGTGGTTTCCCAATTCATTGTATGGATTCAAGGCCCGGGGTTGTGAGTTCAATTCCGAGCATGGTCTTCGAGGGTGGATATAGATTATTCTAACTAGTTGATATAGATGAATAGAATATTGAGGGTGGGTATAGATGTTATATGATAATGATGTATACATTACACAAGGGTGCGACACAATTATATAAATTCACAAGCTACTTGGGAAGGGTCATGCTATTTATAAAGCAATTTAAACAAGCAATTTGGATGATGGCATGTAGCTAGGTCATATTATTTATAAACTAAAACAAACAATTTTGACAATGGAATGTGGAGCTTCATGAATGTGTTTTTGAATTAAGTTATTAAAAATGTTCAAGAATGTCTTTTAAAAATGTCAGTGAATGTGTTTTTGAAATAAGTTATTCCAAATGTCCACTCTCGTTAGTTTATCGACCTTCGATCTAAACATGTCGTTAGTTTACCGACCCCAGATCTAAACATCGCGTTAGTTTACAGACAAAGGTGATTATGGTCCTTACAAGGAACATGTTAAGACATTTGATTGGTCTCAGGAAGGTTGGATGGCCGAATGGTTAGCATGTGTGCGCTTTATCATAAGATCTGTCATTGAGTTAAGTGGCGTAGTTTCGATTCTCTAGTTGTACGTGACAAGGAGTAAGGTCGCCTGTCCAACCTCATGGGTTTTTTCTGGGTCCTCTGGTTCCCCCCACTGCTAAAGACCCTTACGAGCAAGCGAATTATTGAAATAAAATTGAACCATACGTTAGACCTGAAATGACCTAGTCTGTGTTGAGTGGACATTAAACCCCATTTCTCCCTTTCTCTCTCTCTCTTATCTAGTTTAATGTTGATTTTGTTTTCTTAATTAAATATCAAATAATCAATTTGAGTACATATTAGCCTGGATTAAGCCATGAAAAATTAAATATTTTAACGAAAAATGTAAATGGTGGTCAGGACTCTTTAACATAGGAACTAATTGAAAAAAAAAAAGTCATTTTTATCAAGACCTGCTGCAAGATGTGAAAATTAAATTTGCTTTGTCTTAGTCAAAAATGGGTGTCAATGTTCACACCTGTAGCAATATGTTGATTTATATTTTCAGACAATAAATCATGGGACAGTCACTTTAATTACTATCCAGACAATAAATCATAGAACATTTCCTTTAATTATTGCCAAGACAATTTTAAAAATGTCCGACACAACTATTGCCTCGGGCTTTTTATTTATGATTATTTATTTTTTTATAATACTTCAAAATACAATTGATGAGAGTTTTATGTGTTTTGTTCTATGTTCGTACTGGGTGACACAATCTTAACACGTTAACGTTAGGTACATATGTGACATGGGCGTCTGCTTGTAAATACATACACACCTTATGTTTTAAACCTACAGAAAACTTTTTGTTTTGTTTATCGATTGTTTTAGTGAAATTCTGATGACTCTTTTGTTGATTTTAGATTTTATGCTAATGATTTGATTAGTCTATCTGAGACTGTTGCTATAGTTACCGATTGTTATAGGATTATCTGTGTGGGTAGGCTATGATGTGTATAGTTTAAAGTTTTTATGAAATGGAATCGTTTAATCTCCGAGGATTAGCAACAAAAACATGGAATATAGACTATTGAATTACTTTCACGTTATATCTGGGCGTATTTGTGAATTATTTTGTGACTTTAACAGAATATGGGGATGTCAGATGAATTAAATGGTCTGCTACATAAGAATTATTTTAACGTCTGTTTCGCGTTACTCAATAACAAATCAGTTCCGCCCCGTTTCCAAATATGAAAACTTTTAGAAGTGTGATATTTCCCAACATATTTAGTGGCTCCTTGTCGTAGATTTTTGGCGCAAAAATGTCTGTAGCTGATTCCAGTTCTCTGTCAGAAATTGACCTTGACCTTTTTACTCCACAGACGGACTGGCATGATGGTGAGGCATTAGCAGAATTAGTGTCGAACTCAGGAAAAAATTTACCAGATTTACAAGATGAAATTGGATTACCCGTGGAACTTATTAGAAAAAGTGAGTTGGTTTCATTTATCTAATTCTTAATGTCTGTTCATCTTTCGGGAGCCACGGTGGCTAAATGGGTAAGATGCTGGCTCGCTAGCCTGGAGGTCACGTTTTCGATCCTTGCATTGGCCGAGAAAGTTCATCGAGATTTTCTAGCGTGGTTTCCTCATGTCAGTGGTGCAGAACAGAGGGCCTGACAAGGACAGCTGTCTAGTCGTTAGGATATGATGAAAAAACGAGGTCCCGTGTATACGTTGGCTTGCGCATAACAGATCCCTTGGCAGTTGGATTATATGAGTAGGCCATAATGCTACTGCCCAAACAAAATTTCTCTCATAACACAGTGCATGGCGTATGCCCGTCTTCATTACCCCTGTTGGTGCAGAACAGTTGGATGTCATCAAACACTAATTACATCATACAAGGTTGACTTATTTCTTAACTCATCTCAATTTCAACCAATTATGTTTTAAAATTTGGGCTATGGGCCCGAGAAGCGAAAATGAAAGTTTGTTCAGAGGAAAGAATGACTTGCACGTATACTAATGTAGGACATTATGCCAACAGAGTTTTCTAACCCTAAAGCCCCCATCAGACCAAAGCATTATCTAACGCGACTCAAGTTAATTTGAGTCTCATTGTAAAGCTGGAGAAGGTCATCCTAGATCGCGAAGGTTGCCGTTAGGTCTTGTGAATTAGGAGTAGGTCTTGTTGAAAAGGCATCTAATCGATCTCTTCACAACGAGTGACCGTGACGGTCCAGGTCGTTCTTGGGTAACATTGGGAGTCTGGGACTGATCATGTTGCATCACATCGGATTGTGTTCGGTCGTGTTAATGTCTGATTGGATTGCCTTGATCGTGTTGTTTGATTGTATCAACATCATGCAGATACCCAGCCTGTCGATCCTGGAGACTGGTGGAAGCAAGTTTGTACTGCGATTATACGTGACCTGCTAAAAATATGAGTCTCCTTGGATCGGCAAACTTTTTAGGTCTAGTCTGTGCATATTCTACTCTATGCACAATACAAAATACAAGCCATATTCCTGATCATTTTATACTATTCTACAGAGGTTATCAAGGTCTTGTTGGATCTGGACTGGAGCGTTGATTGTGTTGAGGTCAGATGTAGATCCAGTTAACATGTATCCTGGGGTGATACGCTTCTCTCACGATCCAACACGACCTCAACAACCTGGTAACCCAAGTCCCTGTGTTTGCCTGTCTTCATTAATCCATGCAGAAAAGTAGGACGTTAAACCCCATTTCATTTAGTTCCATATTTAATTTCCATGTTTATCTTGTGATTGCCAGGTATTATTATAGGTATTTATTTGTATTGCCAGGTATTAATGTAGGTATTTATTTGTATTGCCAGGTATTAATGTAGGTAAATATTTGGGCGTGGAATCAGTTTTAACGGCTGAAGAAATCACAGAGGAAACACGAGAACATCTGGGAATCATGACGTACGTCTCACAGTTTCTACCCCATTCAGAATATACACAGACTATTAATTATCATGATGTCTCCTTTAATAGGGTAAGTTATCATTTTCTAGTACCACTTATCTTTGATAGAACACCCACTACCCCGAGTACCCTCTCTCTAATATAGCAAGTTGCTCTAGAACACCCAATATTACTTTACAACTATATAACAAATTACTCTAGAACAATACCACTTCACTTTGACATAGCAAGTTACTCTAGAACACACTCTACCTTTTTTTCTAATTACTCTAGAACGCCCAATACCAGTTATCTTTGTTATAGAACGTTACTCTAGAACACCCAATATCATTTTGTTTCTAATTACCACTTCACTTTGATATAGAAAGTTACTTTAGAACACACAACACTACTTATCTTTAAAGGACAATATTGGTGTCCGCCATATCACATATGTGATAGAACTAGTTAAACACGTTCCAGATATCATTTTAACAGTACGATAAATGCGTAACGATGATTTGAAGAAACGGGAAGTGATGCAAAAAATGCAAAACATGAGTTATCCTTATATACAACTGACTGAAGTGACGAGTGATAAGTTGTTATATAAAACTGTGAGAGGATATCTGACAATTCATAAAAGGAATTGACTGTCACTAGATAAGAGAAAATAAAGAAAATAGAAAAAGTCTGTATATTACCATGTTTTTATTAAGTATAGAATGAAAAAAAAACAAGGGAATGTATGGGCAATTTACTCTTAGACGTTAAACTCCATTTCCTTTCATTTCATATTTTATATACCATAATTGAATTACGAGAAAGATTTAATACAATAAGTAGTCTATATAGATAACAGGGACCTAGCTAGAAGAATATCTGAGAATATGATACCAGAGACTATTGTCGAGGTAGACTTAGTTAGAAGAATATATGAGAATAAGGCCCTACCAATTAGTTTTATAAAACCTCTTCGGAAAGAAGAAATCGAATTAAAAAAATATATGGTTGGCCTTCTCAAAATATTTTAGTTCCAAATTTGTAAGTTTTTGAATTTTAAACTAAACACCATACACAAGACTTGAGTTTATTTATTTATTAAGACTCTGAACAACTAACAAGTAATTTAGTTTGGCCTAAGAAAATGGTTCAGAATCAGGAGAGAGGGCATATAGACTATGCCTGTTCCTCAATCCATTTCTATTTTTGAATAAGATATTGTTTAAAAAAAATTATCTCGACAATAAGCAGTTGACATACAAATCAGTACATACATACATACATGGGACACAAAACCCTAAGAGCTAAATATGAAATTTGTTTTGGCCTTTGAAGAATATCTAAGAATATATCTCAATGATAAGTAATTGACATACATACATACATACATATACAACAAGTTGAACATAACTATGAATCATAATATCCTACAACTTTTTCTTTTATTGTCTGGTATGAAAATACCAAAATAAATTTATATTTATAAGCAGATCTATTAACAAATCATTACTACAGTAAAAATGGGCGACTATCAAAATGTCATTAAGTAGACCATAGCTGCCATGCAACCCCTGATCCCCACAATGGGAGGTCAAACTGTTTTAAGAGCTACAAAAAAAGAAGCGACCCTAGCAAGTTTTGATTTCTGTTGAAAGAAGAATTGGGTAATAAAAGATTTAGAGGGATTGCCAACCTGTTCGGGGACATTGTTCTCCTAAGCTTTTACTCTTGAGGTAGTTACAGTTACAGAACTACTCAGTCAGTGATAAATCGACTTTTTGTCCGATTTCATTTCTGTTTTAACTCTACGTAGTTTAGTTGTGTGTTCTGAGACAATGGATTTGTTCTGTGAAACTAAATTTTCTGAGTGACGGACGTGTTCCAACATGGCCATCTACCTCAAACGCTTCTCATTACGATTGTGTGGAATAAATTCGAACGATTTTAAAAGCTGATATTTTAGGATTTATAAAATGTGTTTGTGTTAATGTCCTGATTTCTTGGAGAATCAAATTCTGTTTTGATTTATTTGTGATTTGACAGAAATCGTCCTCACCTTAGATTTAAAAAGGTGCTATTTTTATATTAAAAAGGACAAACTTTGATTATTTGAAATCAAATTATCTCATCACAATGTCGTCAATGTATTCAAAGCGAGGAAGTATGGAAAGTGTTTTCAGTGCATCTGACAGTCAGATGATACCAAGACGACAGGTTACGTTCAATGATTCCACTTCATCTTACGATGCGAGTGGAATGATGGATTCTATGAATTCGTCTTCATATGAGGCCAATCGTTCCTATCGAATATCACAAAGGTCTCAAAAGGTATTTTATATAAAAAAGTTTGTTTCGTTTTCTCTCAGGTCTTTTCTTTTTGCATTGATTTTGATAAAGGCACACAATTTGGATTGAGAAGGCCGTTTAATTTTATAAATGACATGTCACATAATATATGAAATTATACATTATGTGAACAATTATAAATAGAACAATATAAAAGGGGAAATGAAATGGGGTTTAACGTCCTACTGTTCTGCTCCTACTGGGCAGTGAGCTATAAGAAATTTTGGCTTTGGCTGAGATAGTTCATCGTAATTTTACGACATGGTTCCCCTTTGTCAGTGGTCAAGACGGAGAGCCTGACAAGGACAGCTGTCTAGTCATTCGGATGGGATAAAAAACCAAAGTCCTGTGTTTACATTGGCATGCATATGAAAAGATCCCTTGGCAGTTGGAATTCGATATAAGTGTAGGCCATAGCAGGGCAAACTTTCCCTCATAGCACACAGCATGGCATACACCAGTCTCTATTATCCCAGTCGGAGCAGAACAGTAGAATGTTAAATCCCATTTCATTTTGGGGGGTTGGATGACCGAATGGTTAGCACGTGCAAACTAAACAATAACATTAACACAGTACATGAATAGTTTAAGATAACCATTCTACCTGTCTGCCACAACAGCGGCTGATCTCGGGTGAATCCACTCGCTGGTCTCTGCTTCTCTCTTCCTCCCGTCGCTCAGTGTCTTGTCATTGAGTCAAGTGGCGTGGTTTCGAGTCCAGACTTGCATGTTACAAGAAGTAGGGTCGCCTGTACAACTTTCGTTTCCTTCCACTGATACAGACCCCTTCGCACAATAATTGAACTGTATGTTAATCCTGAAACGACCTTGTTTGTATCTAGTCGATGTTAAACCCCATCTCTCTTTCTCTCCATCCTGCACAACTAATAAAGGTGGAACCATGCTGTAAAATCCTAAATATCCTTAGCCATCACCAGGATTGTACCCTGGGTCTCTCTAGTTAGTGAACCCACACCATACTTAATGGTGTCATCGTGGTTCTAGTTAGTGGACCAACACTATACTCATCGTGTTATCATTGTTCTAGTTAGTGAACCAACACTATACTCATCATGTCATCATGGTTCTAGTTAGTGAACCCAACACCAAATGCATCATGTCATCATGATACCAGTTAGTGAACCAACACCATACTCATCATGTTATCATGGTTCTAGTCATATTCCTCGCAGTGTTTCGTTTGATTAAACCTAATCCCACTCAAGCACTGCTGTAACGAAATCATATTTCTGTTCCAAATTATGACTGGTCAATAGTCCGATTAACATCCAATGCCTAACTGCGTAACAATGTCGTTCGGGTTTAAACAGAGCTCGACATTGTTTACATAAGGTTACGTCATGACTCACGAAATATTTGCACACGATTTACACAGTGCATAGCAGAATAATGCAGAAAAATTAATTGCGTGACAAACGTGGCTATCAACGGTTACAATGTGAACGCTACTGCTTGGAGATGAACAATATACTTTCATCGTTTTTAATACCTTAAATCACTGTCCAAAGTTTTTGGGAAGACCCCAGATTAAACGAAGAGCTGTCATGCGGCTGTACTTGGGATATATTTGATTAAACAGGAAGAATAGACACACTCCCTCAAAAGCTCAAGTATCATAAGTCAATTCAGCAATCCAGAGAGATTTCTTGGGCCATTGCTTCTGGAATATGGGTTCTAGTTAGTAAACCAACACTATACTCATCGTGTCATCGTGGTTCAGGTTAGTGAACCAACACCAAGAGAAATTTAATCTGGGGAAAAATGAGATTTTATAATACGTAGATTAATCTAGATGAGTTTTTAAAAAAGGAGACTTAGTAAAAAAAACAAACGTGGGAGGTTTAATTCAGAAATGGGAAGATATAGATCAGTAAAAAGAGAAAAAATTAAATGAAATTACAATGAATTGCCCTGATATAGGATCTTTAGTATAACACTATTAGGAGTATCCTTGTAGACCTTGTCCACATCCTGTCCTCCCACGAACATTCTTATACTGAAAGCCCACCTGAACAGAGAACTGTCTTATATTGAAGTAATTCTTCATCATCCTCACAACACTAAGAATCTACCTTGTGAAGATGACATTTACTATATTATGAATACACTACTGTCACTAGTATCATAGTAAGGATCTGGCTTGTGAAGATGGCATAAAATAATACACATGAATACACTGGTGCAGTATCATCAGTGTCAGCAGTAAGAATATCAATCTGGCTTGTGAAGATGACATAAAGTTGACTATGCACATTTATACACCAGTGTCACAAGGTATAATCAATGTACACATGCACACCGACACAGAAATAAACTTGAATAAAGTTGAATAGTAAATAATCTGCTATCCCTCTACAAATACTTTATATGAGACTGGAATATTTAATTCATACAAATTTAACATAGATGTCTGTGTTTTTGTTACATCATGTTTGTTGTTATTCTAGTGTGCTAACTAGTGGATGGTTTTCTGTATTCTATAATCTAAGTTTATCTTTAAAAACTACTCCTATATTTCTTTGAAGCTTAGAAAATCTAATCACTATAAGTACTCAGGGATTGGATATCTGACAGCACACACTAGGGAGAGAGGGGACAATTGGTATTCAAGAAGGGAGGAGCCATTTGGTGTTCAGGGAGGGATAGGACAATTGGTGTTCAAGGAGGGAGGAGACATTTGGCGTTTTGAGCATGTGTTAACATGGAGAAGGCGCTATATAAAACCTCATTATTATTATTATTATTATTATAGGACATTTGGTGTTCAGAGAGGGAGGAGACAATTGGTGTTTAGGGAGGGATGGGGCATTTGGTGATCTAGGGGGATAGGACATCTGGTGTGCAGGGAGAGGTAGAACATCTGCTGTTCATGGAGAGAGAGAGAGAAATGGGGTTTAACGTCCACTCGACACAAACTAGGTCATTTCGGGACTAACATGGTTTAATTTTATTTCAATAATTCGCTTGCGCGTAGGGGTCTTTTATAGCAGTGGGAGGAAACCGGAGGACCCGAAGAAAACCCACGAGGATGGACAGGCGACCCTACTCCTTGTCACGTACAACCAGGGATTCAAAACCATGCCAGTTGACTCAATGACAGGCTTTATGATACAGCGCGCACGTGCTAACCATTCAGCCATCCAACCCCCCTAGGAGAGAGGACATTAGGTGTTCTTATCAAGGGGGACGTTGGGTGTTAGGGTGGGAAGGTACATTGGGTGTTCTTAGGAAGAGGGACATTTGGTGTTAGGGAGGGAGGGGACATTAGATGTTCGTGGCAAGCTAGGACGTTAGGTGTTCGTCGAGAGCTAGGAAATTAGGTGTTCAGGGAGAGAGGACATTGGGTGTTCTTACGAATGTGAACATTGTGTGTTAGGTAGAAGACATGGGGTGTTTAGGGAGGGAAAGAATGTAATGTGTTCAGGATTTGAGCAGACTTTGGAAGAATCTAAAATGAACATTTCAAAATTGTGTTTAGTAGCCACTCTTGCTACCTGTATATCTCTCATCATATTTCTTACATGAGAAAATTTAAACATTACGAACTCCCTTTTATCTGTGTTTACATAGCAGAAACTAATCACAACATCTCTCTCTCTCTCTATCTCTCTTTTGTTGTAGCCGTCTGCTGTTACAAACTGCCTTTAATAGGTATTTAAATAGCAGAAACTAATCACAACCTCTCTCTCTCTCTTGGTGTAGCCGTCTGCTGTTATAAACTCCCTTTAATCTGTATTTAGATAGTAGACATCTTTTGTCGTTAATTTATACCTGTCGTCATTCATTATTCATGTCAGGTTAACTAAAATCTCAATAATAATGTTAGCAAGCATTGTCATCGTGAGCTATCGTGAGAGGAGTCTTTATGCATGTCTCTCTATTGGTGTCATATCAAACTTTATTCACAACTAACCAAGCGGAACATTGAAACACAAATAAAGCTATGTTATATTGTAAAACCACTAGTAGACATATTTTTGAATTGACTCCAGTGTATTTCAACGTTAGATTATATTTAGGGTATACACCTAATCAGACTGTCTATTTTAGCAAAAGTAGCAATATTTTATAGCTGCAAATTCCTGATTGTACTTAACTTCTTCAGAGTGTATATTTAGTGTATCCCTAATCAAGGTTCATGGTTTTGCAAAAGTAGAAAACTCTTATTAATATATAAAATCAGCCATCTCTAATCTTTGCAAGGAGTTAATGCATGTTATATTATGGCCATCTACAAACTTATAGTCTAGTCATTCGGATGGGACAAAAAAACAAGATCACATATACACACTGGCGTGCATGTAAAAGACCCCTTGGCAGTTGGAATTCGATATAAGAATAGGCCGTAGCACCGCTGCCCAGGCAAAATTTCCCTCATTGCATACTGCATGGCGTATGTCCGTCCTCATTGGAGCCGAACAGTAGGACATTAAAACCCATTTCATTTCATTTCTTTTACAAACCTTCACATTTATCAAATATAAAATAATATTTGGTTACAGTAAGTGACGTTATCAAGATATAAAACCCTGAGTATTTATAAATATACATGTTCAACAATTAATATGATTAAAAACTGATTTATGGTAACAAATTATCCAAGTTTCATTGCCACTTGACAAAAATTATTTATTTAAAGGGACGAGAAATTACTACTTTCTTTTTTTTTTACTAAAACATAATTTTGTTTTAATGGACAACATGGGAGTAAATTACCCTAGCACGGTTTCCTTGGGTGCAGAGCTTAATTAGGAGCAGTTGGTCGGATTGATCTAAACTCATCTCTGACGTTTGGGGTAGGGTGGGGGGGGAGGGGGACACAGTCTATTCATTCTATTAGAGATAGATGTTGGAAGCATACATAGACTATATTCTAATAAAACAAACGAACAAACGAACAAAAATTGTTTTCAAATATTTACAAATTAGTTATAACTTTCTAATTTCAGATTACAACATTTGAAAATGATTCCAATTTTTCCAACACCACCTCTTCTCTTACGGGGAACTCTTTACAGCACATACAACAGCCACAGTCATCAAACTTTCATCTGGTGCGACATCGTGAATCGACTGCCATTGATTACCCTACGAAAGAAACGACTAAAATTGATATTTATTCTGTCGGTGTTATTATCGACACCAAAGTAAGTATTTTTGTATGTCAACACATAAAGAGACATTGCTCCTGCTCATTTTACCATTACCATATTCAACAACAATTGAAAGTTTCTGGTTTTAATTAAATCAAAAACAAAATACTAATGCTAGATAATGTCCCAGCTTGGATTCAATCAGATTTAAAACAGACCTATCAAAACAACTTCACGGACAACAATATGGCAGCAAGCTTGTAATTTAGTGAACAACATAGATCGATGAAATTTTTATTCCACATACCTTTGTAATTACTAAATGAAATTGAATCTTAGAGATTCATCTATCACAATATTGTAGTTTACGAGTGATTCCTATTACTTTAAATGACACATCAAGACTTTAAAGAACAGGGAAAATTAGTTGTATGTCTTACAGATAAATATCAATGGAGAGATTACCAGAGGTGGCAACTCGAGTCCCATTAATGATCTGAATTGGGACTCGAAAGTTGTTACGACTTGGGACTGGAAAGAGCTTAAGACTTGAGTCGCAGCGAGGGGGCCTAATTCTAATTTACCTTATACGCCATAAATTGCTAACTCATTTGATGAACTGGCAACTTGAACAGGACTCGGACTTTGTGAAGACTTTGGACTCCATTCGGTACTAAAGTCAGCGACTTGGGACTCAACTCGACTCAAGGTGGGCTACTTGGGACTCAACTCGGACCCGACATGTGGCAACTTGGGACTCGACTCTGGCTTGAGTTCCCACGACTTATTCCCACACCTCTGGAGATTACCCAGAAGATTTGGCCAAGTTAAAATTGGATTGAAATAAAATTTTAAAAAATTAACAGCTAGCTTAAGACATGTTGAGGTCGTAACAGCCAAAAACGAAACTTAAACTCATCTTTTATTCCAGGTTCACAAACCGTTTGATCCCGAGAGAGTGAGAATAGAGGCTGTAGCTCCGAGTGGTCGGGTTGTCAAAATGACGGGAGATGGACATTATTCCGCGCAGTTTTTGCACACGGAAATCGGAGAATGGAAGGTGTCGTTGTACTATAAAGAGAAATTTATTGATGGATGTCCGATTGATATTTGTGATCCATCACAAGTTCGTGTTGTAGGATTAAAGGCTGGTTCCGTAGGAAAATTACAAGAATTTCACAGTAAGTAGCAATGGTGTCGCCAACCAGAAGATCCAGGGTTCAATCCTGGTGTTGGTTGTCAAGTTCTTCTGGAATTGTGGATGCTAGTACAATAAGGTGGACAGGACAAGTGCCATTGTTTTTAAATAAAGATCATTTGATTTTTTCAAATAAATCCATTTTTAACAGATTTTATGAAAAACTTGTTCATTATTATCGTTCTAATTCCGCTTATCACACACTATATGTCAATTTTAATGTTCTTGACTAAAAATATGTAAAAATACAGATTTTGTGAAATGGCACTTGTCCACCTAATTGAACTAGCATCCTCAATTTTCATTGTGATTTTCCTTTGGATGTGATGCCGGATAGAGGGCTTGGCAAAGGTACAGTATCTAGTTGTAGGATTGGATGAAACATGAACGATTTCCTGCAGTTGGTGTGCACGTTAAAGAACATTTGACAGTTGGGATTCGATGAAGAGTAGTCAGAAGCAACGCCTCTGTCCTGGGAACCTTTCCCTCATAGCCCGGTTGGTTCAGAAAAGTAGTACGTTAAACCCCATTTCATCTCTTTTCATTTGTTTGACTGATATCAAAACAAGATATATTCATGTGGTGAATGTACAACATTTTAGCAACCAATGTTTTTATCCCAAACCTTAACCAGTTAGCCCCTACTTGATGAAAACTTATGTAGCCAAGGCGCTGGTCTGCCAATGAAGTAAAAAATAATATAAACAAATGACAATTGTCACCTGACTTTAATGAGGGGGTACTCAATTGAACGTTTCGGAATTGAATTCTCTCAATCCCAAAAACATTTACAATCGAGTGAAAAGGGGGATTCCGGGCTACAATGCATGTGTCGACTGAATAAGTAAATATTTGTTGTGTTTAATTACGTCACGATTCTACTCACCCCACCTCTGTGGTCGGGACTGACAGAACTGTGACAGGACTGAATTCTGTGTTACTCGATTGCAATTCTGTCAATTCACAACGTTCTGGACTGTGCATCGAGCATCCCCTGAGAGGGAAACAAAGGCTTGATGGTAACCAGGATGAGTTCAATCCAACTGTTGGACAAAAATTGTTTTGGAATTGTAACATCCTTGAAGTCTTCATCAATTGAAGTCAGTCATCAATTTGCACTATCCAAAGGAACAAGCATGTCACGCTTCATTTCAATCATACTTGATTGACCGAATGTTAAAGCATAACAATTGACATCTGTCTTTTATGAGAGTGAAATATTTTATATTTTTCTAGTCGATTGTACGAAGGGAGGAGATGGAGAAGTCGGGGTCGATGTCACACATAATGGCCGTCAGATTATATCTCACGTAACACAAGTAGAACGAGGCATGTATCGTGTAACTTATACTCCGTATGATCCAGGTCCTTATTCTATAGATGTCACTTTCAACGGAGCAGAAGTTAGAGGTATGTATATATATATATATTTTTTATTGTATATTATTTGTACAGTTGAATATCTATATTAAACATACATTATGCAAGAGCTAAATCTGCCTGTTGCAGGTCTTTCTTTAGGCCTGAAATGTTATCTGAATTATTAATTAGACATTAATTAACTTATCCAGACCATAATCAAGACACTCGAGATTTTAATTTAAAAATGGGAAAGTGAGGCTAAGTCTCGATTATTCCAGTGCCCTGGTTGCCACAATACACATATCTTGTCAAAACTACAAACACCGATAACTTGACTCAAAATAGAGTAATTTGGATCAAATTTTCAATAATTTCATTTTGCATTATCTATTTTTGAGCTAGTATAGCAAGAATGGTCAGCTCTTTATCTAAATCATAAATAATGAATACCTGTTCGGGGGTTTGCGGCTACACTAGGGCTGCCTAGTGGCTGATGCTGATCCGGGTAGTGACTTAGGTCTGGTGGTGTACCACTCCCGGTTTATATATATTTATATATGTGTCTGTCCCATCATCATTTGCGGGGTTCGCAGCTATACAAGAGCTGCTGGTAGGCTGAAAGTTAGTGTATAAGGACTGCTCGAGCCTAGGGGAGTGACATATAGGTCAGTTAGCATTGCACTACTACTTCTAGATTTTAAGTTATACAACATTTTCTTTCATGAAACTCCTATATAGAAGCATCACAGTAGAGCCTATTTTTAAGGAAATTTTCTCGGAGCATGTCAATCTGGCAACGTTAATTGTAGGTGGAGGGAGGGGAGAATTTCTAAAAAAATACATGGTCTCTAGCGTCAGTTTGGCGTATATCTGCAGAAACTCGACGAGGTCACTGCCAAGACATAGAAACTTACAACCTAGACTGTGCGGGAGCCTTTGGTCCATACCTATATATTAATTCATACCGCTCCCGTTGTTGGCAGTGAAAGTTCGTCAAAATTTTCTGACATGGTTTCTCCTTGTCAGTAGTGCAAGACGGAGGGCGAGGTTCTATGCCCATATTGGCGTGAATGTAAAAGAACCCTTGACAGATGAAATTTGATTTACAAGTAGGCCGGACTGCTACTACCCTGGCAAAATTTCCCTAATGGTGTATGCCCATCTTCATTATTTCATTCAGCTCCCACATTTTACAAACTCAGAAACTATTTTTTATATATTGGTATTGTTTTATATCTTGATATATTTATTTGTAGATTCTGATTTCTACACAACTGATCCAGAAGAACGACAGAGAAAGGCTGTGTTTTACACAGAATTTGAAAATGTTGACGATCAGAGAATTAAAGTTAAAACTTCCTGTAAGTTTCCTATAAAATATTTTGCTTGAAACAGAAGTGGGGATTGGGTGGCGGAATGGTTTAACGAATGTGTGTTGGATCATAAGGTTTTTCATTGAGTCAAGTGTGGTGGCTTCGATTGCCAGCTTGTACATAACAAGGAGTAGGGTCCAACCTTGTGCATTTTCTTCGGATCCTCCCCTTTCCTCCTACTGCTAAATAAGGGCAAACAAATTAATGGAATGAAATTGGACCATGTTAATCATAAAATGAACCTTTTTTGTGTAGATTTCTGTTGAGAATGAAATCGAAAGTAGGAAAGCCAAACTGTAGAATATTGTTAACTCTGTGACTATAGATGGTAAGCACACATTGCGTAGAGGGAAGTTGTAAAATTGAAAAGGTTTATTTGGTCTTTGTGTGAAATGGGGAAGAACTGCATTACAAAATAGTGTACTATATTTTGGATATTGCAGTCATTCATGGCAGAGATCTATTCCTGAAGTAGTTAGTTCTCTGTGTGCAGAATGATGTACCACCATGAACAAAATGTTTCAGTGAATAATATTTGAGTAATGTGAAATATTTGAATGTTTTATTTCAGGTGATTGGGAGATAGATTATATAACTGGTGGACCGTTTGTATGTCATGTGACCGATGGTTCCGATATTCAGGTTTACGGAATGAATGATGGAACAATATGTAGCACTCCTCAACTTATAGGTGAAGACAAACTTAATATCCTCAACTAATAGATATTGACAAACTTAATATCCTCAACTGTTGAACAACATGCCTTGTCCTGTTGTGCTTCCCATCTTATGAAACTCTTTACAATCAAGTCAGTATCCACAGTGGATACCGAGGATGTATACAGACCTTTAAACAGAATAGTTAAAGATGCATCATGTAAAATTTAGATAAAGAGCTGGCTGTTCTTGCAATAATAGTTCAAAAATAGATTATGCAAAATGACTATATTGAAAATTGAATTCAAATTATTTTATTACCGTAGCAAAGTTACGTGTTCATCGAAACGAGATGAGATTCGCCATTTTTAAATTAAATCAATAAATGCTGATCGTCTTTCAATCCGTTTAAATCTCCACCATCTGATGGTCTAGAGAGTTGATTATAGGCTTGTCATGTGAATAAATGTCTAAACATTAGTTTACATAACATTTGAGGCCAAAATAAAGATTTGCAATAGGCAGATTTATCTCTTACATAATGCATCTTTAATAACTTACGCCTATGAGCATCTACTTAGTTGGAATTCCAATGCTATAAATAGGACGAAATAGTGAAATAAATTATAATTTATGTATTTAACAGCCGATTGTTCTAAAGCTGGTAATGGAATCCTGCAAGCGGAAGTGATGTATAATGGACAGAAATATAGTGCTAGAATAACGGAAGAAAGATTAAACGTTTATAGAATAACCTTTAGACCTACTGGACCTGGTATTTATAAAATATGGCTCACATACGATGGGAAGCCTGTTAAAGGTAAGAATTAAATCGGTTAAATATCCCAGTACTGGTTTTATAGATTTACTCTGACTTTATCAAATAGGACAGAGTTTCTGCATACTCTGCTTCATCATATTTAAACAGCTCAGTGTGTGCACGGACCTCTGTTTTTCATACTATCTAGATAACTAGATGCTGTTCCTTGCCAGGATCGCTGCACAGCACCACTGACAAGGGGAGACAATACTTTCAAATCCAGAGAAACTTTCTCTGCCAACACCGGGATTGAACACTGGGCTGTCTTGTTAGTGAGCTAGCACCTTACTCTCTGAGTCACTGTGACTTTCCTATGTAATATTGGGGGAGGGAGGTTAACGCGTGCACATTTGATCACAAGGGTCGCCTGTCCAACCTCGTAGGTTTTCTCCGGATCATCCGATTTCCTCCCATATGTTAGTCCCATAATGACCTAGTTTGTGTCAAGTGGACGTTAAACCCCATTTCCTTTTCTCTCTCTCTCTCCAATGTAATAGAATTTATATTTCCATTGTCTTTTTTTTTAGGCTCCCCATTTATACAAGAAATAGATGAACTAGAACAACCAATCGTTAGTGGTGAAGGATTAGTACGTGCGATGCCCCAAAGAACGTCAACGTTTATAGTGGATCCACGAGGTTGCCGTGGTAACCCAAGTGTTAATATTTTGGGTGAGTAAAAAGTTAAAAGTATCTGGTTTTTTTGGTGTCTAGAAAGAAGTTTCATTAAAGCCTCTAGGTGAATGATAATTATCAACAATCTAATTAAAACGATGAGATACTCTCTTTCTACGATGTTGGTTTTAATCCAAAGGCCCCAATATCAAAGCCAACCCTAAATTAGTTCAAATAAATTGTTTGTACCTATATTGTATATTGTTGTGCTGCATAAATCTATCTATCTACCATACTTACATATAAATTGCACCAGAATATGTCACCTTTTCGCTGTTGATACAAAGGCCCCATACAAGCTTAATCCGGCTCTGGATAATCCCAATTTAAAGATACATTATGTAAGATTTAGATAAAGAGCTAGCCTTTCTTGCTATAATTGTTTAAAGATAGATAATGAAAAATGAATATGTTGAAAATCACTTTATTCTAAGCCAAGTTATCACTATTTGTAGTTGTGACAAGATGTGTGCATTAAATTGATTTGTTATTATCGTACCCGTGGCACTGGTATATCTGAGTCTTAGCCTCGCTTCTCCATTTTTAAATTAAATCATTAAATGACCGAACCATTCTAATCTACTTAAAATTGGAGACATCCGATGGCATCAAGAGTTGATAATGGTCTTGTTATGTTAATAAATGTCTAAGTAATAGTTGGTATAACATTTCAAGCCTAAAGAAAGACCTGCAATAGGCAGATTTAGCTCTTGCATAATGTATGTTTAATTAGCTTGAACTTATTTTTATGTTTATGTTTGTGATCCCACTTCGAGCAATTTTTGTGTTTTTTGTTGTTTTCTTTTTTAAAGTGATGATTCCACATTAAACTTTTTTCGTTTAAAGTGATGTTTTGTTTTTATTTTAAGGTCCAACCCAAGTTGTTCCATGTCAGATAGAGCCCCAGTCGAACGGTACATTTAAAGTTTATTATACAGCTGTAGAGAAAGGACAGTATATTATAGATGTTAAATTTGATCATAAAGAGATAGAAGGTATGTCAACTCTATTTTAACGCACCTACAGGACGTGCCTTGACATGACAAATCTGTGCTTTGAAAATTTAAAATCCGTGCTTTGAAAATTTAAAATCTGTGCTTTGAAAATTTAAAACTTGTGCTTTGAAAATTTAAAATCTGTGCTTTGAAAATTTAAAACTTGTGCTTTGAAAATTTAAAATCAGTGCTTTGAAATTTTAAAATTCGTGCTTTGAAAAAAATGGTATGTATCCTTATGAATCCCAATTAAATGAAATGAAATAGGCGTTAACATCCTACTTTACCAGCTAATAAAGACAGGCATACGCCCTATAGCATGCTATGGGGGAAAATTTACCCGGGCAGCGGCACTACAGACTACTCTTATTTCGAATTCCAACTGTCAAGGGCTCTTATATGTACAGGCCAGTGTGTACACAGGACCTTGTTTTTTTGTCACGTGTCCTACACCCCTGACAAGGGTTAACCACACATGATGAATTTTATCAGCCCAAACTGGAAACAGACACAGGACCTCACACTCACTGAGTCGCGATGGCCCCTTGATATAGAAAATAAGTAAGGTTATTTTTTATTCCACAGTGAATGAATGGGCTTTGGCTGTCCATCCTATCGTCTTGTTTTTTTTACCAGAGAATATCCTATAAACCGTTCAAGGCGATATCATTACAAAACATTGTACAAACATCAACCTACTAATAGTAGTGGTGAATTTTGCTTATTCAAAAATTTTAATTCCCCCATACAGAGTATGAGTCATCCATACTTCTTGGTTCCTCATATAAATATCCATATATTATTTCACTTTGGCGTAGGATGAGGTTTTGTCCGAAAGGGGGAGAAGGGGGGCGGAGGTATCTTTTTACAGATTACAGTTTATGAGCCATCCATAATTTTTTAGGTTCCTCTTACAGATATCCATATGTTATTTTTATTTTTTTTTTGGGGGGGGGGGGCCCCTTAACGATTATTAGCTATACATTTTGTTTTTTAGGTTATCTATATAGATTATGAGATATCAATATTTTGTTTTTTTAGGTTCTCCATACAAATTATGGGTGGTAGATCCTTCGTTAGTTCGTGTATCAGGAGGATGGCGACCATTGATGGGTGATGGCGGTTTTATTCCGCTTGTCGTCAACAAAGAGAAACATATCCCATTTGATGCATCAGAGGCTGGCAATGGTGAGTAAATTATCGAAACATTAAAGATGCATTATGTAAGATTTAGATAAATAACTGACCGTTCTTGCTATAATAGTTATGGATAATAAAAAAGGAATATATTTAAAATGTCATTCAAATTACTTTATTCTGAGGGAGTTGTAAGTCTTTGAAAGTTGCAATTTCATATTTTTAAGTTATATTTTTAAAATGTATTAAAATAAAGCCTTAAAATAGATGGTATCTATAAACAGTACTACCTTGTTAAAGAATAATCCTATTAATCCTATAATTCACTATTGCCAGTTGAGAAATTGGCAAAAATATCATTTTCAACTTCAAATTCAAACGTTTAAAGAAAGCTATTCCATGTGGAGAATAGAAAAACAAGGGAGGTAATTGTGTTATTATTTACGGGGTCAAAGGATTTTTAAGTGGGAGAATAATACCTATGATCGTATAATATTGAGTTGACAACCTATTGAGCAAAAGACATAGAAATAATTATGTTTTGACTTTCTTAGAAAATATGAAATTATTGCTTTAAGGTTTCACAATATAATCTTGATTGTCAAGTATCACTGTTCTAGGGGGGTTGGAATGACCTAGTGGTCTAGAGTGTCACGCTTCGAGCTCTAGCTGGCCCTTCACCTCTGGCTTGCAGTCGTTGTTTAGATCCTTGGTGTGAGCGTATGTGGCTTGGAGATAGGGGCGCCTTCCCAACCCTGCGGGTTTACTCTGGGTAATCTGGTTTCCTCCCACAGGAAAGACCCCTCTGGTTTCCTTCCACAGGAAAGACCCCTGTGAGTGCACTAAGCATAGTAAAATAAGACCGCGTGTCTGCAATATCACCTTCGGTGGATGTGGCCGTTAATCACGAATACAAGAAGAACCATTGTTACGATAGTACAATTAAATTATTAAATGGAGATTGTGTTTCAGTCCATTAAAAATCACTCCCATCCAATATTCTAGAGTCTTGATTTTGGGCTTGTCATATGAATAAATATCTTATTAATAATTTATGTCACATTTGAGGCCAAAATAAAGAACTGCAATAGGCAGATTTAGCTCTTACATAATGTATCTTGACCATAAGTGAACACTTTTTAAAACCTTCGTGCTACATGTAGAACAACCAGTGATTGTAGTCAGTATAACTGTTTATTGTATTTTACTACTGAACAACAATTTTAACCAAGTACTGGACATGGCTTAATTTGTGTCTGCCATTGTCTGTGACAGATGCTCTGTTATTCATGCTTTATATATGATGTAATTACAGGTGAATTAACGGCAGAAGTACGTGGACCGTCTGGTCATAAGATACCTGTTGCTGTTGATGCTAGAAGTGATGGTAGAAATACTGTGATATTTACACCCAGAAACGAAGGTAGGTCAACAGAGTATACATTTCTAAACACCAATCATGAGATAATATGGCTTCTTTGTGTGCAATAGCCTATTGTTGTTGTTTATTACAAATTTAACGTTATAAAAACTGTTTAATTCGTTCTTCTGTCCAGTTTAAAGCTGACCATTCAATTTTGATAATGAGTGTCCAATTTACAAGTGTTTAATTTCTCAATCATTGTTAAAAAATAAATAACCCAATTGATTAATGATGTATAATGATTCATTTTTGAACAGTGGTCAGGAAATTAAATACTTGTACAATGTAAATTGGACACTCATTATCAAAATTAATCAGTCAGCTTTAAACTGAATACAAGTAGAAATTAAATGATATTTGGTGATTTTAAACGATTTTTACAAATTTTTAAACAAAGATTTGATATTAAACGAATGTGAAAGAAATTAGTGCTAGATACACAAGATTAATTGATCCCTGGGTTACAGTGGCTGTGCCTCTCTTTTAGGCCAGTCGGAGTAGGACAATAAACCCCTTTCCATTTCATTTCTATTTTCTTTGAAGCATTAACATAATCCTTGCTGTATAAATTGCTTGGCACTGTTTTGATGTTGTTATTTTTATTTATTTTATTCAGGAAAACACGAAATTGATGTATTCTGGGGAGGATATCCCTTGTTGAACTCCCCGTATCCTGGTTGGGCGACTTACAAACCAGACAACATCGAGCCACCTGTCCGATACGCTTACGCACCCCAGTCTCCGCCGCCTTCCATTATAGGATCAGTACGATCAGATGCTTACCCACAAGTCAGTGTTCACGGAAGTGATTATGATTTTTACAGAACCACAGTAAAGCATAATAACGCAGTTCATGTTCTACCAGTGAATGGTGTGCCCCTTCAACCACCAGGTCCCATTAAAAGAGCTCCGTTAAAGGTTGTTCTAAGAGGAAAGGGTCTGAAGGAGGCATATATTGATAAAGAGGCTAATTTTACGATCGATGCGACACAGTGCACAGAAGGTAAAATAAATCTATGGCCTAACACTTCTCATCAACATTTTAATAGGTCCATTTTCACCCCCATCACAATAGCACCCCTTCCTTCCCTATGAAAAGATCTCCTCTCCTATACCCACTCTATCACAGTAGCCCCTTTCCTACCCCCACTCTATCACAGTAGCCCCTTTCCTACCCCCACTCTATCACAGTAGCCCCTCTCCTACCCCAACTCTATCACAGCAGCCCCTCTCCTACCCCAACTCTTATCACAGTAGCCCCTTGCCTACCCCAACTCTATCACAGTAGCCCCCTGCCTACCCCAAACTATCACAGTAGCCCCTCGCCTACCCCAAACTATCACAGTAGCCCCTCGCCTACCCCAATCTGTCACAGTAACCCCTCTCCTACCCCCACCTTCACCACAATAGTTCCCTACGTTACAACTAAATATCTCAATACCCGTATCATATATTTTGTAGTAATTATATATTGGCCCATTCAGAATAGGACATTCTACATAACAAATTCCCAAACCTTTTTCACCCCAATTATGTTTGGATGGTTCGTTTCAAAATGGATTAAGAACCCTGCCTACATACCACAATTACTCAATAGACCCCCCACCTCCATATTAGTATAGGTAAATATCCCGATAATCGTATGTTCCATTTCATTATTTTTTTTAGGTATTCCGGATGTCAAGATGTCGAGCACCAGAACCAACATCCCCATTCATACGGCACGAGTCAAGCCCCAAGTTTATCAATGTACCTATGTGCCGCGAGTTCCCGGAGAATATCTGCTCTACATAAAATGGAATAATCAACCGTTACGAGGCTCGCCATTCAAGGTTAACGTACACGCCCCCTATCCCCTACCTGTTATAGATGTCACTGAGCCCGATTCGCCACCAGCCGCCCATAGGGTACGATTTGTACACCATGATCGGGAATTTACTCGTGTTGGGAAGCATGTTGACTTCCACATCGATACCAGAGATGCTGGTCCAGGTAGGTTCCACTTAGATGTTCTTATCAAGGATTAAATATGCATTATGTAAGAGTTAATTCTGCCTAATGTAGATCTTTTGTTTGGCCTCAAATGTTATATAAATCATAAATTAGACATTTATTCACATGCCAAGCCTACACTAAACTCTCTAAACCATCGGATTGTTGTGATTTTTAATGGATTGAAACACTATCACCATTTAATAATTTAATTTAAAAATGGATAATTGAGACTTTTTTTTATTGTAACAATGGTAATTGACAATCAAGACTATATTGTGACACCATCAAACACTGATATTAACTTCGCTCAGACAAAAGTAATTTGACTGAAATTTTCAATATACTCATTTTTAATTATCTATATTTTAACTGTTATATTGAGAACTGTCAGTGCTTTATCTAGACGTTACATAATGTATCTTTAATGTATCTTTTTTATAATTACCTGTAATTACCTGTATGTTATTGTTATATTATAATTACCTGTATGTGTTTGTTGTTTGTCAGGTGAGTTGATAACAAAGGTGATCAATCCACAGGGTAATTACGTTGATCACGAGGTAACCGATAATAATGATGGAACCAGAAAGATGAAGTTCTTACCCAAGATGATTGGTAGATACGTGGTGGATATACTTTATAATGGAAAACATATACATGGTTAGTAGTTTTAAAGATATAGAGAGAGAGGGAGATAGAGATAAAGAGTTTAACTTGCAGTCGGTCATTTCAGGTTTAACGTATGGTTCAATTTGATTTTATTTCAATAATTCGCTTCTGCATAGAGGTCTGTGGACAAACGGTTAGACAGGTGGCACTACTTCATGTCACGTAGCCTACAAACATGATACTTGGCAGACTTGTTCTTTGGACAATTGCGCATTTATTGACAACAGACTTCAATTTTTGATATATCTTTGTAATTCCTAAGATGGCTGCAGTCACATTGTTTCCTGTAAATAACCTCATTATATTGACATTAATTCATGGAATGTAACAATTTTTGTTTTTTTGTTTTCCAGGAAGTCCATACTTTATTGATATAACTGCTTCCATGCCGACAGGAAGCGTTAAAGTCTGGGGTCCAGGTATCGAGAGTGGTATTCTTGGACAGTTTCATTCACATTTCTGGGTGGAAGCTACTGGAGCTGGAGCTGGAGAACTTCGAGTTAAGATCATGGGTCCTAGAGGTCAGTCTATACTGTCTGTTACACTTATGAGCATGTCTAACTAAGGAGTCTTATTTCCCATGTGTCTCAAGAGTCTATCTATACTGTCTATTGCCCATTTGCCTAAAGGCTCTATACTGTCTATTGCCCATGTGTCTGAAGGGTCTATACTGTCTATTGCCCATGTGTCTAAAGGGTCTATACTGTCTATTGCCCATGTGTCTAAAGGGTCTATACTGTCTATTGCCCATGTGTCTAAAGAGTCTATACTGTCTATTGCCATGTGTCTAAAGGATCTATATACTGTATATTGCCCATGTGTCTAAAGAGTCTGTACTGTCTTTTGCCTATGTGGCTGTGATCTACGTTAAAAAATTCTTGAATCTACTCAAGCTGTTTTACTACAATATAAGGTGTATCTGTGAATGCATCAAATATCAACATAAATTATTGTGATATGTGTTGAAATAATGGTGAATTTGGTTACAACTTTCAAACATGCTTGAAAATTGCATTGTTAGTGGCATTTTGACACAAAAATGTTACGATCTTAAATTAAAACTACAAATTGGCATAAAGAACGGTATATTTTCAGATATCGATATTATTATGATGCGAGTTGAAATAATGGTGGATTTGGGTAAATTGTGCTAACCCTAATTCTGGCTGATTTTTAGTAGAACGTTTAAACCCCTTTTCATTTCATTTATTTGTTTTTTGTGTTTTAGGTGCGTTCCACGTCAAGATGCGTAAAGCCAGTAAGAAAGAGAAACTATACCAGTGTTTTTATAACCCGGTCGAACCTGGAGAATATACGGTCAACGTCATGTGGTCCGGACGAGATATAGAGGGCAGTCCATTCAAAGTTTTATTAGCCAATAACCAAGAAGATTTAGAACGCTACCAACAAATGTCTTCCGAAATAAGAAGAAATTCATTGGATGATGTGCGCGATGTTTTATACTAATTTAACAAACTCTTAATTAAACAGACTTTTTAAGAATTGTTGTCAGTGGGCGATGTTTTATACTAATTAAACAGACTCTTTACAAATTGCTGCCAGCGGGCGATGTTTTATTAATCAGACTTTTCAAGAATTGTAGCCAGTGGGCGATGTTTTATACTAATTAAACAGACTCTTTAAGAATTTTCACCAGTGTTTTATACTAATTAAATAGACTCTTTAAGAATTGCCATCAGTCAAACGAATTAGGGCCAGTAAAATGTGACGTCCTGAAGAACTTGTTACCAATTTAGGAATTTTTTCATACATTTAGAAAAATAGGTGTACATTTTGTCAATCCGATTAAAATACCGATCTATATTTCGTTTCGTTTTTTTATACTTTCGATGGCCTACACTACATAAAGATCTGACAAGTTATAGCGATAGGTCACGTCAGGGGTCAAAAGACCGACTTATGACCCTATGATGTCAGACATTTGATTAACCAATCAGCATTGATGTTACTAGTGGATTACCCACAGTTCCGTGCAAAACACGCCTAAAGCTCGCCGAGACAGACCATTTCATTGGCTTATCTCTTACACCATTCAGAACACGAGTTAAAAAACAAATCTTCCAGATCCTAGTGTAGTAAAGACAAGTAAAACGAAATTTTGAACTATAAAAACGAAACGAAATCGGATCTGTGTTTTAACCAGATTGACATTTTGTTAGCCTAGAAGTAAATGTATATATATATAATATGGGTATCGTCTGTAAAACATGCAATTATTGTTCCATGGAAAACCATTGCAGATGGTATCATATGAAACTTACACTGTCTACAACTAGCTCAGTTTGTAGCTTGTTGACGGAAATTTTAATTCCTACATCAACGATTTTAATCAAGAACATTAAGTATATACTATGAGAATTTGAAGATACATTTTCATACATTTGTTTGAAAAAACCTGGACTTCCATTCAGGGCAGAGGTCTATTGTCAAAGTAGATAGTTCTCTGTGTGCCTCATGTTCATAATATGTGCAATGGTTTTAGGGATATATTTTCAGTATCAAATGAAATGCTCATGAATTAATCAGTAAATTTCTTTAAGTTCAACCATGGGTGGGCTTTTATATATCAAGTACCGAATTACAGCAAAAATTTAATGCACATCTTTTGATCAAAGTTTGAATTCTTCAGTTTATAAATTTTTTTTCCTGACAATAATTTTATGTTTTACAGTCTTGTATGAAACTTTCATCATTTGAAATTATACATGAAGAATATTATAGGATGATATCAAGTTAATTTTTTGTATTTTATATACTGGGGTACCTTTAAATTAATATATAAAAAATTCCTTCTATATAGACATGTTAATGTACATAGGAAACTACTAAAACAAGTAGGATATCAAATTATATTTTTGTAGTTTATATACCTTCAAATTAATATAAAAAATTAATTCCATAAAGTAGATAAAGTACTTGTATGTTTACGGTAGATAAATACCCCCCCCCCCCCAAAAAAAGAAGAAAATAAGCCCAGTTAAAAAAAAAGTAGGCCTAACCACTTTACCTTATTCTGATGTACATCAAATCATAAGCTAGCTATCTGCTCTTTCAAGCATCTTCAGATGCATGTATATACATAGATATCGTATAGAAACTAACCAAATCAAGTATATATATATATCACATACGAACTGGCCATGTCATCATCGCAGCCATCTTGCAATTGTGACATCATATCAAAAATCTAAATCTGTCAATCAATGCACAATTGTCTGAGGAACAAGGAAGCATGTCAAGTTTGATGTTGATGGTATTTGACGTTAGGCCTTTTTGAAGATCGGTGTCGAAGTACCAGGTTTAAAAAGGTTCTAACTTGAAGTAGTTATCAGAGCTTAGTTGATTATATATTAGAATACTCCTTTAGTTTGTAGATATCACTGCGATATATCTGCCAGATCACTTTGGTGGAAGCGGACGTAGAATAAAGCTATTTCCCACATAGTTTGTAAACCTACAGAGATAGAGTTCAAACTTTCTTGTATTTCTATAAAATTTGTAACATATATCTTATGAAACATATTCTTTAGAATTATGATGTAATTATATTCATTTATTATTAGTAATTATGTATAGCTTAAAGACAACCACTGGCTGTTGGTGCATAATAAACTTGCATTGAAAAATATCAGGTTTGAGATAGTATCTTATTTTTATTGCTTAATCCAGGCTGAAATGTACTCAAATTGATTATTTAATATTTGATAAAGAAAACAAAACCAAAATACCAAGGGTAGATAATCTCACATGTCCGATTCATTCAGATTTAAATCAGGTCTGTCAGGTTTCACTCAACACTAAAACACTGTTACCCACGTGCTGAATAGTGTCTGTATTTTAAGTTGTTTAATGGTCTTGTGCATGACATTGCGTAATATATAGATATAGCACTTAATTGGGGCGTTGATTTTGAACAGTGGTCAGGGAAAAGAACAGCTTGTAAATTAGGCACTTGTTATCAAATTTAAATGCTCGGCTTTTAAATTGGACACATGTAGCCTACAAATTAGATGATTTTGGGTGATTTTAGACAATTTTTACTAATTTTCTAATGAGGATTTGATATTGAACAAATGTGAAAGATACCTGGGTTACAGTGTATACGAGTGATTCAGTTATCCCTAGGTTACAGTGTATAGGCATGATTCAATGATACCTGGGTTACAGTTTATACGTGAGATTCAATCCTTGGTTACAGTGTATAGGCATGATTCAATGATACCTGGGTTACAGTGTATAGGCATGATTCAATCCTGGGTTACAGTGTATAGGTGATACTGGCTTGTTTATATCATCTATAGAGGATACCACATCTTTGAAAATATGGAACTTGTTTTGGACTGATAAATATTCATCTATCACATTATAGTTGTTTACAAGGGATTCATCGCTCAAATGATGATAACCAGAGTTGATGGTGGGGGTGTCCTCATCACTAAACAAATTTGTTTATTTTAAAATAAACACACAAGTTCTATGCAAAAACAATTTCTATATTTTTAATCTGAACTACATTTCTACAATCAATGTACTTGAAAACGACAAGAGAATCATTGTTGAAACGTAGTTCTGGAATAAACATATTATTATTTTCCTTTAGGAAAACCTGAAGATGATGTAGATAGTTGCAATAATAGCATAAAATAATGTGATATTTAGAGTTATATATATATGATCTCTAGTAATTAGATTTTATTAAACCTGTACAGTAGGGTTTCACTATTAAACAATATTTTATTTATTCAGCGTAATCTGAATGGCATTGAGGAATCCGCTATGTTAAACGTCACATTATCAGAATTCACAAAATAAATGAATTTTCCGTAAGCAATCGAGATACCCAACCAGCCTCACAAGAAAAACTCCTTATAGTGAGACCAGTCTTCTAGTGATACCAGCCTTATAGTGAGACCAGTCTTAAAGTGAAACTATCCACAGTGAGACCTGCTATAGTGTAACACTGTATAGTGAGACCAGCTTTATAAAGAACCTCTCTATAATGAGACCAGCCTGATAGTGAAACTCTCTATGAGACCAGCCTGACAGTGAAACCAGTCTGATAGTGAAAATCTCTATATTGAGATCAGCCTGATAGTGAAACTCTCTATAATGAGACCATCCTGATAGTGAAACTCTCTATAGTCAGACCAGTCTTATAGGGAAACTCTTTATAGTGAGACCCTGCTGATACAAGTCCTATCATTCTGTTAGCGACTGTTGTGTATATATATATATATATGTTATGCTCTTATTAATAATCATATCTCCATGCCTTATATGGAGATATTTAGTTTATGCCTTATATCTATGGAGATATTTAGTTTATTCCTAATATATCTATGGTGATATTTTGTGTATGTGTTAATGCCCTGTATGTATATGTTCAGTTATCATTAATATCCTCATATTTTGTTTATGCCCAATATATATATTGTCATATTTTTTTTATGCCCAATATCTATGGCGATATTTTGTTTATGCCTTGTATCTATGGTGATATTAGTATGTCTTTAGCTTTAATTATTATCATATATTGCTTTACTTACCATTCCATTATACATATACATTGTATATCCTACTCAATATTATATACATATGTTATAAAATGGTCCTTGCTTGTACATGACAAGAAGTAGGGTTTCCCTGTCCAACCTCGTGGGTTTTCTCCTGTTACCTCCCACTGCTAAAGACCCCTATGTGCTAGCAAATTATTGAAATAAAATTGAACCATGTTAGTCCCGAATTGACCTTGTTTGTGTCGAGGGGATGTTAAACCCCATTTCTCTCTTTTAAAATGAAATGGGGTTTAACATCCTACTATTCTGCAGCGACTGTGTTAATGAAGACTGGCATACACCATACAGCGTGCTATGATGGAAATTTTGCATCTGCCAAGGGTTCTTTTACGGGTATGTTAATGTGTACACGGGACCTCGGTTTTCCATCCCAACCAAACGACTATTATCTTATAGATTTATACAAACTAGAATTAATATCCGTCACCTTTAAATCAATTTACAAAATGTGATGCCTTGAGGAATTTGTTACCAATTTAGGGACATTTTAGATTTTAGTATGATTTTTGTTCTCAGCCAATCAGCCAATCACCATTCTTAAATACTTCAGTTTAAGTTGTCATAAATAATGATCTGGGAATACAGGGAGGTAACTTTAGCTTTGTTCTGGGAATACTGGCTAAGCTCTTGAAATACATGGAGCTTACTCTGGATGAGGTCTGGGAATACAGAAAGGTATCTCTAGTTAAGGTCTGGGAATACAGAAAGTTAACTCTAACTAAGGTCTGGGAATACAGAAAGGTAACTCTAGCTAAGGTCTGGGAATACAGGAAGGTAACTATTTGATATAATACTCTAGACTGACGTAGAATTTAAATAATATTAGACTGATTAGTCTGCTCTAACAAGCTGGACTGGCCTCTACGTCACTCCTTTCTGACTTGTATAGGAGTCAGATTAGAGTCGTGATGTAGGAATTAGCCCAGCGTTATTTACAGCAAGTTATCCAGGATAATAATATATATATAAATATAAATATCACCCAGTACTGTTGCTGTATATTTTGTTTTTCTTTTAACCAAATATAAAATAGATTCTATTTTCATACTTTTGTTTTTATGATGTTGTTCTTCCCTAAAACAGGAGCCACGTTGGCTCAGTGAGTATGGCGCTTGTTCACTAACAAGGAGGTCCCTGGTTCGATCCCAGAGTAAGTTCCGCAGGATTTTCCTGTCTGGTATCCATCAGTTGTTGATGCTGACATCAGAACTGACACAAAAATCTGGGTCTGAATAACTTCACTACCTTAATACACAAAAACACATACTTACGGAAAAACAGCTAATGGGCGACATTTTGAAGAGTATTCTCTCAACGGCCAAATAAATAAGTACCTGTTTAATTATCCATGAGTATGCGTTTTTGTGTATTGATCTATCCAAGTTACTAAATGCCTCTAAAAGATTATTCACTACCTTAGTTGTTCCTGCTGATCACATGCCACAAAGTTCTGTGGACTGCCACATCTACATTTATTCGGTTCAGTCAGATTTACCTCATCCTGGGGATCAGTGTCATAAAATGTGGTACATCAACCCATAGGAAGATGATCACCATTTCTATTCATCAGACTCTGTTATCAGCTACTGAAATTCATTGTCCAAATACCAAAAACTTGGCTATCTGTTTTGATGGACCCATTTTTGCCTACAGAACCCTTTGATGTTGTGAATCCCTAAAATTTCCCAGAGAACACAGCACTAACTGGATGGCCAAACTGGATGTCAGCTTGATAACTTACTGGTCAGTCGATTTTTCCGGTGTGGTTCCCCTTGTCAGTGGTGCAGCCACAGTGCCTCAGTGAGTGAGACATTTTTGATACTATTGTTGACCCAGAAAGTTCATCGGGATTTTCCAGGGTGGTTCCCCCTTGTCAGTGGTGCAGGACAAAGTGCCTTGCAATGGACAACATATAATTGTTCGGATGGGATGGAAATCTGAGGTCCCGTGTACACATTGGTGTTCACATAAATGATCCCTTGGCATTTGGAATTCAATATAAGATAAGGCCATAGCGCCGATTTCCGGGCAAAATTTCCCTCATAGCACACTGTATGGTGTATGCCTGTCTTCATTAACCCAGTCGGAGCAGAACATTAGCTTGATTGGGGCAGAATAGCAGGACTAATCCCCATTTCATTTCCTATCCAATATCCTCTTCACCAGTCCAGTTGGGACAGAAAAGAAGAGTGTTTATCTCCATTTTATTTTCAATCCAATATCCCTCTCCATTAGTCTGGTAGGGGCAGAAAAGCAGGATGTTCACCCCTATCCGTTTTCATTAATCCGGTCGGTACAGGAAAGGAGGATGTTAAACCACATTGTCTCCATTAGTCTGGTAGGTGCAGAAAAGCAGGATGCTAATAACCACATCGGTCTTTACTAGTCTTGTAGGGGCAGAAAAGCAGGACATTAACCCCCAAACCCCATTCATCTTCATTAATCCGGTTGGGACAGGAAAGCAGGACATTAAACGCCATGCATCTTCATTAATCTGGTTGGGACAGGAAAGCAAGATGTTAAACCCCATTCATCTTTATTAATCTGTTTGGGGCAGAAGAGAACGAAGTTCAACCCATTTCACTTCCCATACACAAAAATAAAACAAGTAAATCTCAGTTGACTTTATTAAACTGCTATCTGTTATTCATGATTAAATCAATTAAAGTATTTTGTATTTGTTGTAAGCTATCTGATGATAGAAGAGTTTTATTTATAATACTATATATTTCTCGATCACCTGTAGACGACACTGGGGATATTTTCCCTGATATCTCACTTTTCTTTAACTTGCTATGAAAATCTTTGGATTTCTGTAAATGAAAGAATATACATAATTACAGTATTCCACTACAGCTGATGCTTATTTATCATTATAATAAAAAAACCTTTATAGCCCATTTATCCCATACGCTAGTCCATCTATCTCATACGATTACACAACTTTATAACCTATCCTTCCCATATGACAACACAACTTTATAACCCATCTATCCCACATGACATCACAACTTTATAACCCATTTATCTCACATGACATCACAACTTTATAACCCATCCATCCCACATGACATCACAACTTTATAACCCATCCATCCCACATGACATCACAACTTTATAACCCATCTATACCACATGACATCACAACTTTATAGCCAATCTATCCACATGAGAGAGAGAAATGTGGTTCACTGTTCACTAGACACAAATTAGGTCATTTCAGGACTAACATATGCTTCAATTTTATTTCAGTAATTTGCTTGAGCTGTGGGGTTTTTAGCATTGGGAGGAAACAGGAGAAAACCCAAGAGGTTGGACGTGTGACTCTACAAGCTGGGAATTGAACCCACACCACTAATGATCCAACGTGCACACATTAAACCATTCTGCCACCCAACCTTCTTATCCCATAAGACAACTTGATTTTAGGACTTTAAAATATAAATGAACAAAGAAACTTACAGATGGTAGACAAATTAAAATCAAAGATGGACTGATATGTTCATCTGACATCAGAATTATAGGCTTTGATATTTCTACATCTTTTATCGACTTCGCCACCTAAAACGACACAAAGATATATTACTGGGTTAAAGATGCATTAGGTAAGAGCTAAATCTGTCTAATGCAGGTCTTTGTTTTGGCAACTCTCTAGACCATCGGATGGCTGAGTTTTAAATGGATTTGAACACATGCAAAATTTTAAAATTCAACGATAAAATGGATCAACGAGACTCAGTCTGGTTTGTTGCTATGATAATTACCAATCTACACTATGTAAACAGTCATAACTTTGCCCAGAATAAAGTAATTTGAATAAATTTTCAATATATTCATTTTTCATTATCTGTTTTTAAACTATTATAGCAAGAACGAACAGCTCCTCATCTAAATCTTCAATAATATAATGCATCTTTATTAAACAAGATGAAATTAAAGAGAAAATGTAAAAATTGTGATTGACCGGTAATCTAAGACACTTTTTCTAAAATGATCAAGGGTATCAACTATTACAGTAATTATTAGTGATTTAAAATTGGTTAGGTTCTTTGGGGCATCTTATAACAATAAATATGAATATCAAAGAGATCAGGTAATAGGTTCTGCCATTAGAGTTTTTTTTTTAACAAGATGTAATAACTCTGGGCTTATCACAAACATTGAAAGGCTGCTTGTTTTGCATTAGTAATGAATTGCTGATCATGAACATATATAATGTAAGATTTAGATACAGAGATGATAGTTTAATAATAGTTAATAATAGATAATGAAAAAGGAATATGTTGAAAATTTCAGTCAAATAACTTCATACTGAGTGAAGTTATGAATGTTTAAAGAAAAGCGTAGTATCGATTTCATTGAGTATATAGTAATTTTTATCTAATTTATGACTGTCAATTACTAAATGCCATTTAAACAACATATACTACTAATGCCCAAAAGAAAGTATACACACTAAAAATAATGACTCAGTTTTATTTTGATTAAAAACATTTAAAAATACTTTACTGGGTTTGTCTCTTGCGTCCAAACTTAATATTTCTAAGCAAAATTAAAAAAGCGAAACAGATTGACATTGTACCCAAATGGCGCATACGATGGAAAACGACTTTGGTTGATGCAGCACAAAATGCACAGTGTATACTTTCTTTTGGACATTACTCACCAGTTTTATATCATTTGTGAGTAGAGTTGTGATGATTTTTATATTTTTGTCAATCTCTGTACACAATTCACTTTCAACAAGCTGAAATATTGACAAATACAATAATACGTACTGGTATATACAATTTATTTGTAATCTTTAAAATTTCACATTATGTGGGACCTGGTCATCAACATAAACTTTCTGTAGAAACTGGTTACCAGGTCCCATTCTATTAAAGATGCAATATGTAAAAGTTAGATAAAGAGCTGTCTGTTTATTTCTATAATAGTTCAATTATAGATAATGAATATAATATTAAAAATTTCTGAGCGAAGTTATGTACGTTTTAAGCTTTGACAAGATCTAGCATAGATTGTTCATTATCGTAGCAACGTTACTTGGCAACCAAGACCTAGCCTTGGTTATCCATGTTATTGTTAAATTTTTAAATCTTGCGGGTGCTTTAATCCATTGAAATCTCAGCCATCCATTGATCACATGAATCACAGGCTTGTTATTCATATAAATGTCTAATCAGTAATTTATATAACATTCGAAGCCAAATGAAAGACCTGTAAATGGCAGATTTAACTCTTAGTCTTACATAATGCATCTTTAATAAAACACCCATAACAGTAATGGACACAGGAGGCTGGTGACCAATAACAAAAGTGTTAACACTTCATGATCCATTTAAATTTTATATAGAGCTGATTTGTGTTCAAGTATGAAAGTTGCCACTCAACAGAGTAATATGAAATGAAATTAAATGAAAAGAGGTTTCATCTCCTATTTTTCTGCATCAAATGGGTTAATGAGACAAATCTTGACTGATTAAGTGTTCTTTCCCTCTTACTCTTATTCAAATTACAACTGCCTAGGGATCTTTTATGTGCACACCGAACCTCATCTTTTTTTAAATCCTATCCGAACGACAAGACAGTGTTCCTTGCCAGGCCCTACGCAGGAAAACCAAGGAATTTCCTAAACAAACAGTAGGATTGAACCTGCTACCTCCTGAGCCAGTACCAATGAGCAACTGAAGCTCCCTCAATATATCAAATTCTGCATGATAAAGATAGAGAGAAAGAGAGAGAGAGAGAAATGGGGTTTAACGTCCACTCGACACAAACTAGGTCATTTCGGGACTAACATATGGTTTAATTTTATTTCAATAATTCGCTTGCGCGTAGGGGTCTTTAGCAGTGGGAGGAAACCGGAGGACCCGGAGAAAACCCACGCGGTTGGACAGGCGACCCTACTCCTTGTCCTGTACAACCGGGGATTTGAAACCAAGCCAGTTGGAGAAAGAGAGAAATGGGGTTTAATGTCCACTGACACAAAGGGGTCTTTAGCTGTGGGAGGAAACCAGAGAACCTGGAGAAAACACACGAGGTTGGACAGGTGACTCTACTCCTTATCACATACAAGCGGGGAATCAAAACCAAGTCACTTGACTCAGTGACAAGACCTTATGACCAAATGCGCACCAAAACCCCTAGGATAAGGGGTATAAGTTAAGAGCACTTACCTGTGTTACATATTTAGCTGTTTGTTTATTTAATTCTGTTCTAATAATAGACTGTAGTTGATCAACCTCCACTTGATAAACATCTCGTGTGACTTTAGGTAGTAATTCTAGTCGTAACATCTGTAATTATACATCAATTCTTATATCAACAAGTACCACAGTAATACATTAACTAGGAAACGAGTATAACGTCATTGCAGCCATCTTGAAATAGTAACATCATATCAATTGATGCGTAATTGACCAAAGAACATGCATGTAAACTTTCAATTCAATCATACTTGAACTACGGAAGCCTTCAAAAGTGTCACCCCAAGGGAATCACCCAGGGCTCTATAAAAGTTGAGTGTACCTGCGCACACACTTGAAAATGTGCCTGCAGGGTCATACTGAAAGACAGGGATGTAGCCAGGATTTGGTGCGTGGTGTAAAAATATATTTGGCGAGCGGAGCGAGGGCAAAAAAATTTTGGGAGGGGGGCGTGGTCTTTTATGAAAATTAAACCCTTCTAGGTGTATTTTCAGAGCATCTGCTGCCTTTTGTATTTGGTTCAGTGCAAATCAAATTTCCATTTATATATTCAAATTTTACCAAATTCACTTAATTTTCATCAATGATACAGGGATCTAAAAACTTTTTGACACCACCCGACCGAGCATAAAATTGTCCCGCCCCACTCTGTTTCTCTGGATAGATAAGTTGAGGACCTTTCGGTATTTGTTGTTTTGTTGTTGTTTTTTTCAAATATTACTTTGAGATTAAAAATTAAAACGATTCTTAAAACGGTGTTTGTGTTTTATTTGAGTACAACGAATTATGACAACAGGTAGATATTGATAATTAAAACACGTATTATTTGACTTGTTTGTAAAGTTGTTGTACGTGTCTCACGAATATTATTATTATTACAGTGGAATGAGAATCAGGCAGAAACTGAGAAAGCTCTCATCGTCCTCCTAGTCCTACTCTCGGGCCGTAGCAAATCCACGGTCAACACAGGTAAGAAAAAAAATAAGAAACATCGTGAAAATTTGCAGGCACGTGTTGGACAATTACGACATTCAAACCTTTAACATTGGAGTGCCGTAAATTGGTCTGGGTGACCTATTTACGGCAAATAAACAAATATAAAGACCGTAGAATAATTGTAAAATGAATAGACCTAGGCCTACACATCTTCTAAGTATAAATAAACAAAATACCAATACATCTTTCTTTAAACTAATTTGGGATGATAGGGTCTACTACGGCACACAAAAATAAATTATGCCGTGACAGACATGGTTTGCGTACGTCAGCTTTTACCATGGCTTTGCCGTTTAATTGCTGTGGTAAATTTTGAGCGCCGAGTTTGTGTACAGAGAAGGACGAAGGGGTTTAAATACGACTGGGCGGCTTCCTTCGATTTTTTCTTTGTGCTGGGTGGCAAAAAATAGTGCTGGGCGCAGGCGCCGCCCGGCGTGGCTACATCTTTAAAAATGTGCCTGCAAAAAAGTTTTTTTTAAAGCAAATGTGTCTGCACACGCTGTGCGCATGTGCGCGGAAATATCGATGCCTAGAATCACCCACCAGGACAAGAAAATTACCAGGCGTATGGAACCAGTTCCTGATTCACAAAGTCTCACACTACTGTCTTAAATGATGGGAATACTGAAAAACTTCTATTCATCTGGGACTAACATACATTTGTTTTAGGCTTATATGTGTCGTGTTAGGTTACTGCTTATATATGCCATGTTAAGATTATTGCTTATATGTGCCATGTTAGGTTATGGCTTATATGTGAAATGTTAGGTTATTGCTTTTATGTGAAATGTTAGGTTATTGGTTATATGTGCCATTTATATGTGAAATGTTAGGTTATTACTTACTTATATGTTACTTTGCTTTGGACAGTGGCATTTCCTACAACCTTTCATCAAATATGAGAAGAAAAAATTGCTCGTTATAAGTATATGATTTATAACTTTTTCATTTGTGGTTAGTGGCCATGTGCCCTTTTTTTTGGTAGATTAGGCACATGTGGAACATGAGTGGCATTCCATGTGTGTCACAAATCATGCAAAGAATTCCAGTAACTAGGTCAAACAAACCATTTTGGCTTAGTGAGAATTACTTCCCTTTATTTAAAAGCATAATGGACTCGGGTACACCTACCTTGTAAATATCTTTAAGATCTTGAGTCCACGTTTGTGACCCATGTAGAGATTTGACGTTATTTTCTAATTGTGTATATTTTTCCTCTAATAAAGCCTTGTTTTTAGCTGCCTGAATCAAATATAAAGATAGATATTCACATAGAGAATACATAGACAAGTATATAACTATACCCACCATAACCTGGGTATTATTTAATCTTAGCCCTAACTTCTTTCACACTTATTCAATATTTGTTTCCCCCCTACCCCCATCCTCCTGTCATATATAGAATATATATAAACCGTACCTAAGTAGCTCTGTCACCAGTAACACAGATAGCCCTCTTTTTACCTAGTCCCGCCCCCCCCCCACCCTCATGTCCTGTCATATACATAATATATAGAAACCGTACCGGCGTAGCTCTGTCACCAGTAACATAGGTAACCCTTTTTTACCTTGTCCCCCACCCTCACCTGTCGTATATATTAATATATAGAAACCGTACCTGAGTAGCTCTGCCACCAGTAACACAGGTAACCCTCTTTTTACCTAGTCCCCCACCCTCACCCGTCGTATATATTAATATATAGAAACTGTACCTGAGTAGCTCTGTCACCAGTAACACAGGTAACCCTCTTTTTACCCTGAGAAACACCAGATAATTTGGTGATACAGAAATCTATAATATCTCTTGTATTAGTCACATGTCTACAAATAAAACATGATAAATAAAAAGTCATATTTTATATCTCTGATCATCACTTAATCCCTTGTAAACAACAACAATATTGTTCAAGTTGAATCTCTAAAAGAGAAAGTAAATATTTATGTAACCCAGGAGTCGCTAACCTATGGCACAAGACACCATGGACAATTCCAAGCCGCACATTGAACCATTCCTAGTGGCTCACTGAACCATTGTAAGGAGCACATTGGACCATTCTAAGTGGGTCATTGGACCACTACAAGCAGCACATTGGACAAATTCGGAAGTAACACATTGAATCATTCCATGTGGCACACTGAACCATTCCGAGTGGCTCACTGGAGCACCCCAAACAACTCATCGAACAATTCCATGTGGTGAAATCAAAACAGAATCAATAGCCTCATTAAGTTAATAATGTTTCTTAATCTAATCTTTTCAAGTTACATGGCACATCAGAATATGGCTTCAATTACAAACTGTAAAAGTAAAACTTACGTTCCACAACATAATTCTGTAGAAACATTATCTCCTATCTTTATAACACTCACTTCATCAGGATAAACCTATAATAATGTCAGATGGTGATTACTATAAACACCACTTAACAAGTTGTGAATAACCTTAAACACACGGTTTATGCTAGGTTCCCTCTATCCCGATTCGTGCTACCATTGAAATCATAATTTTAATCATTGAGTAATCATGGTGATCCTATCAGGTCTTATCATATATTGAGGTCAGTTGTAGCAATCGTGTTGATCGCATTGAAACGGGGTTTAACGTCCAGTCGACACAAACTAGGTCATTTAGGGCCTAACATATGGTTCAATTTTTATTTCAATAATTTGCTTGCGCGTAGGGGTCTTTAGCAGTGGGATGAAACTGGAGGACCAGAAGAAAACCCAAGATGTTGGACAGACGACCCTATTCCTTGTCACGTAAAACCTGGGAATCGAAACCACCCCAGTTGACTCAATGACAGACCTTATGATACAATGCGCACGTAGCAGATTGTAGACTCAATAGGGACAATTCTATCGTAACACATCGCACGACAGTGAGATAGGTAGTGAACACAAGAAATAAAAATCCTGATTGTCAACACAGGGCAAAATGTCTGTGACATCACCAAAGGTGGGAACTCGAGTCCTGCATCATGCAATTTGACTTGAAATCTTGAAATATTTATCGCGACTCGATTCGGCAGTCAGGACAACTGGCAACTTGAAAGAGCGAAGGACTCAAGTTATGGTAGTGTCATATCATTTTTTTTTTTGGAAGCCTGTGACCAGGGTTGTCTTCCATAGTTTTGACACGGTATGGTGTCATAATACTACTTTTCTTTGATAGTTTATGTACTTTTTGGATTCAGAGTCTCGCTGTGTAAGTTGAGTGTGTTTTCTCTGGGAACTACTGCTTTCATAAGAATCGTCTCTGCTTCAGGACTCAGGAATGCCAGTCACATTGGCTTGCTCCCCTGGTGAAGTCTACATAATATTACACTAATTTGTCTTTGTTTTTGACTGGCCAATATTTTATTCACAGTTAACTGCACAGGACAGTTGTTGCATGGTCGAGTGCACACATTGGCGTTCAAGTAAAAGAACCCTTGGCAGTTGGAATTTGAGTAGGCCATAGCACAGCTGTCTGGGCAAAATTTCCTTCATAGCACACTGTATAGCATATACCCGTCTTCATTAGCCCAGTCGGAGCAGAACAGTAGGACATTAAACCCTATTTCATTTTATTTTATTTCACTTCGTTCAATTTACCGTTATTGCGTCTTACCTCATTTTGAAGGGAGATAACTCCGGGTATATTCATGGCTTGTGATAAGGACATAACCTGTCTCTCTACAGCACAACCATCTTGTATACATTGTTTCACTGTATCTTCTATTCTACCAATATTCTCTAAACTTAATGTACCCTGTAAATATTATTACATCCATTAACATACTACACTCTTACTGTGTAAATATCGTGATCCGTGGTGACTCGGTGAAGAAGGAGGCCCCGGGTTAGATCCCGGTGTTAGCCGAGAAAGTTCCTGCAAATATCATTACTGTCCAAAATACACACTCCAGCATAATAATGCCATTCATTTATTACCAATGTATTTTGGAAATATTACTTGACTACTCTATGGTGATGCCAATCTATCTCCAGACGTCAACATTGATATTTTTAAAATTGTTTACAAATATATTAAACATACAAAATGTTTTACCCCGTAAAATACAACCTTGGGGTGAGGAATTTATTTATTTATTTTTTTAATTTATTTATTTTTTTAAAATCTTATTTATTCATTTATTCAAAATTACTTATCTACTTATTTGTACCATAACTAAAATACTTTAATTAGTCTTTGTCTATATCATATATTAATTGAAATTGTACATATATTAAACACCCAAACCAGAAGGAAGCAAATTAATATACATTTAAGCGTAAGCCTACTTGGTTTTTGTAACCTATTCTTTATGCCTTTATATTGTATAATATTCTCGAAATAAATAGTGTTTAAACCAATTATCATTACACTGATACCCTGTAAATATCATTACATATATCTCCACATTACACAAATACTCTGTAAATATCATTATATATCACATTACACTGATACCCTGTACATATCATTACATATCTCACCACATTACACTGATTCCTGGTAAATATCATTATATTTATCACATTACACTGATACCTGTAAATGTAAATATCATTATATATCACATTACACTGATATCCTGTTAATATTATTACATATATCATCACATTACACCTCGGTTTTAAAACAAATTATTGTCAACTTACCACGGATGTCAAATCAAAAGATAATTTATCAGCCTGGATGTCGGAACCATTTTGTTGTGCATCAACCAGTATTTTCTTAATGGCTGAATTCAAGAGATGTGTAGCAGTGTGATTCCGCATATGGTTTTTACGAGCATCCTGTAAAATATCAAATCTATAAATTATTTTTTCTGGCACTGTAATTTACAATATTGTCGTTAATTCCACCCAGGATTGAAATCTGATTCTCCACACTGAGGGGATGCTTGATTGTTAGTCTGGAACATTCCCAGAACTTAATCCTGTCCCAGTTCTATCAATCCTACCCCAGTTCTATCAATCCTGTCCCAGTTCTATCAATTTTGTCCCAGTTCTATCAATCCTATCCCAGTTCTATCAATCCTGTCCCAGTTCAATCAATCCTGTCCCAGTTCAATCAATCACCTGTCCCAGTTCTATCAATCCTGTAACAGATCTATTAATCCTACCCCAGTTCTATCAATCCTGTCACAGTTCTATCATTCCTGCCTGTCACAGTTCTATCAATCCTGTCACAGTTCTATCAATCCTGATAAATGAGGTAGTGTGAGTAGAATCATGAAATAATTAAAAATAGCAAATATTGTATAGCTTTTATGGTTGATTCAGATATTTTCTTACTCAGTTGGGGCATGTGCTGTAGAACGAAATCCACTTGAATGTCCATTATTCATGGGATGGATAGAATACAGTTCTGAACCTTCTTGGCAAACAGCAGACCTCCTGGGACCCCAACTTTGAATGCTGAGTTTAAAGATACATTAGTTAAGAGCTCAATCTGCCCATTGCAAATCTTTCTTTAGGCTTCAGATGTTATAGAAATTATTAATTGAGCTTTATTTACATGACAAGCTCAAAATCAACTCTGTAGACCCTCGGATGGCTTGGATACAGCTTGGATGTAAACAGTCATCCATTTAACAATTAAATGAATAAACGGCTGACCAACTAACATTTACCACTAATCACGGACGGAGACTGTCGATGAAAGGACTGATAATCGAGGGTACTGTAGCCATTGAGAATGTTACTTAATAATCGCGAATATGTGGGTGGAGTTATCGTCTGTCAATCAAACAATCAGCAATTCTCGGAGACGTTGCAGAGACAGTTGATGCCTATTTTTGAATTGTTATAGCAAGAATGGCCAAACTCCTAACTAATGTATCTTTAACAATATCATACCTGATTAAGAAGAAGTTGAGAATCCTCATCCACCAGAAGATGACCTTTTGTGACCTTGACATTGTGTAATATATAACCTTTATACACCTGAACATCTGTAATATCACCTTTACCTGTCTAAAATAATAATATAAACTTTATATACTGGTCTAATAAGCATGACAGACATATGAAAGGAAAGACAAACTCAAGAACTAAACCTGTCTATTGCAGGTCTTTCTTTAGGCCTGAAATGTTATCTAAATTATTAATTAGACATATATTAAATTATCCCGACCATAATCAACACACAATGCCATCATTAGCCTATAATATTTAGTGAATTTGAGTCTGTATTGTAATGGATGATTTAACATAAATATGGATAATTGAGACTTTGTTTATTATCCTACCAACGGTAGTAATGACAATCAGGCTAGCCTTAAATTGAATCACTAATATCTTGGTTCAAAGTGAAGCAATCTGATTGAAATTTTCAGTATATTCTGTTCTCATTATATATTCTTTAACTATTATAGCGAGAAGTGTCAACTCTTTATCTAATCTTACAATATTGGGTGTAATACCAACCTTAGTTATAATCTGACCAGTATCTGAACTCTGACCTCCACTCTCTGCATAGAAGTTTGTTTTATCAACAATAACATAACCAGTGGTGCCCTCTTCTATTTTCTTCGTTAAGGTCCCGTCACAAATCATTCGCTTTATAGTAATTTCCTGTACATTCTCAAACTCTTGAAAAAAAAAAAAGCAATGTGTCTTATTCTTACTTGTGTTATGCAGTTTGCTATGAGGGAAATTTTGCTCGGACATTGTCATTTGCGCCGACCTACTCTTCATTAAATTCCAACTGTCAAGGGTTCTTTTACTTACACCACAACGAGTACACAGGAACTTGATTTATTTTCCTATCCGAAAAACTGTAAGCTTTTTCATGCCAAGCCCCATGTCTTGTAGTGTAGAGAGTCAGAACCATAAAGATAAACAAAATGAAGATAGGATTTTAGTAAGTTAATGAAATGAGTTTTAACATCTTACATTGCTGCACCGACTGGGGTAATACAATCTGATTTAAACACAGATCCTATTTCGTTTGTTTTTTATAGTTCAAAATTTCGTTTTACTTGTCTTTACTACACTAGGATCTGGAAGAGTTGTTATCATTGACGTGTTCTGGATGATGTGAGGGATTAGCATTAACTGCATGGAACAGTGGGTAATCCACTGGAAACATCAATATGATTGGTTAATCAAATATCTGACATCATAGGGTCAAAAGCCGCTCGTATGACCTCAGAAGCACCCCCCAAAACAACTGGTCAAATCTTCATATAGTGTAGGCCATCAAAAGTATATAAAACAAAACGAAATATAGGGAAATTAAACACGAACAGCAGTGCTAAGGACTACTCTTCTTTCAATTTCCAACTGTCAGGGAACCTTTAAATATCTTTAACGATTTTCCTAGCTAGGCCCTTCCATCCCGAAAATCTTTCTCAGCTAACAGATGAACCAAACTCGGGGTCTTACAGTTTGTTATCATCAAGCGCTATACTCACCGAGGCACCATGGCTCCCTCCTAGAAGGAAACTCTGACTAAACACTAAAATAAAACATACCCAAGCCTGAAGATTAGACACCTGTCACAGACTTGGTCACACAACATTTTTATCATAACATATATGTTATAAACACAAAAACATAATATGGAACACAATTACTATTTTAATTAAAGCGAAGTTTCGTTGAGAGAACCCTCAACGAAACGTTGCTTTAATTAAAATAGTAATTGGTTCCATATTATGTTTTGTGTTTATTATGTATGTCAATTGCTAAATGCCGTTCAAAGAAGATATTCGTCAACATATATGTTATGTAATAATTTGTGTCTGACAATGTCTGTGATATGTGCTTAATGACCAGACTTGCGTACATGGCTCTAGGACAATTCGTCCCTAAACAATTCGTCCACGGACAATTCATCCCCATACAACTCCTCCCTGAGGACAATTCGTATCAGGACTATTAGTCCCATGGGACTATTCATCTTCTAGGGCTATTCGTTCCCGAACAATTCGTCGCCATGGACAATTCGTTGCCATGGACAATTCGTCGCCGAACTATTCGTCCCCTAGGACTGTTTGTCCCTGAACAACAATAATGGTAGTTCCATTATCAAAAACTTAATTAATCTTTACTTTTTATCCTAAATCCCAGTTTTGATTCTAGTTTTACATTGTTTTACATTTAGTATTAATTCTAGGCCTTAACTTAATGGTTCCTAAAGTTTTTTCGGGCTGATTTATATGCATGTAGTAATCAGTGCACCGTTTGTGAGTTAGAGAATCTTTTATCCCATCACTATGAGTATTGTCCCTGTCAATACTGCACTTGACTTATAATCAATATGCATTATTGTGCATGATAAAACAATGTAGACCAGACATCAGTTAGTTTCAACTTATTCAATTTCTTTAGAATAGATGTTGATCATAATTAGGGGACGAATAGACCTAGGGGACAAATTGTCCTCGGGGATGAATTACTCAGGGATGAATAGTCCTAGGGAACTAATTATCCCGGGACATATTGTCTGGGGACGAATTATCTGTGGACAAATAGTCCTAGGGGACAAATTGTCATGGAACGAGTTGTCAGGGGACAAGTTATCCGGGGACGAATTGTCCTGTAGCCGCATACATACCATATTCTCTATCTTTTGATGTATATCTGTATTTATAAGAATCGTCAGTCATGATTTTATCACATCGTAGTTTCTCTAAAATATCAGCATTCAGCGTCTGTTTGTCTGCTGCTAGATCTGGTGTATGACCGGAACCATCCTATTAAATATACATAAATAAAGTTCGTTCTTAAAGATGAACTCAGCAAGAGCTAATCTGCATATATATTACAGGTTTTTCTTTTGGCTGCAAATGTTATATAAATTATTAATTAGACATTTATCAACATGACAAGACCACAATCAACACCCTAGTACATCGGATGGCCAAGATTCAAATGGATTGGAACACCCACAAGATGTAAAAATTTAATATTAAAACAGATAATCGAGACTTAGACTCGATTGTAACTTTTAAATCATATTATATTTGAAATGCATAAAAGGAATGTATAACTACCTTTTTACTCTCTAAGATTGATTCAAAATCTACTTCATCTACTTGTAGGTTTCTGTCAGCAGCCAGATCTAATATAAGATCTATTGGTACATGATAACCATATCTACCATCATGTAATTCATACATTATATTACCTGTATAAATATAATGCATGATAACCAAGTCTACTATCATATTACCTATATAATACATGATAACCATGTCAACCATCATGTTACCTATACATATGTAAAATAGGTTATTTATAAAACTGGGAGTCACACATTGGCTCAGTGAGAACGAGTGCGCTGTCATTGAGTTAAGTGGTGTGTTAAAAAAAAAGCTGCGGTTTCGATCCCCCGCTTGAACGTGACAAGGAATTGGGTTGCCTGTTCAACTTCAAGGGCTTTCTCCAGGTACTCCGGTTTCTTTCCACTGCTAAAGACTCCTACATGCAAGCAAATTATTGAAATAAAATTGAACCATGGGTTTGTGACCTTCTGTCTGTCTGTAAAAGTATCAACCTACCAGTTAGTTTTTTTATATCACCTTCTCTGTTCATCATTTTATTAAAAGCTTTCGTTCCTTTTTCTATATTTCTTTTATAATTATCTTCTGTTAGTGATATTACATCCTTGATCTGAAAATAATAAACATATAAATATCACCATCTTTAAAATAATAACAATAATCTTTTGACTAATATACCTGTTAATTTGACATCATTGATTTATGAACAAAAAACTTTTATAAATGAAAATATTTGCCACAAACAGATCAAAGTCGTTCTTTTATATACATAATGTTTATTAGTTAGTTAAAATTGTTAGCAATCAGGCAGAAGTCATTAAGTAGGTGTTGAGTCACTAAGGTGTTAAAACTGTGATAATTGAATGTTATACACAACTATTGTCCTGGTTTGTGTATTCAATAGTGATGGGTGTTATAAATATACCCGCTTTTACACCAGTAGTGACATTTTTTACAGCTAATTACACACCTGCTAATTAATGATAACTGTATAATTTCTAATCACTTTCTATACATACTAAATACTAGTTTGGAATAATGATCACTTATATGATTTAATGATAAAAATGTTAAATTACTAAAAAGCCTAGTTTCATAAGTCAATGGTATTTGAATACATAAAAACAGGTTATTTTTTAAAAATAACTTTCAGTGGAATAGATAATAATTTGGATTAGTTTTAGTGCAATAGATAATTATTTGGATTAGTGCAATAGATAATCATTTGGATTAGTCTCAGTGCAATTTACTCAATGACAGACCTTATGATCTAAAGCACACATGTTAAACCTTTCGGCAACCCAACCCCCTTCTTATTTACCGACACAGATTTACATAAGCAATCTTGAACTACATCCTACTCATTTAAAATTTTCTATAAATATTCATCTGAATAAAATACTGTGTAAACTACGGACATAGTTCTAATAAAGAAATGAAAATGAAATGAAATAAAATAGGGTTTAACATCCTACTGTTCTGCACCAACTGGACTAATGTGTGCTATTAGGGAAATTATCCCCCGGACAGCGGCATTATGGACTACTCTTAATTTGAATTCCAACTGTCAAGGGTTCCGTTACGTGGACTCCCACGTGTACACCAGACCTTGTATTTTTGTCCCATCCAAGTGACTATACACTGACCTTGCCAGGCCCTACATCCTGCACCACTGACAAAGGGAAAATATGTCGAAAGATCCCACTGACGGAGCCACAGCAGCTCGCAAAATACTGCTTAAACCAAAGAGAATAAAACAGCTATATCATTTCACCTTTTGCTTATTCTTAGCTATTTCTGGATAAGTATCTCCCTAAAAAAAAAAACAACAAAAAAACATAATTAGTCTGATATAATAATAAAATTGGAAGAATGTTGTAAATGAAATGAAATGGGGAATGTCCTATTGTTCTGCTCCGACTGGGCTAATGAATATACAGGTCACAATTCTATGGAATACAATTACTGCTTATTACTGAGCGGTGTTTCGACTAGGCTTTTCTAGCTATTATCAAGCAATAATAAAGATGGGCATACACCATGCAGTGTGCTATGAGGAAATTTTTTTGCCAGGACAGCTAAGGGATCCTTTATGTGCACTCTATAAATGTGTACACAGGACCTCGTTTTTTTGTCTTATCTGAATGACTAGCTTAGGCAGCTATCCTTGCCAGGCCCAAAGTCCTGCACCACTAACAAGGTGAAATCACGGCGGAAAATCATGAAGTACTTTCTCAGCCAACACCGGGCGGGAGTAAACATACAACCTTCAAGATAGCAAGCAAGCATTTTACTCACTTTTCCACTATGGCACCAGAAAGAATGTTGTAATGAAAAGCATTGAAACAAGAGTTAATAAAATTGTTTTTTTTCATGTCACATCATTCTATCCAAAATGGTTCTAAATATAGTTTAAAGGAGCTAAATCTCTATTCTTTGGCACTTAGAAATGGACACAAATGGGTTGCAACACACTTAATAATGTATTATGAATGTATATAAACTGATTTACATTCAATTGTTTCCGTTTTTACTCTAATTTCAAATCAGTTATGTTTGGCAAAATATGTAAATAGTCCAAATTGAATGGCAGTCTTTGGTGTCTGGTTATTCCAGTCTACACTGGTAGTATTCTCCTGTGGGATACTGGAATGTTTAGCCTCGTTCATCGAGTCACTTCATTACAAATGGCACCCAAAAGCATTCTGGAACGAGATTTGTGTGCCAATTTTAAAATTTTCATTTTGTCTTAAATATTGAATATCATGTGCCCATCTTGTCATGGTAAGCTAACAACATCAATGTTGATTTAAATCAGTCAATAATTAGTGTTTGCAATGTTGAAGGCTTGTTTCCTTTAAACATATCTTATTGACATATATCAAAAGGATCAGGTCTTTTCATACATATTGTTATAATCATTAGAATTTTAAACAAGATAGTGAATCAATATATACAGTATAATTTAAATATATAACAGGTTCTTATTCATTGCAAGTATATATATCTGTAGCAACTTTGTTCTATAATAAACCCCAAGATTGTGACAAAATTAAGTACAGCTGTTGAGTGAAGAATCCATGGAACAGTACAAGCAAGTGTCCTGAATTAAACAACTTCATTTTCAACACAGTCTTGTCAACTTTATTGCTTGGGGAATAATTCTTTCAGATTGTTTTTCTTTTGTCACCCCCATCTTTCATCACTTACGACTTTTTGACCCCCAACTTTTATCACTGACAACATTTTATCCCTAAACATTTATCAATGACAATTTGCTTGCATGTTTCCACAGATTTTTCCACCCACCCTCATACTTTCAGTTTATTTTCTTGTGCTTTATAAATAATAATACTTGAACATACCAGACTATCAGAGACTTGATCAACAAGAGCTAATAGAAGAGTTTTATCACAATGGAAGACATCTATAGACTGCTGTATAGCTCGATGCATCACATGTCGTACCTTAGATCTGTAAAATTTGAAATTTAAATTACCTCTCCAACATTTTTCTTTTCGGATACTTGTCTTCATTAGCCCAGTCAGAGCAGAACAGTAAGACGTTAAACCCCATTTCATCTCATTCTTTTTTCGGATATAAAAGGGAAAATCACTTCAGCTGACCTAATTATGAATAAAGGAATATATATCTCTTAACCCAATAGCACGTAGACCATATGACACTATTGCTAACTAAGGAGACACTGTACTAGGGTAATCTACTGCCATTATATGGAAGTACAAAAGTGTATTTTCAATAAAAAGTAGGCTCTGCTAAAGTTCTCTTTTTCTCTTGTCTACATTCAATTGTGACCAGGCCCCGAGTTCAGAAAGCATTCTCAGACTTAAGTTGAGAATTTACTCAACTTTCAATCACTTTTTATGAAAAATATCTTTGATCCAGAAACACGAAACTTTGCAAATAGTTTCTTATTGATGTATTTGATACATTAAAACAACAAAAGTTTTATAAAGGTCTATATTTTAGTTAAAATAATGAGAACAATTTTGAATAAATTCTTAACTTAAGTCTGAGAATGCTTTGTGAACTTGGGGCCAAGGGTTGGTTGGTCGAATGGTTTAACATGTGTGCAATAGATCATAAGGTCTGTCATTGAGTCAAGTTGTGTGGTTTCGATTCTCATCTGGTAGACATACCCCAGCCCAACTCTATCTGGTAGAAGTCCATCTGCTAAAGTAGCTGATATCATTCTCATATGATCCGCTAGTATTCTATAGGCTGTATCTAAGCCTGTTGTATCGTCCGTACCAACTTTATCTCCATACACCGGTACTTTACTTATCTATCATATAAAAACATGTACATGAGCCATTTTCCTAAAAAAAAAAACTTCATATATGCCAATTTTGGTTGTTTATATTTATACTTTTATGTAAACAGAATTCAAAACTAGATATTTTTATTGGATATAGCAATACAACCAGTTTCTACACACAACATCTTCTTTTAGTGGAATAAATAGAACAGCTCACCTTATGTATAATATCAAATAGTGGAGTGAATAAATCTGTTCTATAATTAGATTTCGTTCCATGAAGTACAGCACACATTCTTTCTAAACCCATTCCAGTATCAACATGTTGATTGGTCAACAGATGCAAACGATCCTCAGATTCTCTGCAAATTAAATTAAGATATTGCTCACTAATAAAATGAAATGAAATGAAATGGGGTTTAACGTTCTACTGTTCTGCTCAGACTGGGCTAATGAAGACAGCCATATGCCAAACAGTGTGCAATGAGGTACATTTTGCACGGACAGCGGCGCTATGGCCTACTCATATATCGGATTCGAACGGCCAAGGGATCTTTTACGTGCACGCCAATGTGTACAAGGGACCTCGTTTTTTCATCCCATCAGAACGACAATACGGTGTCCCTTGCCAGGCCCTCTGTCCTGCACCACTGAGAAAGGGGAACCATGCCGGAAAATCCTGATGAACTTTCTTGGCCAATGGAGGATCGAACAAGGGAACTCCAGGTAAGCGATCCAACATCTTACCCACTGAGTCACTGTAGATCCCCTCACTAATTAAAGATCTGATGGTCATTTAAGGAATTGGGTAATCCCTTACAAAATACAGAATTGTTAAACTTGAATCTCTATAAGGAATATCAGTCCAAAGATATTTACAATAAAATGATCAATTGAATGAAGAATACCCGGTAAATGAAGATCAGGGATATTGCAAGGTAATAAAGAATTTACAAACAAATTACTGATTAGAAAAATATAATGGTAAATAATGTTAATTACGAGATACGTAAGAACAGCTGTCTATTCATTTGGATGGTACGAAAAACCGAGGTCCTGTGTACACATTGCAGTGCAGGTAAAAGATCCCTTGGCAGTTGGAATTCGATATAAGTGTAGGCCGTAGCGCCGCTGCCCGGGCAAAATTTCCCTCATAGCACACTGTATGGCGTATGCCCGTCTTCATTAGCCCAGTTTAGGAGCAGAACAGTAGGACGTTAAATCCCATTTCATTTCATTTCATTTCACGAGATATGTTCTAAATATAGTCCCCCCACCCCCCTCTGGTTAACGTACCTGTTATATTGCATAAACACCAGGTTCCATATCTCCACAACATCTGCTGATCCTGTATTAACCAGAGAAGCTCCTCCCCCTTTCCCTATATGGTCATAATGTATCTCGGTACATGGACCACATGGACCAGTCTCCCCCATATCCCAAAAATTATCTTTCATTCCAAACGGTAGGATGTGACTGTCTGGAATGCTGCAAGAATCCAATAAATTGTAATCAATTTCAAAACATCTTAAGCACTGAGAATAATTTAATGAATGAAAATAAAGCAAAATATTGAACACTTTTTTCTTGAAAATTTCAAAACTAAGAGAATTGGAATTAGAAATCTATGAGTGGTGAGTAGCCATCCCATAATTCCCTCATGAAGCGACTAGTTTCGTTCAGTTCGAACTCATCAGGCTTAAGTGAGATTGTGCGGATGTTTCTTTTTATATAGTCGTCGGGGACCGGAGCACAAAATGAGTCTTGGGTGGACCGCTGTAGTGCAGTATCACCAGAGCAACTACTTCCATTATTGATGGACAGAGAAACGGCTAAAGAAAATTGGAACAAGCAATAGTGGATGACTGACAGAGGTGACGACAACATACGACCACATTGCAATGTGGATGTATAAAAAGGATCATGTAAAAGAATATAATTTAACTTTGACCTGCATGGATAAGAATATATTCGCCTCACCCTAACTCTAACCAAATAGATCTACATTCTTCATCCGGTAATAAATTTAGAGCTTTTTCTCCGCTAAAATAGGTAAAATATAATCTTTCTGGAGGCAAGTGATAAACTTCTGTTAATAATTTGTACGCCATATTGCACGCTTCTTTCTGTAATAAATAAAAATAATTTCTACTGCATTTTCACATGAACAGGTACATACACTAGTACATCAAATCTACATCAAATTTAGACTCTATTACATCATGAATTCTGTCGAAGGTGGGTGGTGGGGGGGTTAACATCCACACTTGACCATTAGATCCTTTTTTCGGGACTAAAATATGGCGAGAGAGAGAGAGAGAGAGATGGGGGTTTAACTCCACTCCACACAAACTAGGTCATTTCGGGACTAAGAGAAAGAGAGAGGAATAGGATTCTGTATCTTATTCATAAAAACTAGGCCCTTTTGGGACTAAGTAACCTTGCTGCCATGATAGTTAACAACAAAATCTCATAAGACTTGGAAAGACTACATAATAATACATGTTCAGGGCCCAATCTAGAGTGTCACACTTCAAGCTCTAGCTGACTGGTCAACTCCTGGGTTTACTCCTGATAGGTTCCTCCAACAGGAAAGACCCCTGCATATGCGCTAAGATAATAAAAATGAAATTTAGACAACCTGTCTGCGATATCTCCCTCACTGGAAGCGGATGTTAAACAACAACCATGAATGTACAAACGATTCTAATCACAAAATATCTACCTTAAAATAATCACCAAACGACCAGTTTCCCAACATCTCAAAAAACGTGTGATGAGAAAGGTCATGTCCAACATCATCAAGGTCGTTATGTTTGCCACCAACACGGATACACTTCTGACTGTTAACAACACGTTTATAGTCAGCCATGACACTTCCAGGTGGTACAGCACCAAGAAATAATGGCCTAAACTGAAATAAAAAAGAAAATAGCCTACATAGTCAGAATATATAAATGGGCCATAACACTTCTTTCAAATGAAAGGACATGGGGTTTAATGTCCTACTGTTCTGCTCAGACTGGGATAACACTGGGTTCTTTTACATGCACGTTGTGTCTTGTCAGGCCCTCCATCCTGCAACACTGACAAGTGGAACCACGTTTAAAAATCCTGACCAACACTAGGATCGAACACAGGACCCCCAGGCTAGCGAGCCAAAGCTTACTCACTGAGCGACTGTGGCTCCTGTAACCAATTTATCAAAGGAACAAGAAACACTCTGAGACATCGAAGAACAAAATGTCTTAATATGAGAGAGATAGAAATGGGGTTTAATGTCCACTTGACATAAACTAGGTCATTTCAGGAAAAACATATGGTTCAATTTTATTTTATTAATTCGATTGTGCATTCGGGGCTTTCACAGTGAGGGGAAACCAGAGGACCCGGAGAAAACCCATGAAGTTGGACAGGCTACCCTACTCCTTGTGGGGACTCTTAACTACGCATTAACCATTCGGCCACCCAACACCCCATGTCTGAATACAAACCTGATTCATTCCAGCATTGGTAAAATATGTTCCTTCGCCTTTTTTAGGTATAACTGAAGAAGATGGCACAAATTTATGGTTTTGTTCATCTTTAAAATAATCTATAAAAACTCTGTCGCACCAGTTGACTTCTCCAGACATGCTTTAATCTGTTCATCTTCATCATGTGACTTCTGTACGCCGATTTTAAAATCACTCTCTGCCGGAGTGGCAGACGAAACATCTTCAGATTACTACAGCCGTCTTCTTACATCAATAAATACATTAGGCCTACAACACATTACATTTGGTACCTTATCTGATGTTAAATTGCTGATGTTTAAAATGGTTGGTTATGTGTTTTTGATAGCTTTAAGAGTCCTGTCTATGTTACACAAAATGCAATTGTGATACCGGTAGCACATTCCTGGTTTCTCAGCAACAAATTACCAGTCGTGTTCTCAGAAACAAACTTGTGCAGAACCTTGTTTTACTTCATTATTGCTTTTTTGTCAAATTTGTAATTTTTTTCATGCCAAAATAAAATGATGCAGGGACTCAAACATCTTTATAATCTAAAAAAAAGAAAAAGAAATCATCAGTTAATTACACACATAAGCTAATGTCCCGATGCACCATTTAGCAGTATAATATTGTGAAAGATGAATCTCTAATAATAATATCAGTCCAAAAATAGTTCATCCCTGTTCAGTATTTACAAAGATAATGTGGAATTGAAATTTAATCGATCTATGCTGGTTCGCTATGTAACCAGCCTGTCGTCTTTTTGTTGTCAGCGTAAATTTATTGGTAGGCCTATTTTTAATTCTATGGAATCCAAGCCAGGAGTTTATCTAGCGTTGATATTTTGATGTTGTTTTCTTAATTAAATATATCAATCTTAGGACATGTGTACATATTATTAGCGTTGATTAAGCAGTGACAAATCTGATATTTCAGCGAAAAAAGCAAATGGTACATCGGGACTTTAAAGTCTCTGAATGTCATTTGAGGAATTGTGAATCTTTTGCAAACTACAAGTACAATATAGTGAAGGGTGGATATCTAGCTAATAGCAATATCAGGGGGTTGGGTGACGTGTTTGATCACAATTAGGTCTGTCATTGAGTCAAGTGGTGTGGTTTCGATTTCCCGCTTGTACGTGGCGAGGATAGGGTCGCTTATCCAACATAACTTTAAGTATCGATGTAGGTTATTAAAATTTTAACTTTAAACTTATGAGGTCAGTAATAATAAAGGGACTGTGGCGTCTTGCAAAATTTCCACACATCCAAACGAATAACCCACAAACCTACTTTTTGTGGACAAGTAACCGTAAATACAGCAATTTTTTTTTATTGGCCTTAGCGCTTAGGTAGATCTAAGCCTAACGCTTAGAAAATTTTGAATACTATTGCTTAGGCCTATGCTTATGAATCGATTCATGATGAAATTTTCTGTCAAACTCAAGACATGCCATTTTCTGATTTTCACCTCAAATGTCACTGAGATCTTTTTGCAATTTTGTCAATGTCTGAAATCTATAGGCCTACAGCTAACAATACAGTCAATTTTTATGACTTTAACTATGATCCTGATTCTCTTTCAAATTAAAAAGTTGCATGTATGAAAACTTTCTATGCCATTCAACTTGATCTTGATTTGTAGTGACACACTCCATTTATGCAAGGGAATTAACTCCATTTATTGCCCAGAAAAGTTTTGATTGGCAGGTAGGTTCTAGAAGGCAAAACTAAACGAAAAATATTTATTCTTTTATTTCATGTTTTAGTTTTAGACCAATCCATCTATGCTTATTATTTATGCATGTGAATTATTATAAACTGGAATATATGTAGTGGATATTTTAGATAATAAATTAATTGATGAGAATATAAGAATTGGTACAAAATACGCACGAGATAATTTATCGATTAGTTTTGCAATTTGATCAGTCTTCCACAAATCCGCCATATTGAATAAGCTTACGGCAGATGTTTAGATAGAAGTTGAACGTCTGTGGTCGTTTTTTCCAGACCAGAATCGTCATGGGAAGGTCAAGAAGTCGCAGCAGATCCTCGAGCAGACATAGACATGCAAGAACAAAAAAGAAAAGAAGGAATACCTCGCGATCACAGTCTAGAGAAAGAAGCAGTCGCCATGGCAGCAGTCGATATAGATCGAGGTCGCGAGATAGAGACCGAGAACGGGAGAGGAAAAGAAGGTGTGAAAAGTAAACAACCCGCTTAGCTTTGCTTGGCATTTTTTTTTTTTACAAATTTCATTTCATAAAAGTTATTTTACTGGATTAACTGTAAATATTTGCCAAGTTGCTATAACTTTTTAATGTTGTCAAAGAAAACTTTTCACATCCCCGATGGCCGATGCCTTGGCTTAAGTACTAGTAGGCCTATTCAGCCTATGCTATTAGGCCTATTGGTGCATTTGACTTCTGTCAACTCCAAAATATCTGACCTCTCTCCAGCCTCCCATAGGTTTTACAGATGTCAATCAGGGTAGAGTTATTCCTGTTTTACAGATGTCAACCAGGGTAGAGTTATTCCTGAACTAGGCCCCTCTCACAGTCCAGACTGAGATTCACAATATTTAGCGACCGGCAGCTAGGGTTGGGCGATATACCGGTATTTCGGTATACCGTGATAAAATCATCGGCGATTTTATCATATCGAACTTACTTAAAAATATCGAAAAACCGGTTTATCGTGACTTAAAAAAATTATCGCGATTATGATAATTATCATGTCCCAATATTGATGATAATACATCGTCGCTTGGACTAGTAAGCGAGGAAAATGTGTTTGGCAAGGTCAAGGTTGGAGAGTATTTACCCCAGTCGCAACTGTCACTGTTCTGATTTTCAGACAAGTAGATTTTAGAACCCTGCTAGTTCTGGTTACATATTATCGTTATATTAAAACTTAATATTCTGCTTCGACTAACTAGTATGTCATTCTATTGATAGAATTAAATTCGTCTACAAGTATAAAATATAGCATATTACGTACCGGCGGGTCAAGGGTAAATATCCATCATGGCGTCTAGCAACAGTAAAAAAGTGACAACAAGCGACGATTTGCTGCCTAAAAAAAATTCCTCCAGTCCCGTTTGGACTTTCTTTGGGTTTAAGCCAAACGACGTAGACCAGGCCACAATATTCTGCAAAGTTTGCACAAATCCAGTAATGGCTAAAGGTGGCAACACAACCAACCTATATCATCATTTGCGAACACGACACCCAAGTCAGTACAAAAGCTTTTATTTATACGGGATTGCCAGGGTTGATATTAATAAAATAATAAATACAACATACCTTTTTCTTTATTAGTATTTGATACAGTATGCACACAAGACAGGGGTCAAGACCTTAACAAGAATTCAAAATTAGACTTCTATAGACACACGTAAAAATTATCACGATAATATCGTTTATCGTGATATTAGATAAATTATTATCACGATATTTATTTTTCATTATCGCCCAAGCCTACCGGCAGCTATTTTTTAGATATTAATTTTTTGTCGATAACCTTGTAAGTTGTTATTTTCCGAAAGCTGGCTTAGCCGTGACCAAGTTTATCAGAATCGGAGCAGATTTGACTAAGTTACTGTCCGTTTAGTAATCCCATTCGACTGTCAGGGCCCCTTTCCGCGAAATGAGCCATTTTGCTTCAATTTTCAACCCCACTCCATATCTCAGAAACGAAAATAGCTAGAGATATAATTATTTCACCAAAATGAAACTTATTTGTGCAACAACACAACCATACAAACACATGACACATGGTTTCCGACCCAAATTCCATGAGAAAAGTCTGTACTAGCTCAGCGAATACATGTCCCAAAACAGATGAAGTGGGGTTCAAAATCGTCCATAGCTGAGTGCAACACTGTCTCAGCCCCCTAGCTACTATATTAAAAAAATTTACGAAAGACACACTCAAGTGCCTATTTGAGTATTTCTCATTTCAAAGAACAGACATAGGCGGTCTTCAGTGGTCTCCAGTTCTAGGCCTACACAATTATCGACTAATAAAGCCGTAAAAAAATCTTAACGTTAACGATTCTGAATTACGGTAATATTTTGAAAATTATTTGATCTCCACCTACAATATTGTACCTGCATCCCGTATTCTCCGCGACTATAATTGATACACTATATAAGGCTTTGCACAGTTTGCCACAAGTAAAATTAGGTTCAGTTGCAAATTTTCAACACAAAGTCTCATACAGTGTGTCATCACAGTTTGCATGGAAATAAGTAATGTTACAAATAGTGAAAAGTGGAACACTGAAATCTTAATCTTATCTTACCAAACAGTTTTTCTGTATTTTCGGGTGACATATAATTATACGGTAAGGTTACACCTTTATTACAAGGGGAATTGGTTTGTATTATGTTAAGCTTTGTGCGGTACAGTTTGGGGTCAGTGTAATTGGAAATTAAGGGAATTACAGGTATAGACTACAAAACTTGCTTAATGGAAGGCCTTAGAATGATCCACTACTGTGGCTGGAGCAAGACGGAAGACACCAGTAGTGGAACCATTTCTCTGTTGTCTCCATTAGTCCTATTAACCTGAAATTAGCCATCGTATGTGTGACATGGTCTACGCAACTATCAACTAATAAAGCCTTGTATAGAATAGTGTGGATTATCCAGGGCTGTCATTAAGCCGAAGAATGGTCAAACTGGTTTAGCATGACTAATGGCAGACCTTGGACACAATTGCTTTTACTTTAGAAAAAGATAAATGTGGTTAAGTAATTAATCAGTACGGTCTATTTAGTTTGGGATTAATTTGGGGAACATCAGCCAAGTTACTGGTTGGTTGTTTTTTTGAATAGGCAATATTGAATAAAGATATTATTATTGCCAAATTTAATGAGTAACTTGTGGACCCCCCAGTTTTGACTTATGTATGATTTTATTTATATTCACAGAAAGAGATCTGTATCATCAAGTAGTTCAAGTAGCGATGATGATCTCATTTTACGAGCAAAACGACGTGAAGAAGAGGAAAAGAAAGCCGAAATAGAAAAACAAAGAATATTGTAAGTTGAAGATGTTTTAAAGAATTTCCATCTTCATTAGACCAGTCGTTGCAGAACAGTAGAATGTTAAACTTCATTTCATTTATAGAAGTAGGGGTGATGGGTGGTCTAGTTGTTTAACGCCTGTGCATTGCATCATAAGATCTGTCATTCAGTCAAGTGGCATGGTTTTGATTACTGCTTGTAGGTGACAAGGAGTAGGGTTGTTTGTCTAACCATGTGGGTTTTCTCCGGGTACTCTGGTTTCCCCTCACCGCCAAGGACCCCTACGCACAAGCCTCAAACAAATTATTGAAATAAAATAGAGTCCTGAAATGACCTATTTTGTGTTAAGTGGCAGTTAATCTCTCTCTCTCTCTCTTTATGAATATTTGTACAAACATCCACCAGTTATAGTAGTTCACTTTTTGCTAATTAGCAATCTCTCAGATTTAATTTGGTGTTTCCATGGAAACAAATTTGACATGATATAGTTTTTATTTTGTGTACAAGGATGTTGTTGACAGTCTTGTTTTTTGGCATATATAATTTGATTTCATTTCATTTACATTTGTGATATTTTTTGGCATGAATTTAAATTTCAATTAAATAATTTCTGTGATATTTCAATTTCAGACGACAGAAGGAATTGGAAGAGAAGTTGATTGAGGAGGAGGTCGCCAGACGGGTTGAAGAATTGGTGGCTAAACGTGTTGAAGAAGAATTAGAAAGACGGAAAGACGAGATCGAGGCTGAGGTTTTACGTCGAGTGGAAGAAGCCAAGCAGATCATGGAAAAACAAATGTTGGTAGAACTGGAAAAACAGCGTGAGGCAGAGGTCGAGGCTCAAAAACTAAAAGAGGTAGGCGGTTGAATCTTTTTGGACGTGAGGTGCTTCTGGCATGCCTTTTAAATATACTCTTAGTTTCTTTTTTTAACCATTCCTACATTGAACACGATAAAGTTTATTACTGTAGCCCCTTACATCCTTAATCAGCAAATTGCTGTAATCTGAGAACTTATTTGTCATTGACATAGGTAAAACATATTTGTATCTTAAATGTATGCAGCATATAATTTTAATTTTAAATTTTAAAATTCATATAGAGGTTAGTAAGAATTTAAATGTTTATATATTTTTTATTCAGTAGCTTTCATCGTTGATGTAAATGTTTAATTTTTAAGTTATATTTATGTAAAGTGCTGGTGAGCAGGTCGCAGTGTTGACTTGTTGGCACTATATAAATTAATTTTTATTATTTGAATTAAATTCACAATAGTTTTTAGAATTTTCCATCTCAGATCATAGCAATTAATGCGTCTCTTTTCTTCAAGGTATGCCAAAAGTACTCTCCAAAATTTTAGTTCAACATGCTGTCATGGCTGGGATGAAGTTACACATAATAATTGAAATTACAAACTAGTAATGTCAGTAATGTGTAAATATTACTTTAAAATTTTCTACCATCCAAATCAACCTCTTCCCACCATGAACTAGCAAATGAACGAAGAAACCTTTTTACACGTCATGATGAATGATTAATAAAGAACTTTCCTTTCAGCTAGTGGAAATTTTCAAAATATTTATCAGCAAGACGTCGGCAATTATCTGTTTGTATTATGAAATATATTTTTAAGACTCTGGAGGGCTGTTTAGTGTTAAGTTCATTTAGTTCATGTTCTTCCCTTCACAAGTTTTATAGGTCAAAGGTTAAAGATAGATATCTCTGCCCGTTCAGTGGAGCGAACGTTTCCACGGAATTTAAATACTGTACACGCAATAAATGCAAGTATAGAACTTTCATCAGATTTTCTTTTTTTTGTCGTATTTGCATCTCCGTTTAATTTTAAATGTGTAGACGTTAATCATTAACACAGGATTCAGAAAAAAAAATATATGGCCTAGATTTATTAAGTGTTAAAACTTTAGGACGACTTCTATGAAAGTTTTCTGGTTTGTATAAATGTGTGAACTGATTGAAATAGAGTAGTGAAAGACTGTTGAAAAATGCAACTCAAAATAAACATTCATTGACTCAAAAAACACTTCAGTTAAACACAATGTAAAAATTGTTCAGCCATATTGAAATGAAATGACGTGTAAAGTGTAGGATAGAAGAAAAACCAAGATGGACGCCCAGTTTGGCCGTGTGTGGTACGTACAAGATATCTTGGAGGTAACAAATGAATCATGTTTCACGCCCCTGTACATTACAAGCCCCTGTGTATATTATTTATAAGAAGCTTGAGGCATAGCCAGTCATATGGTGAGAACACATAAACATGCAAAACAAGAAGATAACCAGCAACAGACATTTGTGTAAACAAAATTCTATGTTTATTTAATTTATTTTGTGTTTCTAATCAATAAAATCATTTATTACAGATTTCTAGGGACAATTGGTCAAGAATTCTGGATTTATTTAATTGGTTTGCAAACGTTTATAAGTTTTAAAAAAAAGAATTAGACATTTAAAGAAAATGTATAATTATTGATCGAAAGATAGTTTGATTTAATTTAAATTTAAAAATTGTTAAAATCGTAAATGAATTCCAGAATTAGTGGTCAAGAGATTCCAGAGAGAGAGAATGAAAACAATATAAATGTTCTCAGAAGTTAGAATTCATTTCTATATTTGTTTTTAAAAACAATTATATATAATTTTGCAACCTACCCTCTTAGTTTTGAAACCGATTGGGTTTCAAGTTAGTATTATATTTAATGTTTTGTGAAAATTAATTAAAGCAATATTTAATAAAACAAAAATCAGTCCAAGCTTTTTTCTTCGTTTAATTAATGTTTTTTTTTCTTTCTGATTAACCCAATTTGTCCCCATCCCCGCTGCCCGTACCTGTCATAATTGTGTGGCTGTGCATTTATTTAAAGGCGTGTCTACTAGCTGTTTATCTTCTGTTTTTTTAGGAAGAAGAACGTCAGAAGAGATTAGAATTGGAAAAAATTATGGAGGAAAATAATCGTAAAATGGAAGAAGCACAGAAAAAATTAGTAAGATACACTTAATTAATTAGATTAAAGGTTGGGGGGGGGGGGAGCAAATGATTTAACAAGTCTGCATTAAATCATAAGGTCTTTCATCTTAGTCTTGAAAGTAACATGGTTTTGATTCCCTGATTGTACGCGAAACAGAGTAGGATCTCCTGTCCAACCTCGGGGGTTTTCACCAACTGCTAGAGACCTCTACATGTAAGCAAATTATTGAAATAAAATTAAACCATATGTTAGTCCAGAAATGACCTAATTCCCTCTTTCTCTTACAATGTAAGCCGTTGACTCTCTTAAAGATACCGTTTACTCTCAATTAAAGAGTGGGGAGCTGAAGTCTCTCAGTGAATAAGATGCTGGCTCGCTAACAAGCATACTAAACTTAAACTGTCTGTCTATAATTACATGTAGCTCCGCTTGAGAACAGACACTAAACTAGTTGACTGACATTTTAAGTCCTAAATCGATGATTTTAGTCGAAAACAAGTAAAGTTCGAGAATTTTGAGAAGTATATATTCTGCTTCCATTTAATACAATTAAAAAGGTTTAATTATTAGGACCGCATTACAAAACAGTATACTAATTGTTGGATATGGCGGCCATTTAGGGAGAGATCTATTCTCGAAGTAGAGTACATGTAGATACATGTAGCTCAGTGCAGAATGGCTAACAGTGGGACCAAGGGTTGATCCTGGCGTTGGCATGGAAACAAATTTGGCATAGTTTTTAGTATACAAGGGCGGATGATGTTGATGACAGAACCTGCGTGTTTCATTTCCATTGTAAGGCCTGTTTTCTATTTACAGGTTTTCGCTGGTTACATAGAACCATTACATTGGCATTCAACCTACTTTTTCACTGCCAAAAACGTGTATCCACTACAAGTATGTGGAAGACTGACCTTTTAAATTCCAAACATCATAAAAATATTTCTAATTATCTTTCAGGCTGAAGAACAGTTAAAATTAGTTGAAGAACAACGAAAAATGTTAGAAGCAAAACAACAATTTGAGGAGGAGGATAAAAGACGTGTGAAACGTGAACAGGACATGGTTTTAAATAAAAAGAACAATCGACCGAAACTATCGTTTTCGTTTAAATGATGACCGGTGAAACTAACTGCACACGCAAAAGTCTTTTAAAACAAAACTTTCTCCACGAAAAAATAACTTATCAAATACAAGCACAATGGTTGAGTGATTTAATCGAGCAGTCCAACAAAACGTGTATTCTACTGTTTCTAACAGAGAGTAAAAACAAATATAATTTGTTTATAGTGAATCATAGTGTGATGATCTAAAGTGAGTAGCGCGGCATCCATAAAGAATTTGAGATCTTTGTTTAAGAAGGTTTCTGTGTATTAATGGAAGATTTCTTACCATGCAATGACTTCTATTCAGGGACAAACAACAATTCGCCTATCACTAAAATATTTAGTAATCATGAAAGTTTGAGTCATGACAGTTAGTGGTTGGGGAGGTCGAGGACATTGTGGTATTCGTCTGTCAATACAATGTTTTATTAAACAAAATAATATGAATCTATGACAGGTGGGGTTGGGGGAGGGAGAGTGTTCGAGGACATTGTGGAAGGGGGTAAAGGGATGGCTGTGTGTGTTGTGCTCTTTTTCTCATCTATAATTATTTCAAGTCATTTTTTACACTAGATATTCTATTATTTAAATTTATAAGAAAAAAAATGTATATTTCTTAGTCCTTCGTATTTGCTTTCAAAATCATTTTTCATCAGCATGGCCTGGTTCCTTTTTTGTCAATTTATTTAGGTAAGTATTTTTTATAAAACCTTGAAAAGGGGTAACTTTATTAAAGATGCAGTATGTAAGATCTGCCAATTGCAGTTCTTTATTTTGGCCTTGAATGTTTTATTATTAATTAGACATTTATTAACATGACAAGCCTATAATCAACTCTCTAGATCATTGGAGGGTCACAATTTTCACTGGATTGAAACATGATCGCTATTTAATGATTTATTTTAAAAAGTAATCATAACAATCAAGACTTTTATATATGTTCTCAAAATAAGATAATTTGGCTAAAATTTTCAATATATTCATTTTTCATAACTGTTATAGCAAGAATGATCAGTGCTTTATCTAAATCTTACATAATGTATCTTTAACCAGTGTTTGGCAAACTAAAACAAGAACCATTAACTCTTATCTAAATCTTACATAATGCATCCTTAATTGAAATCGTCGTCCCAAAAATGAATTACGGTAATTTATTTATTCTGACTTGATGTTGATGAAATTAATTTTCTGGATCCTGTACTAGTTTGTGTCTGTGTGTATATCGGAGAGTGAATGCATGAGGTGGGGATTTACAACAACTATTCTTTTTTTTTCAATAAAACTAGAAAATTGTGTTCTGTGTTCTTAAACCAAACCAGAGATGATATTGGGGAGTTACTTAGGTCCATTAGAAGATGCTTGATTATCAGTCCTGAATTGACAGAATTGCAATCAAGTGGAGGGGAATTCAGTCCTATCAATTCCGTGGTGTGAGCAGAATCGTGACGTATTTAAAAACGGTGCATGAGTTGTAGCACGAAATCCCCACTTTCACAAATTTTGGGATTGAGAGAATTTAATTGTCACAACCAGTGAAAGAATTTAAGCCTAAAACAAAACTATCCCAGTTCCAATGCTCAACAAGTGAAAGAATACAACGCCTAAAACAAAACTATCCCAGTTCCAATGCTCAACAAGCGAACGAATACAAAAAAAAAACACCCGAGTTCAGGGGAAGAACGATCTAAGTCACATTTTTGTCTTTTTGCATAAAAGCCAAAACAGACTTTTGGACAAAAATGCTTGATCCGAACAGAACAAGGAGTGGGCTTAATTACAACTTCAAAATGATAGTTAATACGAATCATAATTACCAGTACAACAACTGGCTTCCACTTTTCAGCCAAATTAAAGATACATTCCCACATACAAACTGGGTGATTTAATGATATATTTGGACTAAAAACATATTCAAACTAATTAATTTATCATAATTTTGCTTCAAATCCTTCTCAAAACATTGTAATTGACCAAAAGAAGTCATGTTTGTGTCACGTGACTAACCTCCCTCGGTACCTATAGCAACCCTTGCGAGGTTGGAGGAGAATTCATTGCATACACAAGACGATGTCTTTAATCACTGACTATTTATTACATTTATCGAATCCTAATTAAATTCTCGGATTATCCACTGCCCGCGTCTTTTTCTGTGATTTTTATCTCAGAAAGTCTTGTACGTCTAACTCTTAAAGTTTGTCAACATGTACACCAAGCGCTCAATCTTCGCATGCAACCTTCGACGTCACGCGTGCAGACATTCCTAATCGTCGGGCTGTCGTTTCGGGTGAACCCTTACATTTTTGTCCTGTATACGCTCCATGAGTGTTTTTCGAGGAATCCAGTATTTTTATAGTAAGATTGGATATCTCTACTTTCCATATATACCAAAATTGCCATACTTTTATTTGAAATGAACACCCGATAAATACTTTTCTGGGAACCTATCTTTAAGGTCAAATAAAGGGTATGATAGACGTATTTGTCGGGGAGGCCATTTCACAAGGGCCTTGGTTCGATTTGACTACTATCGTTCTTACCTGAAATTGATTGTTCCACAGAAAGCTTATACAATTTGTTACCAGATGGTACCATTAACTGGGGTTCATTGAAAAGGTGACTTAGATCGTTCTTCCCCGGGGCTCTTCATCATATAGTAGGACCGCATTACAGAACAGTATACTAATTGTTGGATTTGGTGCAGAGATTGAAGTATAGTAGATAGTTCTCTTATGTGCAGGAGTCCATAGCCATCCTAGTTCCCATGCTCGACCATTTATGGATCTGGGCCATCTTTGATCCCGGAGGGGTTGGATGGCCGAACGGTTAGTGCGAGTTGCGCGCGCGTTGTATCATAATTTCTGTCATTGACTTAAGTGGCAGGGTTTCAATTCCCCAGTTGTATGTGACAAGGAGTAGGGGTCGCCTGACCAACCTCTTGGGTCCTCCAGTTTCCTCCCACTGCTTAAGACCCCTACGCGGAAGCAAATTATTGAAATAAATTGAACCATATGTTAGTCCCGAAATTATCTAGGCTGTGTCCAATGAACGTTACATACACGCACTCTCCCTCTCTCTTCATCCCCACCTTTGATCCCATTGGTTATTTACCATAGTCAGTTACGGGAGCCACGGTTGCTCGGTGAGTAAGACTGTGCTAAACTAGCTTTTGGGATCACATGCCCCGCGGGATGGACAATATTTGAAAGAAACACGGTCTCTAGCGTCATTTTGGCGTATATCTCGGGTTACTGGAAGTCACTTTGCTAAATGTTCTTCATTTATGGGGCGCCGTTTGTAAATTAATTATTTAGCTTTTTATATAGCAAAAAACACTAGATTTAATTTAAATTTATATATATAGTTAAATCTCGACTTGTGTGCAAATTTTTCACTTTTAATATTTAAACTAAAAATACAACAAAAACTCAACATTTAACATAATATATATATAAATGTGTCTTGATTTGTCTCTATTTTCATATTTAACATTTAGCATTGAATATTAAAACCAAAAAAAGAGATTTGATGATATATAAATATTTAGCTAAATATTTAGTTAAATGTTTAAACATTTAGATAAATATATATTTAGTTAAATGTTAAAATATTTAGTTAAACATTTATATATTTAGTTAAACATTTATATATTTAGCTAAATAATATATATTTAGCTAAATACTATATATTTAGCTAAATAATATATATTTAGCTAAATAATATATATTTAGCTAAATATTTATATATTTAACTAAATAATTATATATTTAGCTAAACATATAGTTCAATTTACAAAGCGCAACCGTACCACGCCGTTTGTAAAATAATTATTGTTGTAAGCGACTTCACACTAAACGATGACGTAGTGTACAACTTTCCATTGACTGCACCTTGCCTTGATCTGTGCGAACGGCACGGGGTACCGCGGCCGTGATTCGGGTTACAAGTTCGTGGTCAGCTTCCATTTCTAATTGCTAGTAGGCCTATTGTGCCAAGGCTCACGTGTCGGGTACACGTCATCATATTATGCGCAGTTTTTTGTGTCGCTTACGATAATAGAAATATTGGCGGGACCACAAATATATATTTAGTTAAATAGTTATACATTTAGCTAAACATTTATATTTAGCATGATATTTATATATTTAGTTAACTGTTTATATATTTAACTAAATATATATATTTAGTTAAATGTTTATATATTTAGTTAAATGTTTATATATTTAACTAAATGTTTATATATTTAGCTAAATGTTTATATTTAGCTAAATGTTTATATATTTAGCTAAATGTTGAACTTTAGATTTTTTAGTATTTAGCATTTATACCTACGAAAAACAGCACATTTAGCTATATATTTAACTAAGCGATGTGAAATCAAGATAAAACATTTAAAGTTTTTCATAGACCAAAAACTCGACTTTTAGCTACAATATTTTTTGATATTTACATACATGCCATTTTTGTTCTAATATTTATCTAAATATATATATATTCATTTAATCCGAGCATGGGAGGGGGTCCCTATTTCTACAGAATAAAATTCTATAGTACTCTACAAAATTTTAGGGGCCTGTAGGAAATATGACCATACTATATTCTACAGTTTCTGTAGCGAATACCTATAGTTTTTCCTACAAATTTGTGGGGAAATTTCTATTAGGAAAATACTTATTTTTACTCTGTGTGTTATATTATAGGTTTTTCATTGCACTTCCTGTAGAGAATTCTACAGTAATGTATAGGAAGGAATACTGTAGTATTCTGTAGTTTGCAAATTGGGTTACTAAAGTTGTCTGTAGGAATGAGTACCATAGAATTTTATAGATTTTTTTATTACTTCTTTTTTTGGGTAATAATAATAATGGCAACGTTTTCTTCCATAGAAAATTGGCTGGGTATGCGAGTCTATTAATCACAAACCGGAAGTAAATAATTTTTAGAAAATCTACATTCATTTTTGTTGGTCTGAATCCATTTTCATATCTGCTATCAGTTCAAAAAGCCAGGTTCTAGTACTAGTACTACAGGAGTGACATTTATACAGTTCTGGGAAGAGTGTAGCTTGTTTAGGACTAAGTCTTCTGTGTGTTTCACTGACTGTTGTGGATGTTCATATTATAATCTGTACCGCATAAACAGTGAACGTTATTTAATATTGTGTAGGCCAATTATAGTATATATTATATTATATATATTTAATATACATGTAGGCTGACGTTTGATATGTGGCCTATATAGAAAGGTAATACATTAGACAAGTTAAACAGTCAAACGACACAGACTGTAAGGCAGTAGTCTACTAATGTTATTTTAACTGAATGACATTTTACAACAATAAGTTATACATTGATATTAGAACTTATGTGGGTTACTGGAATTGAAACGATAAGTCGACATCATTAATCATTCTTAAAGTAAGTCTAGGTGTCTAACTATGTGTTCAACAATGTTATAGACCATTGATATAACTCGATGAGATAATCAAGCCTACCATTATAGATAATCAAGTCTATAGCTAGGGTGTATGTTAAATACCTTAAAATCAAGTCTAGGGTGTATGCTAAATTCCTTTATAGATAATCAAGTCTAGCTAGGGTGTATGTTAAATGAAATGAAATGGGGTTAAACGTCCTACTGTTTTGCTCCTAAACTGGGCTAATGAAGACAGGCATACACCATACAGTGTGCTATGAGGGAAATTTTGCCCGGGCAGCGGCGCTACGGCCTACTCTTATATTGAATTCCAACTGCCAAGGGATCTTTTACGTGCACGCCAATTTGTACACGGGACCTCGTTTTTTCGTCCAATCCGAACGACTAGACAGCTGTCCTTGTCAGGCCCTCCGTCCTGCATTACTGACAAGGGGAAACCACGCCGGAAAATCTGGACGAACTTTCTCGGCAAATGCAGGGATCGAACACCCGACCTCCAGGCTAGCGAGCCAGCGTCTTACCCACTTAGCCACGTGATCCCCCTGGGTGTATGTTAAATATCTTTAGATAATCAATTCTAGGGTGTATGGTCAGTACTGTAAGTCTTGGGTGTATGTTAAATACTTTATAGATAATCAAGTCTAGGGTGTCAACTGTCAAGTCTATGGTGTATCATTATAGATAATTAGGTCTAGCTAGGGTGTATGTTAAATACATGTACTGTTATAGATAATCAAGTCTATGGTGTATGGTAATACCGTTACAGATAATCAAGTCTAGCTAGGGTGTATGGTAATACCGTTATATATAGATAATCAAGTATAGATAATCAAGTCTAGGGTGTATGTTAAATACTGTTATAGATAATCAAGAACATGTATGGTAATACCGTTATAGATAATCAAGTCTAGGGTGTTTGGTAAAACTGTTATAGATAATCAATTCTAGGGTGTACACTGTTATAGATAATCAAGTCTAGGGTGTATGATAAATACCATTATAAATAATCAAGTCTAGGGTGTATGTTAAATACCTTTATACATAATTAAGTCTAGGGTGTATGATAAGTACCTTTATAGATAATTAAGTCTAGGGTGTATGATAAATACCTTTATAGATAATCAGAGAGAGAGAGAAATGGGGTTTAACGTCCACTCGACACAAACTAGGTCATTTCGGGACTAACATATGGTTTAATTTTATTTCAATAATTCGCTTGCGCGTAGGGGTCTTTAGCAGTGGGAGGACCCGGAGAAAACCCACGAGGTTGGACAGGCGACCCTACTCCTTGTCACGTACAACCGGGGATTCGAAACCACGCCAGTCGACTCAATGACAGACTTTATGATACAGCGCGCGCACGCTAACCATTCAGCCATCCAACCCCTCTTTATAGATAATCAAGTCTAGGGTTTATGTTAAATACTTTTATAGATAATTAATTCTAGGGTGTATGTTAAATACCTTTATAGATAATCAAGTCTTGTAGATACTATTATATGGTCGTTCCATGTCAAGTGGGCCTAATTCTCTGAAAGTTATCCGGTGACCCCCTCCCTCAAAACAATTCGGGAAAAAAGACCCCATACATGGTTAGCGTTTGAAAAAGATTGCATTTATCTATTCCTGTGTAAGTCGATTTTCAAAGCTAATTTTACAAGAAACCGACAAAGATATGGCTTTTAATGTTGGTTCATACAATACCCATAAATACATTATACATGCGATAAGTAACAACTTCTAATATATAATGTAGTAAAATTTCTACTCTGTGTCGACCCCCCCCCCCCCACACACACACACACACGTATCAATTTTTGGCACTCAAGGCACTCCATACACAGTTGACGGTACTTGTTCTGGAAAATTTGATGGTGAATTCTTAATCTATATAATATTCTCTTACAAACCCCGAAATTTCAATAATATTGTCTAACTAGAAGATATAAAATCAGTACACCAAAATCTACACACTAATTAGCAGTGAATATTCACTAGGCCGCTAATATGGTATGAGTATGACATAGGTGCGAGTTAATGAGCTCGCAATATTAACTTCTTTTCTTCTGCAAATTAAATTCTAGTACATTTCTTTTTGAGCAATAAAAAAAAAAAATTAAGGTGTTTGATATCTGGATAAAAAATACTTCATATTTAGTGTAAATGGGTATATAAAATGAGTAAAAGGAACAAGTCGGCCTGGACCAGTTCACGTACCCCAATTCAACAGGCCATATCTCAGTCAATATTAGCAATGAAGTCATATAACTTTGCAGTTTTACCTAAATATACATTATGCAAGCGCTAAATCTGCCAATTGCAGGTCCTTCTGTTGGCCTGAAATGTTATGTAAATTATTAATTAGACATTAATTAACTTATCCAGACCATAATCAACTCTCGATGGCATCGCTAGCCTGTGATATTTACTGGATTAGAACCCGTTTTGCTGCTTCTGATTAAATGAAAAAGTGGATAACCGAGACGATGTTTTTTTATTGTACTGACGTTAGTAATGATGATCGAGGCTAAGCTCAAAATTCAATCGCTAAATTCCCTTTTTATCATCTAGTTTTTAACTATTATAGTGAGAACTACCAACTCTTTATCTAATCTCCCATAATGAATCTTTAAGTTTGTATGTACTCTTTGTTTTTCAGAATATTCTGAGGAGGTCATCTGACAAGCACTGGTACACCGTAACACTGGGCATGCAATGACCCTAGAGATAATCAAGTCTAGGGTATATGATAAATACCTTTACAGATAATCAAATCTACCAGACGTAACCGTAAGGTCATTACCAACATGGCTAATAACATCAGGGATAAACCACTGTGTAGTATTTGTTTAAATGACTTTCAACAACCAAAGATAATCGACTGTCAACATTCTTTCTGTTTCACCTGTTTAGAAGATTATACCAACAAAGTATCTACTAACAATCAGTTTCCATGTCCTTTATGTCGTAATATTGTTAATATCCCTGCTGGTGGAGTTATGGACTTTATGTCTAATGTAGATGTTCAACAGGTTTTGGTGATTGATAAGACAGAAGTTCCACCATGCGATGTTTGTAAAACTGGTGTTAATTCTCAGTTCAGGTGTGAGGATTGTGAACAATATATGTGTAGTTGTTGTAGAAAAATGCATGATGCGCTTAAAGTATGCCGGGATCACGTAGTTGTATATGTTAATGCTCCGGCAGGAGATAATCCAATGAGTAAATCTGAAGATGTGTGTCCAAACCACCCGGAGAAAGACATAAGATGTTATTGTAAAGACTGCTCTCTATCGGTCTGTACCGATTGTTTTGTGATCGGACATAATGGACACAACTTCTTAGATTTACAGGACGACAAGATCAAGGTAGAGACGAGAGAGAAACTGAAACAATTAAAAGCGGATCTAGATGCCCGAACTGAACAATTCGCTAAATATTCAAATTCTTTGAAAGCACTTGTTACTGATATCGACAGATCGGCTGACGAATCGTGTGCAGCTGTCGACAAACAAGTTGAAACGATTTGCTCTGAAGTCAAACAACTCGGTGACGACGTTAAAATCCAGATACAGAAGTCACGTGATGCGGAAATAGATAAAATGACCAAACCGCTGAAAGAGATGGAAATATTAATAGAAGATTTAAAAGCCAGTGTCAAATGTACCGTAAATGTTATAGACGAAAAATCTATTGTTCAGGTTTTAAACAAAATACCACAAGTTGAACAAGAAAAAGAAGAATGTAGGTTAAGAAAGTTGGATATACCTGATGTAAAATACACTTGTTTTGAAGAATCAGTGATTGATAAAACATTGCTAGTAAAACAACTAGGAACTCTACTGTATCAAGAACATGAAGCAACTTTTACATCTAGTTTCAACTTGGATGAAATCGTGCGTCAAGGAAAGACAGGTTTGGTGCATGGTCCAGATTATTATATTCAAGGTTTACCTTGGTGTATTACTGCTGAGAAGTTAACTAGACCCAAAGCAAAAACGGTACGAACTCTAGCTATTTACCTAGGACAAAGTGAATTAAAAGAAACAGCTAATGTTAAATCCAGCCAGGCCAAATGCAGCTTAACACTGATTAATATACAAGATAAACAACAATCTAAGAATATAGAAGATATTGATACATATATTCCTGGTAGATGTAGAGGTTGGCCTGCATTTATAGACTGGAATAAATTCTCTGATAAACAAAATGGTTTTATTGATGATAACAACAACTTTACTATACAAGCTACAGTCAAAGTAATAAAAATAGATCGTGGTTAACGTTTGAAAACTGACAACAATAACACCATAAACATACATATATAAAGTATAGTATTGTAGATTCTAAAGGGTGTTCATTCATTCGGTATATAACTATAGACCCTAAAGGGTGTTCACATCCATTGAATATATAAATATAACTAACTATAGGTGTTTACTTTTATTCAATATATAAATATAACTATATATTCTAAAGGATGTACACATTGATTCAATAAACATAATTAAACACCGACATAAATTAATAAATATAGTTCCCAGGAACCTGAAGAAAAGATGTTCTAATTCAATCAATACATTCATATTGACAAATTGGTGTAATGATATTTGTTAAATCAAATGCAAATTTAAAGTTCTGTCACATTAAGAGTATAACTGGATTTTTATACATATTGCTTACCTGATTTCTTTTTATGTTGGTGGGTTTATTTCCACACTTCCTTGGTTACGTTCCAGTGATAAAATATAAAGCACAGACCTTGTGAAAGACACCTAATTAAATTAGAATTACTTCTTATTTATTGAATATTATATTTTCTCCACCTAGGTGTTTATGACAAACCATATAATTTTATTTGCAATAAAATATGTTTAAACCATAATTGAAATTATATGTAAAAAACAGATGTTAGAGTTTTGATATTTTCGAGGGGTGGTGTATGATATGTTTATGATTAATCATAGTTAAAACCAGGTGTTGGAGTTTTGATATTTTCATGGGGTGATCAATCATACACTCAAAGCCATTAAAAACGCAATGCCTAATTCAAAGTTTATTTACTGCAACAACTTTTAACAAATGTGCATAAAAATTGACAAAATCAAGACAACAAGCATCTGTAGATAATTTCATGAAAGAATTCACTAAAAATGCACAAAAACGAAACTTCAGAGAACCATGAAACAGCAGAATCAGCTGAAGTCAATATCAGGTATGTCCACCCTGGGCTCTTACACATGCCTTAAGTCGCCTTGGCATAGATTGGCACAGATGTCTCACTACACGCTGTGGGATTGTTTGCCAATGATTTTGGAGTTCCTGTGCCAACTCTGCAACAGTTCATGGTGACACGGCTTGAGTTCGAACCCATCGTCCAAGTTCATCCCAAATGTGTTCGATCAGGTTCATGTTGACGAGAAGATGACATTTCACCATGGTGTGTTGTGCAGATACCCCTGATTTGCGGCCCATTGCTGTCTGGCAAGTCGATGACGATGCAAAAAGATTTGACCATGGTAAGGTCGACGGCAGCGTAACCCAATAGCAGCCAGGCGCCTTCGGACTGTTTGAGGGCTGATCTGACGTTGCCGTGTTCCAACAGTTCCCCTGGCAGTAGCTGACTGGAACCTGTTGCGCAGATGCTGTAGTCGGATGTGGCGATCTTGAGCAGGGTCGATCGGCAACTCTTCCAGTGGCGTGGAAGCGTTGTCTGAGGCGAGCATTGGTCGATGGGTGGACATTAAAAGTGTCTGGCGACGGCTACCTGTGAAGCCCCCTGACCTAGCATGCCAATAGCTCTGTTCCTGTTTTCTTGTGTAAGGCGTGGCATTTTTCCGAAGTGATGAATGTTGAAATTTTGATCAGTATTTAAAGGGTCAGAGTACAGGGAATGCATGCAAAACGTGTGACATGGGACTGCTTAAAATCGTAAGAACAAAAATAAGTGTTGCGTTTGCTCGAAAAAAGTTCATTACCGAGAACTGATATTGGGTTCAAACCCAGAACTCCACAAAAAGAGACCCATATTGGGCAATAGGAAAGCCCAAGAAAACGTTTACCAGAACTATTTCACGAATTAGGCATTGCGTTTTTAATGGCTTTGAGTTAAAACCAAGGGCGTGTTTCACGAAATTTTAACTAAGATAAAATCCAAACTTTAGTAATTTGATTTAATATTAGATTGATTTTAGTGCTTATCCAATCAAAATTGAAGTATCTACTAAAATTTGGATTTTATCTTTAGTTAAGACTTCGAGAAAAAGGGCCCAGATGTTGGAGTTCTAATATTACTCCATAGCATATGGGTATTATCAGAGACTGGGGTATCAACAGAGACTGGGTAGCAATCAACAGAAATAGGGGTATCAACAGAGACTGGGGTATCAATCAACAGAGATTGGAGTATCAACATAGACTGGGATATCAACATAGTTTTGGGTATTAACAGAGGCTGGCGTATCAACAGGGATAGAAATAAAAATTACAGTATGTTAATCTCCATATTCCTCGCACTGTTTAGTTTGATTATACGTAATCCCACTTAACACTGCTGTAAAGGAAGCAAATATCTGTTCTAAATTATGGCCGGTCAATAGTCCGATTAAAAACTAATAGCTAACTGCATAACTATATCATTACGCTTTAAACGGAGCTTTTTTCGTACAATCAGGGGCCATTATTCAATCCCCATAGAAATAACCAGCGGTTGCCAGGCAAGATACACCCACATTTTGCGAGAGACGGATAAACAAGCTACAAAAAAGCGACTTTTCGTACAATCAGGGGTCATAATCCTGGAAGTTATGATCTTAAATGCGCGAATATCGAAAGGGACTGCCCGGGATATTTGAGATATAAAGATACATTTTAAGTTTAATCAAAATCGGATAAAAATTGTGACATCTAGAGGGTCCACAACCTTGGTATTACATACTTTACACTATTTGCGTACCAGGAGCAGCCATTTTCTCAGGCAGTTTCGGTCCGATTTTGACGAAATTCGATCTAAACCATCATTAGGGTGTAAAAGTGATACATTTAAACGTTTTTTAATATCGGATAAAAACTGTGTCCTCTAGAGGGTCCACACGCTAAAAACTAGATTTTTTCGTACAATCAAGGGCCATAATCCAGGAAGTTACGGTCTGATATGAGCATATACCGAAAGGAAAATGAAATGAAATGAAATGAAATGGGGTTTAACGTCCTACTGTTCTGCTCCGAAATGAGCTAGCGAAGACGGGCATACGCCATACAGTGTGCTATGCGGGAAATTTTGCCCCGACAGCGGCACTACGGCCTACTCTTATATCGAATTCCAATTGTCAAGGGATCTTTTACATGCACGCCAATGTGTACACGGGACCTCGGTTTTTTTGTACCATCCGAACGACTAGGCAGCGGTCCTTGTCAGGCCCTCCATCCTGCATCGCTGACAAGGGGGAACCACGCCGGAAAATCTGGATGAACTTTCTCGGCCAATGCAGGGATCGATCATCCGACCTCCAGGCTAGCGAGCCAGCGTCTTACCATATCGAAAGGAACCAAGATCTTTAGATTATAATCATGCATTTCAAGTTTCATCAAAATCATTTAAAACTTGTGACTTCTTGATTCCACATGCTAAAGATAGTCTGCCAGGAAACGAAACATGCGCCCACAGTAGCAAAATTGTCCGACGGACAACAAGGGTTGTCTCATATTTAGTCTTATGTAGGTAATGGAGGCATTTACAAGACAATTTCATACAGATTAGATTATTTAATCTTATGTACGTAATGGAAGCATTTACAAGACAATTTCATTTAGATTAGATTATAATTCTCGTCCTTTGAGGTTTCAGAAGGTGCTACAAACTGAAACATGGACCTTAACTCTGAAAGTAATATACAAAAATTGTTGAAAATCAACAGCCTTTTTCGTTTTACTAATTTAAATAATGCATATAAATTTCATATAGATCGGATGATGACTTGTCATTCACATTGTTCAACAAGTAAAACAGGGCCCATAACTTGAGAAATTAGAAATTGAACAGGCTTCTTTGTTTGACTAATTTAAATGATGCGTATAAATTTCATACAGATCAGATGATACCTTTAATCATTCGAGCGTTCACAAGATTCAACAAAGTTAAACAAGGGTGATAACTCTAGAAGAAAATTGCCCAAATTCAATAGGATTATTCATTTCAATAATTCAAATGATGCATACAAATGTTATACAGATCTGATGATAAATTTTGTCATGGAGCATTCACAAAGTGCAAAAAAAGTGAAACAATGGTCATAACTCCAGAAGAAATTAAGGAAATTGCCGAAATTCAATAGGATTCTTTGTTTCACTTATTTTAATGATGCATATAAATTTCATACAGATCAGATGATAACTTTCGTCATTCGAGCGTTCACAAGGTTCAATAAAGTGAAACAAGGGCCATAACTATAGGCGTAATTAACAGAAATTACTGAAATTAGGATTTTTTGTTTCATTAATTTAAATAATTCATATAAATTCATACAGATCAGATGATAACCTTTGTCGTTAGAGCATTTACAGGGTTTTACAAAGTGAAACAAGGGCGATAACTCTAGACATAATGAAAAAGAAATGAAATGAAATGGGGTTTAACGTCATACCTTTCTGCTCCGATCTGGGTTAATGAAGACGGGCATACGCCATATACAGTGTGCTACGGCCTACTCATATATTGAATTCCAATGTCAAGGGATCTCTTACGTTCACGCCAATGTGTACACGGGACCTCGGGTTTTCGTCCCATCCGAACGACTAGACAGCTGTCCTTGTCAGGCCCTCTGTCCTGCATCACTGACAAGGGGGAACCACTGGGATCAAACACCCGACCTCCAGGCTAGCGAGCCAGAATCTTACCCACTTAGCCACCGTGACTCTCTACACATAATGGACGGAAATTCCTGAAATTTAATAGGCTTCTTCGTGTCACTAATCTAAATAATGCATATAAATTTCATACAGATAAGATGATCTTTTGTCTTAAAGCTTTCACAGGGTTCAACAAAGTGAAACAAGGGCCGTAACTCTGGGTGTATTACACAAAATTTGCTGAAATTCAATAGGATTCTTCGTGTCACTAATTTAAATAATGTATATAAATATCATACAGATCGGGTGACGTAACTAACGGAAATTGCTGAAATTCAATAGGATTCTTCGTTTCACTAATTTAAAGGATGCACATAATAAAGTGGGATATAAATAGTCATGGACACTTGACATTCTTTGAGAGTATGTTCACAGATGAAGAACCAACCGCCCCAACAGAAACACTGAGCTGCACATGCGACATGCAATAATGCCATACACGTGGGAGGGGTTCATTGTCAAATTTGACACTTCAAGGAAGGGTTGATGAAAACTGCCGCGTGTTGGTTTATCTATCAGTGTTTGCTTTCCTATCGGTTCTTTCATAAGATTTACTTAACGTATCTTTGCTTTAGTGTGTTACGTTTAATTTGATCGGGAGACGTGTTCGTCGACGTCAACAGACAACACTGCAAGAATTGATGAATGTCTGGGGATTGGTGGAGCAATTACTCATTATTAAGATAAAAATCAAAACCGTCCATTTTCACTTTTGACGGTGAATCTCTCTGCGACTGAAATGGGGCCGTAAGATAAGCCGCCCATATGAACTGTATATCTTCATGTGTCGGCAATTGGACTGTTATTAACATACATGTAAACTGGTTACCTCTAATAAAAACAGCAGTGCATTTCCGCAGTTTTGTATTGTTTCTGAATATCCCCTACTTTTTTTGAAGGGTATATAACCACATTTCCATGTGGGCGTATAAAAACTAAAGAATGTTATTCTCAATATGTGAAGTAGCAGTCCATCCTTCTCTCAGTATGACAGTTTAATACATGGTCTGTTGGTTGTTACCCCTTGAATTAAAGGTACCTTGAGGTTCTTTCTTAGCACCATCATGATTAAACCACAGATCTTGGGTTAGTATAGGCCACATCCAAAGGACAGAGGCCAATGATGGGCCGAAAAATCAAGGTCCTGTGCACGTAAAAGAACCCGGCATATTCCTGCCTTCAATAGTCCAATCGGAGCAGGACATGAGGAGGTTAAACCCCATTTCATTTCATTTGATATAAACTCATTCATCTCCATGAGCAGCTGTGTATTTAATTAATAACTATAAGAAATTCTCTGTATGTACATTTTAATTAATATACGTTGGATAAAGATGATATCTAATCCTCTTGTGTGAATCAATACGAAACTATATACATATAATTAAGACCCTTAATAATGATAAGTTGTAGCAGAGAGAGGTTGTTGCCCCCTTTGTGTAGCCTAGCACCCTGCAAGTATGGGTGATGTAAATAAAATTGGAATGTATAAAAAGTTTCAAAGTCATCCATTACGGTGATTATTTAAAGCAGCACTCTGGAAGATTAGATAAAGAACTGACAGTTCTCGCTGTAATAGTTCAAAAACAGATAATGAAAAAGGGAATATATTGAAAATTTCAGTTAAATTACTTCACTCTTGAGTCGAGAAATCTTCATTTCAATAACACTGTGGTCTTGATTGTCATTGTTACTGTTATGATAAGTCTTGATTATTCATTTTTACGGTTAACCGGTGTTGAATTGTAGATCGGATATGAATAAGTTTAAAATCAGACCCATCAGATGGCACCGAGAGTTGACTATGGTCTTGTCATGTTAATAAATGTCTAATTAATAGTTTAAACATGCATTAGGCATTCGCTAAATCTGCCTATTGCAGGTCTTTCTTAGGCCTGAAATGTTATCTAAATTATTAATTAGACATTAATTAACTTATCCAGACCATAATCAACTCTCGATGTCAACGCTAACCTGCGTTATTTATTGGATTAGGATCCGATCTGCTGCTCAAATTTCATTCATGATTTAATCATGAAATGGATAATCCAGACTATGTTTTTTATTGTACCGACTTTAATAATGATGATCGAGGTTAGGCCGAAAATTCAATTGCTAAAATCTTGGTTCAGAGTGGATCAATTTGACTGAAATTTTCAGCAAATTCCCTTTACATTATCTAGTTTTTAACTATTATTATGAGAACTGCCAGCTCGTTATTTAATCTCGGATCTTTAAATAACATTTAAGGCCTAAAGAAAGATCTGCAAAAGGCAGATTTAACTCTTGCACAATGCCTGTTTAAAATATACAATTCCAATCATTGAGGGTTTGCTAAGATATTCTTAATTGGAATAATGGAGCACAAAATCTTCTTTATGATATGAAGTGGGAGCTGCAGTGACTTTGTGAATAAGGCGCTAGCTCGCTAACCTAGAGATCCTCTGGCACATGGTTCAGAAAGCATTCTCAGACTTAAGTTAAGAATTTACTCAAATTCCAATCACTGTTTATGAGAAATATCTTTGATCCAGAAACACACAACGTTGCACATAAGTTTCTTATTGAGGTATTAAAAAGAACAAAAGTTTTATAAAGGTCTATACTTTAGTTTAAATAAGGTGAACAATTTTGAGTAAATTCTTCACTTAATCCTGAGAATTCTTTGTGAACTCGGTGCCGGGTTGAGAAAGCTCTTCAGGATTTTCTGATGTTGTTTCCTATTCTCAGGATAGAGGACCATGCAAGGAACAGCCTCTGGTCATTCAGCTGGTAGCAAAATACAGAAGTCCTGTGTACATATTGGCAAGCATGTAAAAGATCCCTTGGCAGTTGGAATTCAATCAATTCATAATAAGAGTAGGTCGTAGCACCGGTGTTTGGGCTAAATTTCCATCATAGGACACTCTATGGAATATGCTCGTCTTCGTTAGCCTGGATATAAATGAAATGAAATGAAATAACCCCCATTTCATTTCTTACTTTATTGAGATGTATGTTATAATTTTACTAGTACATGTTTTAAAATGTCTATCAATGCTAACTCCCGTTCTTTAGCAGATTCACTCTGTTTTCTGATTTCTTCTAAAAGTTGCTCATGGTCTGCCTTTCTCGCTGCTTCGGCATCTTCCAATAATTTCACTACTTTTGCGTATCGATCCTCTTGATCCATTTGCGAATTTTTTCTTTTCCTTGAAGCCGGAGAATCGGGTTCTTCCTCCAGTTCGATGGTAATTTCTGTGTCATGAGGTTCTTCATACAGATGGGTGTTTCCAGGCGTTAAGCACAATGCACTCATATCAGGGGTCTGTGTGGAAGGCTGGTCGTCCAAATAGTTATTTAATTCATCGAAGAATTCACAGGTTATGGTGTTGAGCCCAGTTTTGTCGAAATGATCCTTGACCCTCCTGTAGGTCAGTACGAGACTCGTCCATTTATTTATCAGATGAATCCATGAAAAATAGTAACCATGTTCTGCAAGTGTTTTGGATGCAGCTTCCCAAAATACTCTGTTCTTTGACGTATTATCATTGGCCATGGTCTTGTGAAATTCTATTAGAAGTAGAACAGCCCCCCTTGGCATCGAATCATCATCACCTGCAAAGAAACAAAATCAAAGAAATATACAATGAAGGGAGAGAGATAAATGGGGTTGAGATTAGTTGAGAATCCACTCAACCGGTTTATCTCAACGTGTGTGTGTAAAAAGCCCTGGCATGATCTGTTTTTAAAGTGTACATGTTAGTCCCATCCCCAAAATTAACTACAAGTACAATATCTGGCATTTGAAAGCAGAATTAAATTGTCAACTTACTAGATGAGCTAGAAACAGTAGTGCCATCGCCGACATCAGTAACATCATTGTTAACCTCAACAGTGCCATCCAAGCAACTGGTATCAGTAGTTTTCTGACAGTTCTCTAAGCCCAGACATGTGTAATTTGCCTTTAAGATCTCCATTGTCTCAGAATCTATAAATAAAAAGTTTTGCTCATAATATTGGATACTTGTATGCCTAATACTGCAATATAGGATACCTATAGACCTAATACTGTAATATAGGATACGTAATAGTGTAATATTTACCCAAGACTACAGAACACCATGACAAGACCCTAAAAGTCAAATGAATGAAAGAAAAGAAAGAAATGGGGTTTAATATCCTATTGTTTACCATTCTGAACTGACTGGATTAATGAAGACAGGCATACGCCATGAGGGAAGCTACAGCCTACTGTTATATTGAATTCATACTGCCAAGGGATCTTTTACATGCCCCTGAATGTGTTCATGGTACCTCTGTGTTTTGTCCCATCCGAATGACTATACAATGTCCCTTGCCAGGACCTCTGTCCTGCACCACTGACAACGGGAAACCACGCTGGAAAATCCCGATGAACTTTCTCAGACAACACCGAGAGCAACCATCAAACCACAGGTTAGCAAGCCAATGTTTTACTCATGAGTGACCACCTAAAAGTCACATGAAGGAAAGAATGAAAATGGCAACGAAACATACATCCACAGCAGGTAAATCGTCCGATCATTCGGATTGTCGAATATTTTTTCTTTTGCAGGTAATGGGGGGCATTTACAAGACACTGATATCACTAATTTAAATAATGCATAAAAATTTCATACAGATCGGATGATAATGCTTTTTGTTACAGCATTCACAGGTTTTACCAAAGTGAAACAAGGGCCATAATTCTAGACGTAATTAACGGAAATTGCTTCAATTCAAAAGGCTTCTTCGTTTCACTAATTTAGATAATGCATATGAATTTCATACAGATTGGATGATAATTTTTGTTGTTAGAGTATTCACAAGGGCCATAACTCTAGAAGAAATTAGCAAAAATTATTGAAATTAAATAGGATTCTTCATCTCATTAATGTAATCAACATGTATCAATTTCAAAACAATCAGATGATAAATATAGTCTGTAGAGTGTTCACAAGAAATTGTGGACGATGGACCGGGCGACGGAAATATAAGACCACATTTCCATGTGGGCGTATAAAAACTATAATGAACTTCATGAATTTATTGCTAACTTACCACCTGACATTGCCTTATCAAATGTTTCTTTGTCCAGTTGAAAAGTTACGCTATTTCCATCTATCAGCATTTCTAAATTTCTGAACCTGAAAAATAAAAGATAGATTGCCAGGCAACGAAACATACTCCCACAGCAGCTAAATCGTCTGAGCGGTTGACAAGGGTTGTTGCATATTTATTCTTTTGTAGGTAATTGGGGGCATTTACAATTTCATACAGATCAGATTTTAATTTTCGTCGTTTGTGGGTTCACAAAGATCTACAAACTGTGGAAATAATTTACAGATTGTTGAAATTTGACAGGCATATAAATTTGATACAGATCGGATGATAACTTTTGTCATTCAAATGTTCACAAGGTTCACAAAGTAAAACAAGAGCATAAATCGAGAAGTAATTGACGGGAATTACTGAATTAAATAGACTTCTTCATTTCACTAATCTAAATGATGATTATAAATTTTATACAGATCGAATGATAACATTTGTCAGTCGACCATTGACAAGGATGAACAAAGTGAAACAAGGACCATAACTCTATATGTAATTAACGAAAATTGCTGAAATTCAATAGGCTTTGTTGTTTCACTAATCTAAATGACGCATATAAATTTCATACAGATCGGCAGATAACTTATGATAGAGCATTCACAAGGTGCAACAAAGGAAACAAGGAACATAACTCTAGACCAATAAAAATCCATTTTGCTCCTTAGCCTAAGCAGATAATTCTCATCATCGAACTTAGTCAAGTTAATGATATAATCAATCTATACTCGGAGTTTCATCACTCTCACTTAATCATATCCAAAGTCATCGTGCCCCAAAGCATCAACCAATCCGATTGCTTATCTATGCTTACTGTAAGCAGACAATGTTTATCATCGAACTCCATCACAGCATTCACCTAATGAACGCTGACACCAAGTTTGAACATTCTATCTAAATTAGAAGGAGAGTTATTGTGTTCCAAATTGCTTATCGCTCTGCTTACCCTGAACAGAAAATGCTCATTATCGAACTTAATCAAGGAATTGATGTGATAAAACTATACACCAAGTGTCCTCATTATCACTTAATTAGAACTAAAGTTATAATGTCCCAAAGCTTATCTCTGATTACCCTAAGCAGAAAATTCTCATCAAGGCATTCAACTAATAAACACCTACGTCAAGTTTGAACATTCTAGCTCAATTAGAAGAAGAGTTATTATGTCCCAAAAAGTGTGACGGACGGACGCAGACAGACAGACTCATTTTAATAGTCCCCTGCTTTCTATGCTACTCAACATAACAAGGCACTGCAATCTTTTATTGATAGTTAAGAAACCTGATGGGCCTAGTTTAAATTCCATTGAATCAAAGCCGGGTGATTATCTAGCGTTAGTATTTTTTTTTTTTTTTTTTAATCAAATGTTAAATAATCAATCTGGGAATATATCTAGTGTGGATCAAACCATGAGTAATTTGATATTGCAGAGACAAGGCAAATTTCGTAGCCAGCCTTTAATTTGAATTCGATTCTGAGAAAAACGTTGTTCAGGAGCTAAATCTGCCTCTTGCATGTGTTGTTTTAGACATTAAATTAATTTGACATTTTTTAACATGACAGGACCATAATCAACTCTTGATGCCATCAGATATCTCCGATATTAAGTCGATTAGAACGGTATGGCTATTTAATGATATAATTTAAAATTGGAGAAGTGAGGCTAAGCTTCAACAACCAGTATAGTGGTTACAATTAGGGCTGGCAAAAAATTTTTTTTTTTTTTTTTAGTTGATTAATAACACATTTAAATGCATTATCAGCATACAAACAGTTATTTCTTTCAACTTCAAATTTTCCGATATATCAATATTGCCGAAATGTTTGCCGATATTGATATTTAAGAGGGTTTAACATCCACTGACACAAACTATGTCATTTCGGGAGTAACATATGGTTCAATTTCATTTCAATAATACACTTGCGCGTAGGGGTCTTTAGCAGTAGGAAGGAACCAGGGGCTATACTATATACTGGAAAACACCGAAAAACAACCGGAAAACACCATGTTATACTGAATACCGGAAAACACCGGAAAAACACTAAATACCGGAAAACACACTAAATAGGTAACCCGCAGAAGGGCTATACTCTAAACCGGAAACTAACCCTAACCCAGGCACACAGAGGACCAGGCTCCGGGTTACCTATTTAGGGTGCCAGGTTACCTATTTAGGGTATTTTCCGGTATTTAGTGTGTTTTCGGGTATTTAGTGTTTTTCTGGTGTTTTCTGGTATTCAGTATAAAATGGTGTTTTCCGGTATATAGTATTGCCAGGAACCAGAGGACCCGGAAAAAACTCACGAGGTTAGACAGGTGACCTTACTACTTGTCAAGTACAACTGGGGAATCGAAACCACGCCAGTTGACACAATGACAGACCTTATGATACGAAGCTTACGCTAACCCTCATGCATCTTTAAAGAAATGACATGTGTATGACTTACCTAGCTTTTGATATTGCACGGTACATGTGATTACGAATATTCTTGTCTGTGAGATAAAAACGTTGGTTTGTCTTGGTAATTATGGAATCTGGGAAGTTTTTGAGAATGTGATCGGCAACAAATAGGTCTAGGTGCACTTTCATATCACTGACGCTACGAACACCTTCCTCCACTAACTTGTGTATTTGTCTGATAACTGCCGGATCTGGTGACAGCACGTTGCCAGCCAACTGAAATTATAATAATAATAATAGTATGTCCATTTATATAGCGTCAAATCCACAAAAAAATGTGTATCTTGTTAATAATAGCCAGCCAACTGAAATTATAATAATAATAGTATGTACATTTTAAAAGCATCACATCCACAAAACCTATGTATTGATCTTGGTAATAAAAGCAAGTCAACTGAAATTATATTGTAGATTATCATCATTTAATCATTAGGCCGTACCCAAAAAAAAAAAAATTCTGATTCTCAATCCTTCAAAAAAATCTGAGATGGGAGGACGTTTATATTTTTGTGTTTTCATATTGTCAAAGGATCACTACAGGGCTAAATGACTTTTATACACATCACATTTCAACGCACTCCATTTATCTCATGTTGTTTATAGGAATATATGATTATCCAGTATCATTTATCTCATGTTGTTTATAGGAATATATGATTATCCAGTATCATTTATCTCATGTTGTTTATAGGAATATATGATTATCCAGTATCATTTATCTCATGTTGTTTATTGGAATATATGATTAACCAGTATCATTTATCTCATGTTTATAGGAATGTATGATTATCCAGTATCATTTATGATTGTTCGGGTTGCATACTTGCTAATAGGGCTGACAACCAATACCAATACCAATTCGAAACCACGCCATTCGACTCAATGACAGACTTTATGATACAGCGCGCGCACGCTAACCATTCAGCCATCCAACCCCCCCCCATATTTTCTAAGAAAGTCAAAACATAATTATTCCTCTGTCTTTTGCTCAATAGGTTGTCAACTCAATATTATACGATCATAGGTTATCTTTCTCACACTTACAAATCTTCACACCGGAAATAATAACACAATTACCTTCCTTGTTTTCCTATTCCCCACCATGGGATAGCTATCTTCAAACGTTTGAATTTGAAGTTGAAAATGATATTTTTGCCAATTTCTCAACTGGCAATAGTGAATTATAGGATTAATAGGATTATTCTTTAACAAGGTAGGACTGTTTATAGATACCATCTATTTTAGGGCTTTATTTTAATACATTTTAAAAATATAACTTAAAAATATGAAATTGTAACTTTAAGCATGACTCAATGACAGACCCTATGATCTACATTAGCTATTTGACCACAAACACACACCAGTAAGAATAAAATGATAACAAAACGTGAGAGATGGAGTTTAATGTTCACTTGGTCATTTCGAGACTAACATTCCTTGTCATGTTTCAAGCGGGGAATCGAAACCATACCACTTGACTCAAGGACAGACATTGTGATTTTACTCGCATATGTTAAACCCCTAGACCATCCAACCCCCCAAAAGCATCAACCAATCAAAGCAGAGGATGTTCATCATCAAAATCCATCAAGGCATCGACCTAATAAGCACCTACACCAAGTTTGAACATTCTAGCTTAATTAGGGGAGTTATTGTGTCCCAAAAAGTATAACGGACGGATGGACAGACAGACAGACGAACCCATTTCGAAGAAAGAAGGGGACAATAAAATGACAATAAACTACCTCTGACAAATCATGATTTTCATGGTTATTAAAGAATGCTACAGACACTTGTAGGATTCTTTTTGTCTTTAGAGAAAACTCTTTTTTCAATTGGTTCACCATTTTATCTCTTCTAAATTTTGATGTATTATTCGGATCTATCTGAAAATGAAAGAAACTATATCAACGAAACGAAATAGGATTGAAACTATATGTACAGAAATATGTTCCTCCACATTAAATAAAATGAGGTTTAACGTCCTACTATTTTGCTATCAGTGGGCTAATGAACATGGGCGTAAGCCATACAGTGTGCCATGAGGGAAATTTTGCCCAGACAGAGGTGTTACAGCCTACTCTTAAATCAATCTCTTATCTCGTATCTGTCAAAGTTCTTTTACGGGTATGCCAATGTCTTCATAAGACCTCGCTTTTTTGTCCCAACCTAATGACTAGACCTTTTCCTTGCCAGGCCTTCTGTCCTGCACCAGGCCCCTGTAGGTTTGTCCTGTGTAATTGCTAGTGTGTAGTGCAGTCCCCCTGCACTTACCATGAACACATAGGGGATGCTCGATTGTCAGTCCAGAACATCCCAAACTGACAAATTTGCAATCGCATGAAGTGGAATTCAGTTCTGTCAAGAGTTCTGTCAGTCCCAACCACGGAGGTGGTATGAATAGTATTGTGACGCAATTAAACACAACAAATATAGTTGGTTGAGATATTTTCTAATTCAGTTGATGCATGCGTTGTAGCCCGAAATATCCCTTTTCACTCGATGGCATTATTTTTGTGATTGAGTGAATTCAATTCTGGAACGTTCAATCGAGTACCCCCAACTACTTACTTTATAATCTGGAAAACTCAAAATCTTTTTTATTATTATTCTTGCAGGGCAGTTTACTTTCTTACTCTTATAAGGTTGACGTTGTCTAGATTGGACGTATGCATCATGATCATCCACCACATCCCCCTCGATTAAATCTTCTTCTTTGTACTGAAAGATAATATAATGTTTATAACTCCATTCCTTTAATAAAGATTGCCAGACAAGAAAACATACACCCACAGCGGATAAATTGTCCAAGCAGACGACAAGGGTTGTCACATATATATCCTTCTGTAGGAAATAGGAGCATTTACAAGACACTGATATCAATTTCATGCAGATCGAATGTTCACAAGGTAAAGGGCCGTAACTGTAGAAGTTATTAACAGAAATTGCTTAAATTCAACAGGCATCTTCGTTTTACTAATCTTAATAATGAATATATATTTCATGCAGATCAGATGAGAGCATGTTGCAAGGGCCATAATTCAATAGAGAGAGAGAGAGAGATAGAGGGAGAGAGAGAGAGAGAGAGGGTTTAACTCCACTCTACATAAACTAGATTAATGTTCTTTCAATAATTCGCTTTCATGTAGGGGTCTTTAGCAGTGGGAGGAAACGAGAGGACCCGGAGAAAACCCATGAGGTTGGACAGGTGAACAGTTGACTCAATGACAGACCCTATGACACAACATGCTCACGCTAACCATCTAGCCATCCAAAACCTCCATACAGATCGATGTCTCTACATAGATTAAGCAGAAAATGCTCACCATTGAACTTTATAGTCAAGGTATTGATGTAATGAAGCTGTACGCAAAGTTTCACCACTATCACAAAATTAGAATCAAATTTATCAATCTTCAAAGTCTTGACCAACCAAATTACTTTTCACTCTTACCCTAAGCAGAAAATGCTCATTATAACTTAGTCATGGCCACCCATAAAAATAGTGGAACACTCTAGGTTGGTCATGGATCACAATAGGTCCCGCAACAAAGAAAAGGGGAAGAAAGTCTGAGCAGCCTAAAAGTTCATCAAATAAATTTCTGTCCCCTCCTGGTAAAAGACAATGCCATACATGCAGAAAAAAACTGTATAAGGGATAAGGATTGCTGTCACTGTTATACATGCAAACGTTGTTTTCATTTCACATGTGCACATATTGAAGACCTACTTCTGGCCTGGGGAAAGGCAGGTTACTTTTTGTGTGGACTTTGTGTCTGTAGTGATGACTTTACTTTCAACTATGATGGATCATTACTTAGGTGAGAAGATTACACAGAGACCATCAGTGGTGAACTTGGACACGCAGACCATCAGTGGTGGACTAGGACATACAGGCCAATACAGACCTTCAGTGGTAGACTCAGCTACAGATCATCATTGATGGACTGGGCCACAGAACATCAGTTGTGGACTGGGACACACAGGCCATCAGTGGTGGACTGCGCTACAGACTATCAGTGGTGGCCTGGTACACAGATCATCATTGGTGGACCAAGCCACAGACCATCAGTGGTGGAATGGGCCACAGACAATCAATGGCAGACTGGACCACACAGACTACCAGTGGTGGACTGGGACACACAAACCGTCATTGGTGGACTGGGACACACAAACCATCATTGGTGGACTGGGACACACAAACCATGATTGGTGGACTGGGACACACAGACCATCATTGGTGTACTGTGACGCTTCCAGGCAAATTTAGAAAAACCATCATACGGACTTAATCTAGCTAAATTTTATTGCTAATATTTGAAACTATCACTCAGGGATTACAAGAGTTAAAGTTTCAAATGAAAATAGTAGTAATCTATTCACCTAAGTAAATATCCATTATAGTTGAAATTAAGTTATCACTAAAGGCACAAAGTCCACACGAAAAATAACCCACCTTTCCTCAGGCTGGAAGTAGGTCTTCAATATTTGCACATGTGGAATGAAACCAACGTTTGCATTTATTACAGGGAATGCAGCCCTCATCCCTTGTATAGTTTTTTCTGCATGTAGAGCATGGCCTTTTACCAGGGAGAAATTGCTGTCTGAAAAAAACTCTAACACATGGCCCACCTAGAGTGCCCCACAATTTTTATAAGTTGCCAAGTCTGACCCATGACCCATGTGGGGCCTATTGTGATCCATGACCAACAAGTGTTCCACTATATTTATGTGTGGCCTAGCGTGACCCATTACCCACCTAAAGTGTCAATCATTTTCATGTGTGACCTAGAGTTACCCCCCCCCCCCAATTTTTTTTTTGTAGTTAGGTATCTAGGGATTTTGGGGTATTTAGTCGATTTTGTCGATATTTTTCAGTATATAGTACAGTCACTTTCATTACTCTCACTTAATTAAAACTAAAGTTATCATTTCCCAAACCATCAACCAATCAAATTACTTATTTCTGCTTAACCTGTGCAGAAAATGTTCATCTTCAAACTCTATCAAGGCATTCACCTAAAAAAACACCTACACCAAGTTTTAGCAATCAAGCTCAATTAGAAGGAGACAATTAGATGACAGATATTGGTGGAATGATATACGACAAGTTTCACCATTCTCACTCAATTCGAATCAAAGGGACTAATCAAATTACTCATCATCGAATGTAATGAAATGAAATGAAATGAAATGGGGTTTAACGTCCTACTGTTCTGCTCCTAACCTGGGCTGATGAAGCGACGGGCATAAGCCATACAGTGTGCTATAAGGGAAATTTTGCCCGGGCAGCGGCGCTACGGCCTACTCTTATATCAAATTCCAACTGCCATGGGATCTTTTACGTGCACGCCAATGTGTACACGAGACCTTGGTTTTTCGTCCCATCCGAACGACTAGACAGCTGTACTTGTCAGGCCCTCCATCCTGCATCACTGACAGGGGGAAACCACGTCGGAAAATCTGGATGAACTTTCTCAGCCAATGCAGGGATCGAACACCCGACCTCCAGGCTTGCGAGCCACATGATCCCCCATCATTGAATGTAATCAAGGTATTGATGTACTGGAACTATATACTTCGAAAGGCGGGGGACAATAAACATATTAAAATCAAATCCTCCAACAAACCTGGCTTATTCCTCCTTGATGACAATGCTTTGCTATGTGCCCAAATATCATATACGGTACACGGTCCTTTAACCAGTATATCTTGTGTTTTGATAATGATGAACAATCTAAATCTAAAAAATACAGAGAGTTAATTATTTCAATAATTCACTTGTGTGTAGAGGTCTTTAGCATTGCAAGGAAACCAGAGGACCCTAGAAAATCCCTGAGGGTGGACTGGCAAACCTCCTTGACAGGTACAAGCCAGGAATCTAAACCATGCCACTTGACTCAATGACAGCCTTATGTTGCAACTCCAACGGTTTTGGGGTTAACCGTTCGGCCACATAACCCCCTTGCTGGGCAAAGAAAAATCTGCCACTTAGTTATAATTATTAATTATGACAGGCCCTAAAAAAGCCTAAATCATGTCACGAACCCCTCATCAAAATGGATTTCCAACACATTTATCGATGGTGTTATGCTTGACTGGTTACTATTTTACTTTTACAATCCTTTCACATCGTCTATTTATTATTTTGTGCTCTTAGAAAGTGGGAGGAGATAGGGAATTAAGGTCGCTATTTATTCGTATCCCTCAAAGTCAAAGAGAGGGAGGGTGTTGGCCCCCACAGTCAGTTTACATATCTATCTTACAGATTGATTACGTACGTGACTTATTGACATTACGTGTCTTGCGTGTGACAAAATGGGTAGTTGTACGTATTTCTTCATGTGTTATAAATTTCTCGGCTTCTTCCATAGAATCGAAAAGTTTCTCCAAGGTAGCCATTTTTAACTCTTAGTTACTTCCGTTAAAAAATGACCTTCACCGATCATGTCAAGGCGTGGTATATACGAGTGTCAATGATAAGCGCCACCCCTTTTCTACTTTAGGAGTCAGGGTCCTGTTTCACGAAATTTTAACTAAGATAAAATCCAAATTTTTAGGAATTTGATTGGATAATATTAGATTGATTTTAGTGCTTAGCCAATCAAAATTGAAGTATCTACTAAAATTGGATTTTATCTTTAGTTAAAATTTCGAGAAACTGGGCACTGGATCAAACTGTTTCATAGCAGTAATGAGGCTCGGCGCTAACCTTAGCTGACAGCTGTCAATCAATCTGTATTCGTCCCTAAACAGACTGTAGGGGCCTAAATCTTCCCGCTAACTTTGAGGGTGACGATACTGATCTCTCCCTAAATGTAGGCCATGTCCTAAATTATCAGCATGACACAGGTAGCCTCGTCTGATTGGAATTAGCCAGAGTCCGAATTGTTTCCTGTCCTCACTAGATTGTTGCACTGTTGTTTGTTATGTTGTTTTATCGACTATAAATAAACATTACTAATACTATGACTATGATGTGCCTGCTCAACTGAACTTGCGTAAGTTGACATAAAAATAGTATAGAATTCACATATTTGGTGTAATTTTACTGATGTTATCGTAAGTCAGGTCGTTTCAGTATAGCTTAGCTAGTATTTTCCACGAAAACTGCGAGAAAAGATGATAATTTTTCCAGGGGAAAAGGAAATCTGGACCTAATCCTGATGATAATTTCATCAAACTCTCAAACGTAGCCAGGTTTTAATAATACTTATTAATAGGAAAGGCCAAATGAAGATTGATTGAAGTAAGCAGATGAGAGAGAAGGGGGTTTAACCCGCATTCCACACGTGAGGAACCCATGACGTTGCACAGGTGACGCTTTCGTTGTCACATAAGCTGGGAATCAACACCAACCACTTGACTCATGACATATATCTTATGATTTAATACATTATACCCTGCCCCCTTTTATAATAGCTAGAATGGCCATTTTCATCAAAATCTTAAAGCGAGAATTTCAAATTTTCTAAGAAAGTCAAAACATAATTATTTCTATGTCTTTTGCTCAATAGGTTATCAAATCACTATTATACGATCATGGGCATTATTTCCCACCCTTAAAAATCTATGACACAGGAAATAACAACACAATTACCTCCCCTGTTTCAATGAGGGTACTCCCAGCTTTAACATTGCTTAATAACAGTGAGAGTAGCATTGTTGTAGACTGGAATAACCAGACACTAGAGATTGCCATTCAATTGAGATTTCGGGCATATTTCGCCGAATATAACTGATTTGAAATTAGAGTAAAAACGGAAGCGATTGAATGTAAATCAGTTTATATACATTCATATTACATTATTATATGCGTTGCGACCCATTTGTGTCAATTTCTAGGTCCCAAATATTAGCGATTTAGATGAAGAACAACCTTCATGGGTTGCCTTTACATGTTATTTGCTTTAGACATATGTTTCATTGCCTAATAATAGTCTATCTTTTTCTCTTATTTTTTAAGAAATCCAAAATGTCAAACCGTGAAAATGAAGTGAATTGTCCATATTGTGATGTAAGAATTCGGACAAACAGAATTCAGATACATTTGTTAAAATGTCAGAAGGTAATGTAACTATTCTTGACATTTTTGTAACAATGGAAATGAAATGAAATGAAATGGGGTTTAAAGTCCTACTGTTTTGCTCCGAACTGGGCTAATGAAGACGGGCATATGCCATACAGTGTGCTATGAGGGAAATTTTGCCCGGACAGCGGCACTATGGCCTACTCTTGTATCGAATTCCAACTGTCAGGGGATCTTTTACGTGCACGCCAATGTGTACATGGGACCTTGTCAGGCCCTCCATCCTGCATCACTGACAATGGGTAACCACGCCGGAAAATCTAGGTGAACTTTCTCGGACAATGCAGGGATCGAACACCCAACCTCCAGGCTAGAGAGCCATCGTCTTACCCACTTAGCCACCGTGACCCCCTTGTAACAATGGAGCTGCTCAGATTTTTTGTAAATATTGCTATCAATATGAACAAATAATCGTAAGTCGGGAGAGATGTATCTCCATAGTCTATGTAAGATCCTGGGTTTGCATCGTGTTAGCCTAGAAGGTTCCGTGGGATTTCCCAATGTGGGACGAAAAGGAAGTTGATGCACATGACGGAAGTACTATGCTTACAGTAATGTTAAACCCCCTTTAAACTGGGTCGAAATGATCATCATTAGGTCTTAAAACTGGGTCGATATGATCATTATTAGGTCTTAAAACTGTTGATCATCAATAACCTTTTTCAGAAAGTATATAATTTTTCTGTGCTTAACCTAAGCTCAGATGTACATGTACTCAAACTGATTTTTCAATATTTGGTTTAGTGAAATGAAATGGGGTTTTACATTCTACGGTTCTGAACCAACTGGGCTAATGAAGATGGGAACATGCCATAAGGTGTGCTATGAGGGAAATATAGCCCGGGCAGGGGTGCTATGGCCTACTCTTTAGTCTTATGTCGAATTCCAATTGCCAAGTGTCGAGTGGACGTTAAACCCCATTTCTCTCTCTCTCCCCAATTGCCAAGGAAACTGCTACGTGGATGCCAATGTGTATACGGTATCTTGTTTATTTGCCCCTTTGAACAACCATACATTGTCCCTGGCCAAGCCCTGTGTCCTGAAACACTGACAAGGGAGAAATTTCTCAGCCAGCACAAAGATCCCTTGGCAGTTGGAAATCGATATAAGAGTAGGCCGTAGTGCCGCTTTCTGGGCAAAATTCTCTCATAAATTTCCCTCATAGTACACTGTCACTGTATGGTGTATGGGTGTATGCCTGTCTTCATTAGCCCAGTCGGAGCAGAACAGTAGGACATTAAACCCATTTCATTTCATTTCATTTAATGTAAAATATATGTTTTCTATTAACAGCACCATGGTAACGATAAAGAATATGTAACATGTACATTTAACGCTTCTCACATTGTTCAGAAACATGAATTAAGTCGTCACCTAGCAACATGTCCAAATCGAGCTGTGGTGGATAGAGTGGTTGATTATGGTTTGTACACAGTTTATTGTTAGTTTAAATAGAATGTGCGATCTCTTTATTTTTTGGGGGTTGTTGGTTTAAACCATCGAACTATCGCAGGCATTGTTTTCTATATTTGGTTGGTGAGCTGGAAAAAGCTCTCCTTGATGTGCCAAAGTCAAAAAATCGCTCTCCTATAAAAACCTCTTAATTCTGGGACTTCAAGTTCATGTAGCATACACAATTACACACATAGTGACTTTTGACTGAGTGCCTGAATCTTGACCATTGAGAGTTTTTTGTCAAGCATCTTATATCCGAAAAGAATCCTATTGATTTTCGATAATTACTGCCAGAGTTATAGCCCTTGATCTCTTTGAAAAATCTTGTAGAAGCTCCTGAGGCTAAAGTTAATGGCTGATTGACTTTAAACTTATACACAGCGTTTAAGGGACAAAGAATCCTATTTATTGTCAATGATTTCCGATAATTACTGCCAGAATTAAGGCCCTTGATCACTGTGAAACATCTTGTGGACGCACTAGAGGCTAAAGTTAATAGAAATTGTTTAAGGTCGTGAGACTAAATAATTGAAATAAATTCTAATGTTTTCTGATAATTACTTCATGGGTTATTACTCTTAATCAGATTTTCATGTGTGGTAAATGTTCTCATTACTGACATAAGAAAAAATATGTTGACTTCCCAAACGACTTATCTTTATCATGAAACAAGCATATTAAATGGGGGTTTATTGTGCTACTTCTATACATCAATCATATTAATAAAGACAGGCATACTCCATAAACTGTACTCAATCGATGAATATCTCAAGTATTATATATGTTTGATGATTTTGTGTATTTTTGTAGAAAATGATAAAATGAGTAATAATAATGGTGGTAAGAAGCTGTTAAAGGGGTGTACAGATGTACCACCTTATAATACGTATGAAATACCCTGTACAGAAGATTGGGATGATGGTAAATATAGAATTATTATAGTCCAGATGAGCCATTTTAAGCAATAGGAATCACATGCATGCAAACTCTAATACGAATACCAGTCCAGAAATGGTTTAATTACGTTTATTTACAGATACTATGTGGTATTGAAATTGCATCGATCGATGCTGCTGTTCTTTCAAAATTCTCCTCAAACATGTTGGACTCAAATGTTCCTATACTACAACTAATACATTATTTTACTGTAGCATTTTCATTTTCAGACACGCCTCCAGAAACTCCATTTGGTATTTTTATTCCAACACATATTCATAAACAATACAATAAAACAGCCAGGTAAATATTCAGTTAAACTTAAAACAACTACAGATCTACCAAATCCTTCTGTCAGTTATAATAATTACAACAAGTCTACCCAACTCTTCTGTTAGTTATATTAATTACTACAGGTTTACCCAATCCAGTTCGTTATATTTACTACAGGTCTGTCAAATCCTCTTGTCAGTTATAATTACTACAGGTTTGCCCAATCCTTCACCAGTTGTATTTACTACAGGTCTACCCAATCATTCTGTCAGTTAAAGTACTACAGGTCTATCCAATCATTCTGTCAGTTGTATTTACTACAGATCTACCCAATCATTCTGCCAGTTATAATTACTGCAGCCTGTCTGAAGGTCTACCCAATCCAGTCAGTTATAATTATTACAGGTCTACCCAATCCTTCATCAGTTGTAATTACTACAGGTCTACCCAATCCCCCTGTCAGTTATAATTACTACAGGTCTACTCAATCCTCCTGTCAGTTATAATTACTACAGGTCTACCCAATCCTTCATCAGTTGTAATTACTACAGGTCTACCCAATCCTCCTGTCAGTTATAATTACTACAGGTCTACCCAATCCTTCATCAGTTATAATTACTACAGGTCTACCCAATCCTGTCAGTTATAATTACTACAGGTCTACCCAATCCTTCATCAGTTATAATTACTACAGGTCTACCCAATCCTGTCAGTTATAATTAATACAGTTGTAATTACTACAGGTCTACCCAATCCTCGTGTCAGTTATAATTACTACAGGTCTACCCAATCCTTCATCAGTTGAAATTACTACAGGTTTACCCAATCCTGTCAGTTATAATTAATACAGGTCTACCCTATCCTGTAACTTATAATAACTACAGGTCTACCCAGTACTTCTGTCAGTTATATTTAAATACAGGTCTACCCAATCCATCTACCAGTTATAATTACTACAAGTTTAAAATTAATTTGTGAGCTGTAAATTAGAGATCATGCTTATAGTTGTGTATAATGGTATTTCATTTTCATATATACCCAGTTTCGTCTGTGACCCAAATTCGATGCCTAAAACATTAACGGGGTCATGCTTGTTAATTTGATACCACATATGTCGGGGGTGGATCACGCCGAAGAAGCATGATGGGCGAACACACAGTCATCTTTGATTTTATTTATATATAGTATCCTGGTGACTTATTCACTAACACATTAGCTAATTAAGAATTAAGATTTGTACTTAGATTTTTATCTTCCTGTCAATAAAATGCTAAAGCCTTGTTTGGAGTACCTCCACTGATTTGAATTCCTCCCCCATTCCCCATTCCTGTCTTAGCTTTACTTCCTCCCCTTAAATTTGAAATTTCATTCCTAGGAGCCAAGTGTCTCCTGCTTAAGAATCTTTACTCTTAGGATAAACATAAAGATTTAAATAGATTGAATTATGTTTCAGTCTAGTTGGGATGGTCCAACATGATTCTGATATTGGTAACCGACAGGAAGATGAATCCAAAATACAGAGAAATATGGATGCTGTGAGAAAACCTGATATCCGCCCCAAATATAGATCAAGAGTATTTCAGTATTCCGTGGCAGCCGCCTCAACCGACAGAGGAAATGTATTCCAAGGTATGTTGCTTAGAAGACTATACATGTACAAATGTCCACCGATTTTACGTATGTGATAGAATTGGTCAAACAGATTCCGAATATAAACTTTCTCTGCCAACTCCGGTATCAAACCAGAGACCACATGATCAGTGAGCCAGCATCTTACCAACCGAGTCACTGTGGAATACAAGGACCTGTGATTCTTGGAATACAAGGACTAATGATTCGTGGAATACAAGGACCTGTAATCTGTGAAATACAAGGACCTGTGATCTGTGAAATACAAGGATCTGTGATCTATGGAATACAAGAACCTGTGATCTGTGAAATACAAGGACCCGTGATCTATGAAATACAAGGACCCGTGATCCATGGAATACAAGGACCTGTGATCCGTGGAATACAAGGACCTGTGATCTGTGGAATACAAGGACCTTTGATCCGTGGAATACAAGGACCTGTGATCCATGGAATACAAGGACCTGTGCATGTTATGGGTTCAATCCCACACTTGATTATGACAAAAAGTAGATCATCTTCTGTAAATTAAAAATCAGGTTTCTAATCTGACATTTTTTATTGCACCCTCCACCTTTTTGAAGGAGGCAGGGGACTTTTCAAATGGTTTTGTCTGTCCATCCATTTGTCTGCCTGTCTCATGTTTTGGGACACAATAACCCTGCTTCTACTTAGGCTATAATGTTCAAACTGCTGTAGTTGTTCATTAGGTAAATGTTTTATTTTTGTTATTTACAGGAGAAAATAGACCAAACAGCCAGTCCTTGTCATCCAGCTTAGAGCCCAATACACAAAGTACAGAGACTGTTAGTTCAAGACCCAGTAAAACCCACAAGCTGATGGAGTTGCTTTCTTTGACTACAAAATCAAATGACGATGAAGAGGATTCCCAGACATTGAATGATAGTGTTGAAACCATTCCCGACATTTCAACGAACAGATGTCTGGAAGAAATGCAGGGTGTTGGGCGAGGTTTCTGGAAGTATAACAGTCCGGTATATGGGCGTGGTCACATGGTCCATCACATGACTGATCATATGACAGATGATGTCCAATCAGCTTCTACAACAGAAGCAACATTAACAGGAGTCGGTAGGGGAGCTTGGATTAAGAATAATCCAAATCCTCAAAAAGAAGTTGAGATGGACGGGAGCAAACAAGATGTTGGTTGTCGGATCCAAGATAAACCTACCATTACTATCGGAAACAATCAAATTCAACAGGCTGGTGTCGGACGAGGTGCCATGCTTCTCAAACAACTTAATCTCAATTCACAAAATACTGAGGAAAAAGGGACAGATCAGTCATCACAAGGACTCCAGAGCTGTAATACACCTCAACAAAAACAATCCAATAAATTTCCAACTTGTTCTGTATCTGGATTCGGAAGGGATGTGCAGCAAGATGAGAATGAAATGATAGACTTGCCGGCATTTCTGGAAAAGCCCATATTAGGTATTGGACGAGGAGCTCGACTTTTAAACGGAAATCAGGATCCCAATTTCTTTCCTCCGTCTGGGATTAAATCACCCAACTTTACAACAGGTAGGTTGACTGTTGGATTAAATTTGGTTACCTGGGTGGGTAGGGTTGCTAAATGGTTAACATGTGGGCGTTGCATCATAAGGTTTGTCATTGAGTCAGTTCGACGTTAAACTCCATTTCATTTAATTTCATTGTTATTGAGCCAAGACCCCTACGTGCAAGCCAATTATTGAAATAAAATTGAACCATATGTTAGTCCCTAGTTTGTGTCGAGTGGATGTTAAACCCCATTCTCTCTCCCATTAAACATTATTACCTTGGATCATATTTTATTTCAGACGAGGCGTATTTTACAGACAGTTCTGTATCCAGTAATGAGGTAAGTAGTTATGACATTTTATACAAAGTCACAAGTCAGAGAGAGATTTAAAATAAATCAGATTGTTGTCAACAGACACTTACAACAATAGTCATGGGTATCACAAAACCATCTTTTATGGCATCTGACGTTTCGTAAGTGTAAAAACTTTCTTCCTCAGAGAACTTGTAAACCATCTTATATGGCATCTGACGTTTCGTAAGTGTAAAAACTTACTTCCTCAGAGAACTTGTAAACCATCTTTTATAGCATCTAACGTTTTTTGAGTGTAAAAACTTTCTTTCTCAGAGAATGTGTAAACCATCTTTTATGGCATGTAAGTGTAAAAACTTACTTCCTCAGAGAATGTGTAGTTGTATTCTCTGAGGAAATAAATCTTTACGCTTACGAAACATAGATGCTATATATAAAAGCTGGTTTTGTGATACCCATGACTTTGTTTTTAACAAATCACCATTGACGCCCTCATTTTTCAAAATATCCTGCCATCACCACTGCCTGTCTGAACTATAGTTGTCCAATCTTAACTTTTGCTGTTTAATCAACTTCAGGCACCTCTTGTAAAAAAAATTGGGAAGACGGAAAAATATGTGTTTATCAAATATCTGTTTGTGTTTTCAGTATTTTGAAACTGCTAAGAAACTGACAGAGATTAATTGAAATAATAAGAGAAGGTAAAAGTATGTATAAATGATATTATTTAAAGGAGCTAAATCGCTAATATTTGGGACCTAGAAATTGACACAAATGGGTCGCAGTGCATATAATAATGTAATATGAATGTATATAATCTGATTTACATTCATTCGTTTCCCGTTTTACTCTAATTTCAAATCAGTTATGTTCGGCAAAATATGCCAGAAATCTCAATCGAATGGCAATCCAGTCTACACCGATAGTATTTATTGCACATGCTTTCCAGATAAGAATATGAGTCACTGTTTGACATGACTTGTGGAATGTGTCTAGCCTTGTTCTTCGAGTCCCTTATTTCAAATGGCGCTGAAATGCATTATGGTACACGATTGGTTTACCAATGGTAAAATGTTTATTTTGTCTTAAATATTGGATATCAGAAGCCCATCTTTTCCCTGTAAGATCACAACATCAGTGTTGATTTAAATTGACAAAAAATTTGTGTTTCCTCTGATGACCCAAAACAATCTGCCAAAAAATAGGTACCCACTATTTCATTCACAAGGTTTTTTGGCAAAGGGGGAATAACTCTAGAACTGATAGTCATGGAACGCTGAATATCGTCAGAGTTTGTTCTCACATGATCCCTGTGCTTCCCACCAAACTTAAATTTATAGCCTCTATCCTGTTCACAAGGTTTTCAGCAAAGAGGCATAACTTTTGTATGGACCTCTATCACTTTCACAAGTTTTTCAGCAAACCAGATAGCCTCTATTGTTGCATCCATATTGAAATATTCTGAATATCCATAGGGTTCATCCTCTCATGACACCAATGCTTTACACCAAATTTGAAAAGAATCTTGTCAAAAACTGTAGTTCACAAGCCAATTGTTGATGGAAATATGGGGCAATGATATAATATGCCTACACTGTAATGTGGGCTATAAAAAGGAGTATTTTGCAAACATTGTATTATTCTAGTTGTTTACCTCATGGGTTTACGCTCAAGCGAATTATTGGAATAAAATTGAACCACATGTTATTCCTAAAATCACCTAGTTTTTTTTGAGTGGATGTTAAACCCCAATTTATCTCTCTCTAGTTGTCTTTAAGGAGGAATAAGTACTATTATTAAAGATGAAATACTATATATATTCATGTATATATACATTCTTTACATTTCAGAATTAACTGAATGTGAGAATTCTTCACCATTCTCCCATACAGTGTTGTCTTCTCCTGCAGTTCACAGTAGCCTCTGCTAACAGTTCACTTTACTACAGACCAAGATTCTTGGTATTCACCGGACAATAATAAACAATTGGATAAAACAGTGGCACAAAGTGGTATGGTGATGGCCACAGGCTAGCTTCTCGATTGTACGTCCCCTAGACTCATGGATAAGGTTTAGTACTCGCAAATATAAAAAAGGAAGACATTTTAAACATATGAATTATATAAGACAACTTATACAATAAGGTTAACAGTGGTAATTTCAAAACAATTAATTTCACCATTTGATTGGATACCTGAGATTGTCACCACCTCTGCACGCCACCGAGATGAAAACCAAATAACAGATGATATTTTGATATTTCTGTTACTATTATATAATCTTTTACTATGATATAACCTGTGACTATGATCTAATGGTTGAATGGGAGAATGAATGTGATGTGTCCATATCGATTACTGTAGCTATAATGTATAACCCTCCAAAACAAAAACCGTCTTTATTCTTGGGATTGGGATTGGTCAAATGGTTTAACCCATAAGGTCTGTCATTGAGTCAAGTGGCGTGATTTCAATTCCCCGCTTGTATGCGACAAGTAGGGTCGCCTGTCCAACTTCCTGGGTTTTCTCTGGTCCCCTCCAAATGCTAAAACCCCCTACACGCAAGTGATTATTGAAATAAAATTACATCATATGTTAGTACCGAAATGACCTAGTTTGTGTCGTGTGGATGTTAAACCCCATTTCTTTCTCTATTCTTTGGGTCAAAGTTTGTTCTTGTATATAATCTTGTATTTTGATAATATCGTAACCATATATATTGCATGTAATTAATAAGAGTCATAAAAAAATGATTTAGCAAATGTAAGATTTTCAAGACGTCTCCCATCTAATCATGGTAGGGTGACCTGTGCACTGTACAGAAAGTTGGTCTTGACACGGCGAATGTACACGCTTTAGTGACTTATCTCGAAGTGATTTCTCACATACACTTACTATGATAACACTCAGCGGAAGAGTCTATGATACTATAAATATCCATCGCACATGCAATTTTCTACACATCTATCAACTATTACAGCCGAAAAAAATCTATTGTTGACGATTCTGAATAGTAGTAATATTTAGCTTATTGGTTATTACAGCAGCTTTAGAAATTACGTTCGTTTTATTTTTTAAATTGCTTTATCATTTGTTTAGTACAAATAATATCTCTGAAATACTTGTGTTGGGCAAGAACATGATACAAGCAGTAGTTTCATTTTAATTTTACAAGGTTCTTAAAACAATTGTTGAGTTGCCCAACGTGCGTGTTTCTTAATTCAATTTATTGTTCCAGCTTTCTTTTATGTTTCATAAAAAAGTAGTCTTGATTATCCCGGCCTGTTAATCAAACGTAGAATGGTCGGTAAACGGGTTAAGCGAGACTACTTTCAAAACAAGGGCACGTAACCTATTTTTACTCACATGTGCTCGGATGTTATGACCGACACTCGGAACCATCTTTCAGTGTATTATTTATGGATGATTAAATGGTCATAGCTTATTAAGTACAGCATGACCGTTTATTTAGTGACTATAAATGTTTGAAGCTGATTTAAGGCTTGGTGTATGTAATAGTTATTAGCACACTTTCCTCGGTGTATCGGTGAATATCAGGACAGTTTTGGTCGAGGGGCCCAGCCGAGGCAGCTCCCGACCAAATCTGTCCTGAATGATTTTGCAGTGGAGAGATGACCTGAGTAGTATTTACACCTGCGCCTTGCTATGATACTCTGAGCGTAAAACAATCACGTGTTTGTTTAGACCACATCGTCAAAACAACATGTCTATGGCGTAGAGGACTGCGATATTATTAAATGTTGTGTAAAGGAAATGCGAAACGTGGGTCATTCCTGGTGAAAGTATGCATCGGCGGATGGTTCTTCTGTTGAAATTTATATGTAATAAAGTTTATGACTTTCTAGGCGTTTATTATCGAGTCTGTTTTATGTTTCAACCGAAAACTGACAAATACTTTCTGCTCTTTCATTTATCCCTTTCTGAGACTCGCGTTACATTTCATGGTAGAATGATTTTGCAGTGGAGAGATGACCTGAGTAGTATTTACACCTGCGCCTTGCTATGATACTCTGAGCGTAAAACAATCACGTGTTTGTTTAGACCACATTCCTGGTGAAAGTATGCATCGGCGGATGGTTCTTCTGTTGAAATTTATATGTAATAAAGTTTATGACTTTCTAGGCGTTTTTTTTTTCATCCTGCTTATTTTCAATGCCTGTGAAGTGTCCAGCAAGAGAACTGCGCCTTCTATCATCACAATTAATTAAAATAATTATTCAATATTCTAATTTATATATTTTGCATATTAATATAAATCAAACCAAATTATGAAATAGATGCCAATTGATATGTATAATAATTGATTTTTGTAATATGTTGTTATGTTAATTTAATGTCATTGTATATGTTTTTGAACTGCCATGTAGTTCCCCCCGGTTTGTTTTGTTACTATGATTTTGACTAGTTGTTTCATGTACATTATCCTTGTGCATTGTATAGAGCCATCTTATCAATTGCGATCTGGGTCGGACTAAATGAACAGTACTCTTTCTGTATATTTCTGATACACCGATACTTTTAAGCATGTATTGAAAATAAACAGGACAGTTTTATCAAAGGTTGCCAGTGGCAACGAGTAGAAGTGGGATGTAAATATAGATATTGTGGTGTAATTGTCAAGATATTTGAAGATAGTTATTTATGGTGGGGCACCCTAATCATGGCATCAATCTTTCGCATAGGGAAGAAATGTAAGATAATTGCTGCCATATTTTATTCTAATAATATGATAGGCACATTATTGGGTTGTTGAGTGGCTGAGTACATGAGAGGAACCGAGGACAATAACAAGACAGGGTTAATATATTCTGATATTTTAATAAATCTTCATAACAAATTATGTATATTTGTAACATAAATATATCAATAAATAAATGTTGTACATGTAAAAAATCACCATGAAATAAATAAAAGTTTCAATATTTACAATAAATCCAGTTATAATTTCAATGTAATTAATTAATGATATGAAAAATGCTGATGATTCAAACTATAAATAATATTATCATCAGTTCTACAACTAACACTTTAAGTGGTCTAGCTGTGTTTTAATTCTGATGTTATGATTATACTCCAGTGAAAATGTCCATTGTACTGTAAAATGAACTATAAATAAACGAACCAAATTTGTAATCTAAATTGTATTAGATCGCCATTTTTTTTTTTTTTTTTCAAATTCATTGCTACTTTAATAATGCTGTCTTATTTTTTTTTTTTAATTTCTATTTTTTCACTTTTTCAGAATTTAATAATAATAATAATACTGTCTTTTCACGTTATTAGAATTTAATAATGCTGTTTTTTTTTTTAAAAAATATCTATTATTTTAGTCTTCTTTAATACTGGATTAAAAGTTGTTTAGCTTTCTGGATTCAGACATATATAAAAAAAAAATATTGACAGTATTTAATTTTATATACAAAAAAAAATAATAAATCATAAAAGTGGACGGAATGTTTTCTTATTTAAAATATTGTATGTAGTCCGTTGACATTAAAATACAAGTGATGAGATAAATAAATGTAACTCGTCTCTGAAACTTAGAAAAAGACAAATTTCTAAATTCATAATGTGTAAATAAAACTCAAGGTTTATGAATAGATTCAAAGTGAAAAATCATCCATGCTTTATTAGAAGATACGGCTTAAGTAATCCGTTCTTTCAAGAAAATATTGGTCATATTATAGTTTCTATTATCATGGCACAGCAGATTTGTTTAGGCATTTTTAGAAAATAATGACAAGGAAAAAAAGCTGGATATAAATTATTTAGTAATCTAAACTCATTAACAAGGCTGTTCCACGTTTGACCCAATGATCTGAGGATTTCTCGCCACATTTAAGGTCGACAGAGACGATGAAGGAAGGTCGACTAGACGAACCAGTTCTATTCGGATAATAATAACAGGGACAAGTATAAGTTCCTGTAACGAGAAAAAAACAACATTTAATTTATATAGACCAGTACTGGATTGACCTGCAGGCTTGCATTATAATTTTCAAGTCTTTACATTATACATAATTAGGTTGTTGACAGTTAAGCAGGTGCTTTCTGTCTGTTGACAGTTCTTGTTGCTTTGGATTGGAGTGGAACCGGAGATGGAAATGAAATGGGTTTTACTCTGACTAGGCTATTTAAGATGGGCATACACCATAATTACAGTGTGCTATGTGGGAAATTTTGACTGGACAGCTGCGCTACATTTCCTACTCTTATATTGAATTCCAACTGCCAAAGGAACTATTGTTTTTTCGTCCAATCCAAATGACTATATGTTGTTCTTGCCAGGGCCTCGGTCCAGACCATTGACAAGGAAGAACCACACCGGAAAATCCCAATGAGCAAATGTCTCACTGAGTCACCATGGCTCCCGAGACATTTGGTACCCGGCCAGAACTAGTCAATGGTTATATAATACGGAAAGCTATCACATATTCCGGCAGAAATGAAATGGGGTTTAACGTCTTACTGTTCTGTTCCGAACTGGGCTAATGAAGACATGACTAGACAGCTGTCATTGTCAGGCCCTCCGTCCTGCATCATTGACAAGGGGGAACCACACTGGAAAATCTGGATGAACTTTCTCGGCTAATGCAGGGATGGAACATCCGATCTCTAGGCTAGTGAGCCAGCATCTTCCCAATTAGCCACCGTGATCCCCCATATCTCAGCAGTCTAAGGAACACCAGTTTCAGTCTTTCAAGGGATGTACAGGTATTAATCTCTAATTTTCTTCAAAGAACTCAAGTTTGCTGAACCCTATATTTAACCCTTTTCCTGGCTTGTTGGGGTGTTAGAATGAACGCATTACCATTGTGGGTAATTACAGTCTGTTGGGATAACCTAACTATTGGGGGTAATCAGAACAAACAGTCTGGTGAGGTAACATTACTATTGTGGGGGGTAATCAGAACAAAGAGTCTGTCGGGGTAACCCTACTATTGAGGTTATTCCGAACAAATAGTCTGTTGGGGTAACATTATTTTTAAGATATTTACCTTTACTGGATTTTTTCTTGTTTTCTACAGGTTTAAAATGTATAACAGGCATAGCACAGACTAACTGCATGGGATTAGCTTCTATTAAACAGGTATTCTTCTTATCCCAACCAGCACCTTGTAGGAATAATCCTCTAATATATACACCATCCTGTCGAGATAAATACACAATATATAATATATACACCATCCTGTCGAGATAAATACACAATATATAATATATACACCATCCTGTTGCGATAAATACACAATACATGATATATACACCATCCAGTTGAGATAAATACACAATAAAAGAGATGGTGTTTAAAGTCTGCTAAACACAAACTAGGTCATTTTTGTGACTTACATATGCTACAATTTTATTTCAATAATTCCCTTGAGCATAGAGGTCTTTAGCAGTGGGATGAAAGCAGAGAACCTGAAGGAAATCCACACGGTTGAACAGGCGACCCTATTCCTTGTCACGTACACGCTTGGGATCAACACCACGCCACTTGACTCAATGACACCCCCCTCTCAAAATTTTATATTAGTACAAAAACAAAAGCTTTTATTTTCTTGTTATTTATAGTCAGTTCATAACATTTATTATAAGTTCCACACATTTATTATCCATCACCAAACAAACTTAAAGATGAATTATGTAAGATTTTAATGAATGTATTGAGAATTTCATTCAAATTATGTATTCCTAGCAAAGCTATTTCACTCCCCCACAACATTTAATAAATATTCCCACATTTCTTCAAAATTCCTTGTAGAAAAATAAACGGAAATAAAAAAAATGAAAAAAACTTACCTCTGGCATTCGTGTAAAGTTTGACTCATCAACTGTCATGACAGCAAAATCCCATGATAGAGAATCAATTGATACCTAAATATAAATATATGATTAACTAATATAAATCAAATGAGATGGGGTTTAACATCCTACCCTTCTGCTCTGAACTGGGCTAATGAAGACGAGCATACGCCATGCAGTGTGCTATGAGGGAAACTTTGCCTGGACAGCGGCACTAATATTATTTCAAATTCCAACTGCCTTGGGTTCTATTACGGCCACACCAACAACACCTTGGTTTTTCATCCAATCAGAATGACTATACGTTGTTTCTTGCTAGGGGCCCTCTGACCTACGTAACTGACAAGGACTACGCCAGAAAATCATAATAAACTTTCTCTGCCATCACCAGGATCAAACACAGAGCCTCCAGATAAGTTGAAATATTCATTTAGTTACCAGTACTGGATGATCATGTTTGTTGCCATAACACAGGAATTTCACTGCTTCATAGCATGAATGGGGTGACAAAACAGAAATGTGAAGAGAATGCAAGCTGGAATTAGGAACCATGAAGTAAAACTATCGCTCTTTTAAAAGTTTAATATATTTCCATAGGCCAAGCTGGACAAACAAATTGTACATTGCAATTGAATGGACACAGTTGTAGCTGATAATTTAACTTACATTATTTTTTCTAGCAGAGTTTTGTAAAACGGCTGTCAGGAAACCAGTAGGGAAGGTGAATCCTGACATCCAGAAGATAACGGGAGGATGGGCTGTCTGCGCCCATTTAGCTAATTGTTCCACTCGTAATACCAAATCTCTTGTCCATGCTGATAATGGTTTCATAGATGGATATGCCTATAAATACAAACAATATTATCAAACACCAATAAATAAAATAATCCAGCTACATATTAAAGCAGGGGACGATTAAAATGGGTTGGCCATGACTTGAAAGAGCTAAGAATTTGAGTCACAGGGAGGGGGCGTAACTCTAACTTGCCTTATTTGCCATGAATTGCTGACTCCTCTGATGATCTAGTGGCTTGATCTAGAATTGAGATTTGACTTGGTACTAAAGTCACTCGACTTGGATTTGAGGTGAGGCAACTTGGGACTCACATGTTCAAGCATCAATGCATTTAAGTTAATAAAGAGAGAGAGAGAGAAATGGGGTTTAACATCCGCTCAACACAAACTAGGTCATTTCGGGACTTACATATGGTTCAATTTTATTTCAATAATTCACTTGCGCGTAGGGGTCTTTGCAGTTGGAGGAAACTACGAGTTGGACAGGCAACCCTACTCCTTGCCAGTTGACTCAATGACAGACCTTATGATACAGCCCGCACATGCTAACCATACCGCCATCCAACCCCACAATTTTAAATAATCCAGCTACTTTTAAATTTCAGCATGGCCATCACTACATTAATCAAAGCTGCTGACAAATAGAACCATTTTATGACCTTGATTTATCTTTCACAACATTGTAGTTGCTAAGGGATTCCTCAATCCCTCAAATGCCATTCAGAGACCATAAAGACCCAATCAATAATGAATTATTATTAGTAAATTAAAGGGGAGATAAAAACAAAACAATCTCACCTTCTCCCAGGCTGGTGGAACGCGACCATCATATATACACTGGAAGATATTCTCAAGGTCAAGTGTCATGACAACCAGACCTTGGATACCCTTTTCAAGGTCAGTTAAGGACGTTCGTATCTCACAGAGTAAACTGTTATATCTTTGTATCTAGAAAAAAAAAGAAGAACAGTTAGTCATGTGACATATCACAAATAATTGGTCTGGAATTGATGTAAATAAATGAAATGGGGTCTTCCATCATACTTTTCTACTAACCAGGGTATTGAAGAAGGGCATATACTCCTATTTTGGATCGAACATGGGACCTACAGTTTAACGAGCTGACGTCTTACTAACCTCTTGTAATAATACAACATTCAATGGTGAAGGATCAGTTGATAGAATCTTCTCTGTTCCTTCGTAATCCACATCTTCTGGTATCTGACGGAAAATATTTGCTCCTAGTTCCAACACCTAAAACACGAGACTATCGTTATTAAATAATTCACATCCTTAACAATACAGATCTAACTCTTTTTTTTAATAATCTTTTTCTATCAACCAACTATCATAGCATTAAGTGTGGCAGCATTTTTGTACTTCTCTTTTTTGAAATGAAATGAGACGAAATGGGATTTAACGTCCATCCTACTGTTCTGCTCCGACTGGGATAATGAAGACGGGGGCATAAACCATACAGTGTGCTATGAGGGAAATTTTACCTGGACAGCAGTGCTACGGCCAACTCTTATATTGAATTTCAACTACCAAGGGATATCTTACGTGCATGCCAGTATGTACATGTGGCCTTGTTTTTTGTCCCATCCAAAAGACTAAACATCTCTTATTTGAGGAAAGATAACTGGTTTATATGTCTACGTAAGAGTAAAAATATCTCACCTTATCTTCGCGACTTTCACCACCAGTACTAGAAACTTGTGGTTGTAGAGAGAGGAGTGTGTCGAACAATATTCTTGTATCTTGTATCTGTGATGTTATGTCAGCGTTGGGATGTTGACCGAAGGCTTCGGGATGATCGATGTTTGGTAACATGCTGATGTATTCTTTATAAGAAGATTGGGGGCCATCTTTAGGTATGTAATACGTAGGTAAAGATGAAACTCTATAAAAACAAATTCAAATATAGAAAGTTAATGCTGATAGGCTGATCAAGATATATCCTCGAATGAAAATCAATGTTATACATGCGTTGATATAAAATGGAGTTCAAATTTCCCGAAAAACAAATGTTACAATCAAATAATTTTTTTTTAGCATCTCTTAAATTCAATCAGAAATCTTACCTAAAGAATGGTGTAGCCAGAGCATTTTCGGTGAACTGGTCATTGATGTAGGTCATCAACAAACGACGATCGAAATCATCAGTCACATGACCTCCATAATTAATACCAGCAATCAAATATTTGAGGGCATCCCAGGGCGTTTCTTCGTATGTGTCTAAATATATACTCAATAGATTTTCAGATACCTGAAATATAAACATCAAGTAATAATTGTTTTCATGACATACAAATTAAAAATATTTCAAATACATCGCTTGATAGTAAAATAAATAAGGTTTAGAGAAAACTCCTCAGGAAATTTCAGTCATATTATTTGTGACATCACTGTATTATGACATCATGGAATTATGACATCATGGAATTATGACATCATTGTATTGTGCAGATCACATTTCAAGAAGAATTCAATGAAGAGGTAGGTAAATACTTTGTTTATTTAATTCTTTTTTCTTTAAAAGCATACTGAGGGTATAATATTTTTATCTGAGCCAAATTTGCCGTAATATTTTGAATCAGGTTGAAAACCCCCCCCCAAAAAACAATATAGAACCTTTCCTTGAGAAGGCATGTGAAGCACACAAAGGTATAGACACGGTTTTATTCTGAACAATATCGATCCTTTGAAATTTTAATTTTCCTGATGAAAGCACATTTCTCACAAATTAAACAGCGTAAAAGCCACGATTTAATAAATAAATCTTCTCTCGTAAGCCATATTTAATAAATAAATTTTCTCTCCTAAGCGATATTTTGTTTAAAAGGTCAAAATCAGAAGCAAGCTTTTAAAAAATTTCCCGAAGGCCTAATTATCAAAATGGTGGGGCTTTATATGTACCATAAATTCCTTAATAATTTTCTGAATGACATATAGAATTTTATGGCACAACAGCTCCAACTGGGCTATATTGTGCCAAACATAAATTTGCGAGACAAATTAAATGAAATCACAACAATTAAATACATAAATAAAAAAAAAGTATCACAGTATTCACAGTTAACATAATTAAAATTATATAATATTTTATGTAGATCAAATATTTAAAATATAAAACATGGAAAAAAACCCAAATATATCATACAAATTGAAATTTTCTATAAAAATTTGTCTCTTTTAAAAAGTTTAATGCTTTACAATATAGATCCGTTGGGCAAATAAATTCTGTAATGACTGGCAAAGATTGTTTTTTTAATAGATTTGTAACTAGAAGACTTACCTCAAAATCGGAATCGTTGAATTCGTAGGCAATATTCCAACCTAACATCAAGAATTTTCTTCGTTCCAAGAGAATTGAGTGGAAGAAACAGAGCGAGAAGAGAAGTTTTTTATATTTATCTTGTTTTAAACTACGATGAAATTGTTGTTCTGTTATCAAATTATACAATCGCTTCATGTTCGCTTTCAAACCCTGAAAATAAATTCAATTAAAAAAACGACTTAATAAAACAATTATAAACATGATGTCAACAAATCAGATGATGTCGTCATTGTCATACAATTTAAAGCGACTCCAGTTTAGTTAAAGCTCATGTTTTCTTCTAAAAACAAATAACTAAATGAAATTTACCTTTGGAGGTTCAGTAGTCATCTTGATACCCTGCTGTAGAATTGATATCGGGAATTCAGGATGTGGACTGCTGCTAAGCCACAGACGGAACTCAGGATGAGGCTCCTCTATCTGTAACTGTTCTACTAGTTTATCCAACTGTGGCATCCAACTCAATGATAGATGACAGTTAGCCAAGAACACCCAGTGACCCTGTATAAAATATAATAAAACAGTTAGTCAAGAACACCCAGTGACCCTGTATAAAATATAATAAGTGAAATGTGAACGACAAGATGTCTCTTGCTCCCAGTCACATAATATAATATAACGACTCAAATAATTTTTAAAAATTTTCAATTATTTGAAATTAGTAAATAAAACCGTTAATGAAGGCTTCAACTAAAGGGAGATTACTTTACCTCTCTTACTCCTTGTTTAATCAATCTGGTTGCTATGGGAGCCTGACCTTGACCTAAGGACAGAGTGTGGAACTTTGAACTCATTCTACAATTCTCAGCCAGCTGATGAAGAGAACTTGTGGGATCCTGTAACCAAGAGAATCAGTTTACCATGTAACATATAATAAAGCAAATGTTAATAAATCAAATGCAGATATTTGAATGTCTCATAAATGCATGGGTAATATCAAAGAAAATATAAATACACCTGAAAATGTATTATTACTTAAGATATCAACAAGTCATTAATTCCTAATTCTTGCATCTGTTGAAATCAGCTTGTACAAGAAATTTAATGGCACTGTTTATATTGTATTTGAGGTAGTATTTAATGATGAAATTGAAAATGGTTATTGAATTATTATGGATGTTAGAAAAATGGTAAATAACCAGTTGTCAATACAGAGTTACAACTCATCATGTTTCCTATATGGGCAACTATATTTTTTAATAATTATATTTGGGACTAACACACCAAATTTTTCACACAGTTGATTAACTCAATCATTGATTGTTCTGATCCAAATAATTATTTTGGGACTATCACACTAAATTCTTCATACAGCTGACTATATCGACGATTGATTGTTCTGACTCAAATAATTATATTGGGACTAACAAACCTAATTTTTCATACAGCTGATTATTTATACTAAATGAATAAACTGAACTTACCACACCAGCTGACAGAACGAAGATCAACGGGGTACGGGTGGTCGAATCTTCAACAACAGACTGCATGTCTAACACTGGCGGCTCGACGAACTTTGACCCCAGATTATTAACAATGAATGACGTGGCACAGAATGAAACACGATCAGGTCGCAGCGATCGTACAATTAACATCTTCTGTAGTTCATTACAAGCATTATCCCATTCACCTAGAAAAAAACAAATTGCGTTATCTCAAAGGAGGCATCAAAATTGTTTTAAGGTGCTGATGTGCAGCATGGCCCAAAAATAGTCGAGAACTACTGCATTAGACAAATGATTTAACAAATTTTAAATAAATTGAACATTCTATAAATAACAGAAAATTCGCAATCAACTGAACTGATGGATCAAATTTATCAAGACGAGAGAACCCTTGTCGAAATGTTGCAAGAAATAAACTTTTGAATAACTTGTATTCCATATAATTGTGTCATGTCTTACCTGGAAGTCCTGTTGTTTCTGGTTCAGGGGAGGTAAACCAAATATTCCAATCTCGTGGATATTGTTCAAATGATGTTATAACACCATGAAAGTTAGTGAGTTTATCCAGTTCTGTGATATTATCCCAAGCGTTATCCGATAGCCAGGTGGAACACGGATTATCCATCTGATTCTCACGATCTATCACCTGTAAAAACATCATTTATGTCATATAGTGGTATACTGAATATCATTGTGGTCTGAAACCTTACATTTAAGTAGATACAAGTTGTCTCCCTTATGTTGTACTTCTTCTGCCTCTCTGAGTAAAAAAGATAGAGATTGAAATTCTAACATGGATAATGGTTGTTTTTCCCTTTCTCACCCACAAGTTTTATGTAAAACCCCAAGATCTGAGGATTCGAAATATATAGACGCTGTTCCTTGCCAGGCCCTCAACCAACCTGTACCACTCACACAGGGAAACCACACTTTAAAAACCCCAGGAACAGACCAACACTGGGATCAAACCCCGGACCTGCAGGTAAGTGAGTCAACACCTTACTGTGGTTCCCAAAAATTTGGGATGTGTTTATTCCATTTTGTAATGTGTCTTTGGCACCTAATCAAGATAACTTGTATACCATTTTAATAATATTTAAAAATCGTTGCAAAAACTGAGATTCAAATATTTTTCTTTAAAAATTTTTGAGAATATTTCTAAACAACAGTTACCTTCAAACAATCTGCTAATGACACAAAAGTTGAAATTTGCATCCTTTAGACAAAGAGCATTTATGAAAGATGAACTGCGTTTTGTGAAAAAATTTGATTAAAAACTGAAGATTTGACGCTATATATATATGCATATCATATATATTTTTCTATATAAATTCTAAGTTGACTCACCACTCCACCACGTAAGAAGAAATTATATTCATCCATGTTGATTTTACCGGCATGTTCGAGAATCTTGGCACACATTTGGAATGAGAAGAGTAACTTATGTCTTTCAAACAATCCTCGACATGTATACCTGAAGATAAATAATATAATATCAAAGGTTTAACTTACAATTGACACAAACCAGATGATTTCGGGACTAATATATGGTTCAATTTTATTTTAATGAGCCAAGGGGTCTTTAGTAGTAGGAGGAATTCCGAGGAACCAGAGAAAACCCACAAGGTTGGACAGGTGACCCAACTCCTTGTCATGTACAAACAGGGAATCAAAACCACACCTCTTGACTCAATGACAGACATTATGATCTAAAACATACATCTAAACCCTTCGGCCACCCAACCCCCCTCATGGCTGATAAAAACTATATCAATATGGGTTCAGATAAAGAAGGATTCGGACACATCCATGGTATTAATGAATATTAAAACTTTTACAAAATTGAATTATAGATAATAAATTCCTTTTATTTCTGAATTCTTATTATTGCTATAGTCTTATTATGGGAGGTTATCTAGCACTGATATTTTGGTTTTGTTATATAAATTAGATGTTGAATAATTAATTTTAGTATGCAATAAGCCATGCAAAATTAGTTTATGTCGCAAAAATGCATAAGGAAGATCAGTGGTTTTAACAAGGACAATATTATTTCAAAAAGTTGATCTGAGCTGAGCCACTAAAAGAATTAAGCTAATGCAATTTTAACTCTGACATAATCTTTAAATGGCATTGATCAATTGATAAACACATTAAACAGAACATAATTTTTATGGGAAATCAGAAGTCTTGAATTACCTGTAAACAGCGTAGGTATGATAATCATTAAGATTCTGGATTCGTTCCTCAAGTTTTGAACTTCGCTGACTTTTCTCAATTGATAAGATGAACAGCTCAATGTAGGCATCAAGTGAGAACTGGTACATCGGATCAATTCTACTCATGTCGTTCAGAACAAAAAACAGAATGGATGCTCTCTGGGCACATGGTCGATATCCCTAATTTGGATAAAAGATAAAATGACTATTAATATAAGGTAGGGGAAATAAAATACATTTAACAGGTTTGCTGGCTATTCCATAAATTGACAAATCTTTTATAATGAAAATGAAATGAAATCGGGTTTAGTGTCCTACTGTTCGGCCCCGACTGGGCTAATGAAGATGCACATACGCTATACAGTGTGCTATGAGGGATGTTTTGCCCGGACAGCAGCACTACAGCCTACTCTTATATTATTGAATTCCAACTGCCATGAGATCTTTTACATGCACGCCAATGTGTATACGGGACCTCGGTTTTCCGTTCCCTCCAAATGACTAGACAGCTGTACTTGTCAGACCCTCCTTCCTACACCACTGACAAGGGGAAACTTTCTTGCCCAACATCGGGAGCGAATCTGCGACCTCGAAGCTAGCAAGCTAGCGTCTTACTCACTTAGCCACCATGGCTCCCTATTTATAATGAGTTGTGCCTTGGTCACAATGGTGACATGTTTAGAGATATTTTGATTGCAGAAAAAGTCATGCTTATTCATCTAATTGCTAGATTTTTTAATATTGAGTTCTCAATTTAGATTTTCAATCATCTCCATAGTGAGATTTTGTTTGAGGAAACGGTCGTTCATTGTACTTAAAATGCAAAATATTCAATTTGTTTAATGAATTGTTGGTTCTAAATTTAGATTTGTAAACACTTTCAAGTCTTCTTAGTAAGACTTTTAGTAAAAACAAGTAAAGAGCAAAATTTTTGAAAAACTATAATTACCTCTCGAGCAGCATCAATCTTGGCTTCTGTCTGTTCTGATATTTGTAATTGTTCCGAAACTTCCTGTGATGTAGTTTTTGATGTCTGCAGTGTGTTCACCAACTGTTCATCATCCAACAGAGATCCCTTAGTTTCATTCAATAACCTGAAAAACAAATATATATCATTGAATCGGTGAAATGAAGCACCAGATTCATAGTGTGATGCACCAGATTCATGGTTTAATGGAAAGCATCCATGGTGTCATGGAAAGCATCCATGGTGTCATGGAAAGGATTCATGATGTCTTGGAAAGGATCCATGGTGTAATGAAAAGGATTCATGGTGTAATGGAAAGGATTCATGGTGTAATGCAAAGGATTCACGGGGTAATGGGGAGGATTTATGGAGTAATGGAAAGGATTCATGGAAAGATTTGATGGTGTGGAGAAAAAGATTTATGATGCATAATAAGAAACAACTTTAGGGTATGGGAGACCAGACTCAAGATTCAATGCAGTATTCATAAATCCTGACACAACTGTCGGTCGAAAAATCAGTTATCTGATAGTGATTTGATGGTTTGACTTACCTGAGAATTTCATCTTCACATTCTACTAATTTCTTTTTACCGGAGGCGATGTTTCGGACTAAACTGTCTTTCTGTTCCTCTAATTCTGGTCGTTCCTTACGGACAACTATACCCAGTAACTGGGCTTCTAGACCTATTACAATGATAGACAGGGATTAAATAATGGACAACTATACCCAGTAACTGGGATTCTAGACATATTACAACGATAGACAGACAGGCATTAGATAATGTTAATACAGACAGGAGAGAGAAAGAGAGGAATGGGTTTATGGGCCAGTGCTGTTCGTAGTTGTGAATAGTGTTTCCAATGGTTATATATATATATATATATATATACTTGATAGCCGAGTCTAGTGTTCAGTTCCTCTTTTCAAGAAACATTTAATAGAGTTACTTTTTTGATCCATTTTTGATGATGTTGCAGGATATCTAAGAAAAATCGGAAACTGCCTTACCTTGTTCTTTAACTGCGAAATTAACAATGGTGGATTTGGTGGAGATTTCTGGTGGATAGTGAGGATTGCTGAGTTTAGTGGTGATGTAGAAACGGAAATCAAAATTATATTCTACCTCTTTATCACCTAGCCTTATAATCCATGCTCCACCTGTAACAAATAATCAATTATACAGGTAAAATAGACAAAAATAACACAATTACACAATTATCAGTTTCTTACAAAAATACGTTGGATAAAATAAAAGACACAGAATTATTTGAATGTTGAATAAAATAAAAATTGCAGAACATAGTTTTGGTTAAAAGATGTTGTTGCTTCACCATTTTTAAATTAAATCATTAAATCGCAAACCGTTTTAATCTACTTAAAATCGGACCAATCTGATGGCATCGATAGTTGATTATGGTCTTGTCCTATTAATAAATGTCTAATTAATAGTTTATATAACATTTCGGGTCTCAAGAAATACCTGCAATAGGCAGATTTAGCTCTTGCATAATGCCTGTTTAAGTTTTTTGTAATACTACAAAGATTGTATTAGTTTTACCTATTTTCATCAGAGATTTATTGAGTATAGGATCAAGCGATGGGTCGAGTTTCTCCTGGACGTTCTGTAATAAAACGGGCAAACCAAACTGTACGGCTCCTTCCAACGTTCTCATATAATCATTCTGTTGTAAATCAACAACCTTTAACCCCTGTAATATACAAATCAATCACATTTAAATAAAATGTTAAATATTAAAACTTAAAAATTGTCATAATTTAGCTATTTTTGGCAAACAATTCAAAAATTAATACAAAAACATAATATGGAACACAATTACTATTTTAATTAAAGCGACGTTTCGTTGAGGGTTCTTAACGAAACGTCACTTTAATTAAAATAGTAATTGTGTTCCAAATTATGTTTTTGTATTACATATGTCAATTGCTAAATGCCGCTCAAAGAAGGAATTCAAAAATTGTTCTAGAAGGGCTTACAACTTATTTAATATTGTGTCATAATTTAGCTATTTGTAGCAAAACCATGATTTATCAAGATTTTTTAGGATGATTCAAAATTAAAAAAAGAGAAAAAATATTTAGATTAAAATAAAATATCAGACATTGAATGGAAATTTTAATGGTACCATATTTCAAAAAGTCAAATAGAGGCTGATCAAAAGGGCCCCATAAAAACATTTTACCCAACATTTATAGATGGCCCTGTATCATCTGTAGAGGATGCCATTTGTTGCGGAATTTTCAATTCATGATAAAATTGTAAATACTCAACTAATTTAAAGTAAACTATTTTGGATTGATGTTATGTCTTGTAGAGAGATGGGGTTTAACACCCACTCGATACAAATTAGGTAATTTCAGGAATAACACATGTTTCAATCTTATTTCAATAATTTGCTTGCGCATGGGGGGTCTTTAGCAGTGGGAGGAAACCGGACAAAACCCACGAGGTCGGAAAGGCAACCTTACGCCACTTGACTCAAAGACAGACCTTGTGATCTAAAGTGCACACATTAGACCAATTGGCCACCCAATTCAACCTTGTAGAGATTCAACTGTCACAATATTTCCAAGGGATTCGACAATCTCTCAAATAGCGATTAAGGGAAACTACTTTTTACAAATACTAACCTTGACACCCTCCATATTTTTGATCCATTTAATAGCCTGTCCTTGTGGATCCACCATCAGCGGCCAACGGCTACCTCGTGTTACGATAACTCCGTTCTCCGTGGAGAAGCTATCGCTAGGTAGTCCCTGGATGTTCCAGTCTCTAACTTGTGTTGGTTTACTCATAAAACCACAGAAACTAAAACATGGATCACATGGTAGACCCAGTTTACGAACCTACAAAAAATAAAGTTTAAATTAATAATCAAAATAAAATGGGGTATAATGTCCTTAGGTTTTGTAGCAACTTGGCTAATGAAGACGGGCATACACAATACATTGTGCTATGAGAGAAATTTTGCCCGGAAAGCAGTACTACTGCCTACATCGAATCTGAACTGCCAAGAGCTCTTTTACGTGCATCGCAATGTGGACACAGTTTTTCTGTCCCATTTGAACAACTATATATGTTGTCCCTTGACAGGCCCTCCATCCTGCACCACTAACAAACCATGCCGGAAAATCTCACTGAACAACCAACACCGGGATTGAACATGGGACCTCCAAATCAGAGAGCCAATGCCTTACTCACTGAGCCACCCCGTGCAGCTACCAAAGGCTACTTAATAATACCTTGTGATAATTTAAAGTAAATATTGAATTACTCACCTCTTTCATCCATCTTGTTTGAACAAGTTCATCTCTATAGTCTGATAAAAATGGTCCCATGTAGGAAAGGAAGGCTGCAGCAATTAAACAATCACCCACTAAATATCCCATACGTTCTTCTAAATCCTGTAATAAAACATGATAATATTAAACCTCCACACAATGGCTTCAATGTTGGTAACCCCATTCTTAAAGTCTTGATGCACAATTTTTAGCAATAGCAATCACTTGCAAACTATAATATTGTGAAAAATGAATCTAAAAAAGGAATATCAGTCCAAAAATGGGTCCATTCCATTCAGTACTTGCAAAGTTATGTTACATTGAAATTTCATCATTCTATGCTGCTCGAGCTTTACAAGACACCACCATCTTTTTATTGGTAGCTATGAAACCTGATGGGCAGTTCAAATCTGATTGAATCGATGTTTGGAGATTATTTAGTGTTGTTATTTTTTTTTTTTTTTCTTAATTAGATAATAAATAATCATTCTAAGTACATATTATTGTTGATTAAGCGGCAAGAAATTTGATATTTTAACAAAAATGCTGATGGCACACCAGGACTTTAATTAGGTAATAAACTAATTATATCAGATTATCATATCAGATACTACGTATTATTTGTTTTCGAATTATTTTTTCCCCCAATGAAAACACAGGACCTTGATTTTGTCTGAAGGGAAACGGGTAGATGAAAGAAACCAAATTAGATAATCAAATTTATTTACCTTGACTGTTTCCTGCCATCTGATTCGTTCTCCAGCTAAACCTGATACAAGTTTTGAGGCTCGATCTAGCATCATTTCAGTGTGTTCTGCTTTACGTTTTAACTCTTCTTTCTGAGCGAGTTTCTCGTCGTATTCTAATTTTAACTTTGTCATCTTCTCTTCCACCTATAAAACAATAAATCAAGTTCAAAAATGAAAATTAAGACAATATCCACTTTTAAACTTTTCTATATTTCAGTAGGGGAACAATTTGAAAGAGGAAGCATCACATAATGTAAATAAATAAAATTAGGTTTAAAGATGCATTATGTAAGAGCTAAAACTTCCTAATTGCTAGTCTTTATTTTGGCTTCAAATTACTGACATTTATTCACATGACAAGCCTATAATTGGATGGCCGAGATTTAAATGGATTTAAACACTGATTTTGCATTATCAATTTTAGAACTATCATATTCATAGCAACAACAACCAGCTCTTTATCTAAATCTTACGTAATTCTTTAACATCCTTCTATTCTGCACCTAATCAAGCTAATTTCTGGGATTAATGTTTAGCATATGTGTACTACATACACATACCCAGGGATCTTTATTAATCAGGAAACTGTAGATCCAGAAAATTTATATTACACTATCTCAGAACTCAAAAGGGGGCATCAAAATATTTTAGGGGCTGAGGTGCAGTTCTGTGTCAGACAATTGATGTAGCAAATTCTAAATACATCGAAAATCCACAAGGTCAGGTTAGGCAATCAATAACTGAACTGATGGAGCAAATTTAAATAAATGAAATCAAATGGGATTAATGTCCTACTTTTTAGCATTTACAAGGCTAATGAAGACAGAAATTTTAAATAAATTCACACATAAACATCTAGAAATATCTTACCTCGGCTAATTTCGATTTAGCGTCCGACAATGCATCCTGTTTCTCTTTTAGTTGTGACATGGCGCCGTTTAATCTCTGGCGCTTTGGTTCCACCACACGATAAATACGTCCATAAACTTCCATAGCTCGTACCCACATACACAATGATCTGGCAGCCCGTGACACACGACCTATGACCTCAGGCTGAAAGTCGGCAAGCGCACAATATTGTCCAATTTTCTTCAGAATTCGATCGGTGATGTTATCTTTATCAAAGTTCATTAACTGTTTCAGGAAATTACCATCACCTTTAATATTAAGAAAAATCATGAAATCTCAACGAAAGCAAACACCAGATGAAATTTTCTAAATTGGATAAAATATTTGTTGAGTGATAAGCCTATTCATAATATTGTCCTTTGAAATGTTACCGTTAACGACCCATTTCAATGCAGCATTCCTAGCATTATAAAAATGGATATCATCGTTATATACATGAATTTTGTATGAAATATTCAAATTTGAGAATTTGCCATAGTCATTGGTGGCATAAATTTCATATTTATCAAAATGCCATTAAATCTAGATCATTTTATCCATTTTCTTAACCCTTAATCGGTCTTTGTCGACTTATATAGTCACAAACACGTTATACAGCTAAGTGGTCATTGGAGCGACCGCGGTCAATCACAGTTAGAAACTTTTTTATAAGCCGCATTTGAATATTAAGTTTCATATTTAATTGATATGACTACACATGCATGTCAGACAGGAGCTTGTCTTGTCAACGGCATTGAGGAAAACATGTCTTTAAAAAGGTTCAACATTTTTTGACAAAAAACGTAATTTTTCAATGTCACGACGGTTAAAGACTGGCAAAGTGCTTGAAATGCTTATGAATGATTCTGACTCAGATTATATCGATGAAACCGGTTCTGAAGATGATATTTCTGATGAAAATGATTTAGAAAACGACAGACAATGTGCAAATTATAGATCAACTTATCCCCTTCAATTTTTTTTTGGTGTCAAGAGTCTATCACTTCTAATTATCCCGCAGTAGTCTTTTGAAATAGGCATACAAAATATTTCACTTTAGCCTTTATTTAGCCTGACCCTTTGACGTTATAATGTCAAAATGAAGTAGACTGGTTAAGGGTTAAAGGATCGATCTATTGTTGCTTTTTTTCTAATATTAACCGATACGACGTGGTTTTTATAACATTATGACGTCAAATCTCTGGGTCACTTTAGAGTTAAATATCTGAATACTGGTAAAACTGAAATGACCCCAAAGATACTAACCAAGCTGTTTTTTGGATTCAGCCCACGTTGGTTCATTTCCTCTAAGAATCATGACGGCTTCCATAACCTTTTCGACTAGTGGGGGTGGTCGGCCATAGGATCGAATTTCTGTCATATCTTTCTTATTCAACGATTCTAAAGCCTTGATAGCCTCCTGTAGAGCAGGCAGAGCTTCATCTAAATCTGTCTGAGCCAGTTCAGCCATGTGACGACATTTTGTTTCTTCTTCAGCGATACGTTCACCTTTCTGAGCTACAGACTGAAAATATGAAATAAATAACAAAAATAAAAAAACATAAGCTTTGATAATTGTCATTTAGTTCTAAAAAATTTAAAAGAAGGGAAAGAGTTTAAAACCAGACTTTGAAATTAATGGAGAACTGTCAAGGTTTTTTCATGTGTTCTACCAATATCTAAATGATTGTTTTTAAATATTTATGCAAATAACATGCAGAAAGAAATATGGTTTAACGTCCACTCAACATAAACTAGGTCATTTCGGGACTAACACATGGTTCAATTTTATTTCAATAATTCGCTTAAGTGTAGGGAGGAAATAGGAAGACCCAGGGAAAACCCAGGAAGTTGTACTGGAAACATAACTCCTGGACACAAGCCGGGAATCGAAACCCCACCACTTGATTCGATCACAGACCTTATGATCTAACACGCATGTGTGACATCTTTCAGCCACCCCCTTTCTGACTATTTTTACCTTCTGTTGTTCGTCTGCTTCTCGTTTCTGTTGAACAATAACGACCAGATATTCTTCACACTGTTTCTGAAACTGGGCTACTTTCACTTTAGCTGTTTCTAATTCTACGGACATGTTCTGTACTTTTTCACGAGTGTCGTCAATTTTACTCAAACCATTTCTTAATTTGTTGGCGGCATCACCCAATTCTTTACGCTTCTCAAATAACAATCTGTTCACAAGTAAAAATAATCCTATTAGTGAAATGAAATGAGGTACAATGTCCTACTTTTCTGGACTGACCGCATTAATAAAGACATGCGTACGCCCTACTGTGTGCTGTGATGGAAATTTGCCTGCGCTACGACCTATTCTTATATCGAATTCTAACTGTCAGGGTTTCTTGCACGCCAAAATGGGACAACTAAACGGTGTCCTTTTCAGATCCTTTTCGGCCAAAACCGGGAGCAAACCTGAAACTTAAAGGCTAGGGAGCCAGCATCATACTCAGTGAGCCACAGTGGCTTCCAAACTAGTTAGAATTATGGTTCCTGGACAAATTTTCGAATTATTCATTCGGTGTTATCCATGTAAATCTATTTATTGCTAAGGCCACACTGACTAATTTTTTTTTTCAGTTTTTCTATTGTGAGTTAAGTGGCTATTTATTTATCAAGAGTCTGAAGAACTGAAAATTACAGTATATTGGTTTGGCCTCACAGCTTTATCTCTGAGCTAACTGTTATTATTGTTTCATATAGTACATTATAATTTATATTCTGCCAATTGATTGGAGTTACCTCCCTTACACTATTTTTAATTTAAAATTGGTTTAATATGAGTTGTCTCCCTTTAACCAAATATTGATCAGCCTAGAAGACTGTAAATGAAATTTCAGGCATATCACCACAGGCCTTTGAATTAAAAACAGCAACCTGAGATGAATATGGAGTTATAAAGATCATGATTCTATGGAAGACAATTACTGCTTATTAATAATGAGTGATGTTTCGAATGGTGACCTGTGTATTCCAGTTTAATCACTAAATGCCATTGAAACAACTAGAATAATATAAGCATACAACCTTTTCACTCCATATTTTTCTTGATATTTTTTAAATAAATAATTGACTCACTTTTTATATCCCGAGACGAGTTCCAGATAGTTAGTGGGAGTAACATAATTATGACGTCTCATCTCAGCCAACATTCTTTGTGAATATTCTGACACAGATTTATGCATGATTGAAAACATGGCAGCCACTTGGGGTTTCAGTTTATCCTTTGAAAAAAGAAATTTTTATAAAAAAAAGTTATGAAATGAAATGAAATGGGGTTTAACGTCCTACTGTTCTGCTCCTAACCTGGGCTAATGAAGACGGGCATACGCCATACAGTGTGCTATGAGAGAAATTTTGCCCGGGCAGCGGCACTATCGCCTACTCTTATATCGAATTCCAACTGCCAAGGGATCTTTTACGTGCATTCCAATGTATACACGGGACCTCGGTTTTTCGTCTCATCCGAAGGACTAGACAGCTGTCCTTGTCAGGCCCTCCGTCCTGCATCACTGACAAGGGGGAACCACGCCGGAAAATCTGGATGAACTTTCTCGGCCAATGCAGGGATCGAAAAAAGTTATGGAAAATATTCCTTCTGATAATATCTTATCATTTAATATAATAATATATTGGTATTTGGATGTAATTCTCACAAGATTAGACACAAAAATAACACCAGGCACACATTTTTGATATCAATAACATTCTAACTTTTTTATCTGTTTGGACAAAAAATTTGATTTGAACAAAAAGGTAAAGCTTTTTAGTTTTTAATTTAAAAATTAGTTATACTTTAATTTTCACATAAAATCTGAATTTTAATTTAAAAAAATAGTTAAATTTTAAACTTTCACATAAAAACTGAATTTTAATTTAAAAAATAGTTAAAGTTTTTATACTCACATCCTCCTCACTACCGAGTGATGTTTCTGATAGATATTTATTACCAACTTCTAACAACGCATCTTGTGGCCATTCACTGAACCAATCTATCGTTGTACAATTAACAAATGCTGGATACATACGAATACGGTTTCTGAAATTATAACAAATATTACATACACACCAACTTGTAGTTTGGATGGGATTAAAAAAAAGAAAAAAAAAGATGTAAATTAAAGGCTAGGCAGAAATGCTGCTGTCCGGGCAAAATTTCTGTCATAGCACATTGCATTGCATATTCTCGTCTTCATTAGCTCAATCGGAGCAGAACAGTATGATGTTTAACCAAATTTCATTTCTTTTTCCTCTTGCATACACTGTTCAAGACCTCTGCAAAAATTTCAGGTGTTTACACATCTGCCTAACCTCATGGGTTTTCTCCGGGTATCTGGTTTCCACCCACTACTCTGTTCCGATGTTTATATTTCAGTGTCTATGTTCCGATGTTTATATTCCTATGTCTATATTGCAATGTTATATTCAGATTTCTATATATTCTAATGTCTATATTCAGAAAGCCTGAGACCAATAATTACCTGAAAGCTTCACCAACTGGACTCATACATAATACAACATGAAGATTAGCTCGTACTCGATCAATTAAAAATGCGAAAACGCTCTGGGCTGTATCATCAATACCCTGCGCTTTTACTTCATCAGCTAATGCATTTCGTACCTAAAATAAAACCAACATAATTTAAAATATTGCCATTTATGAATAGTTTCAAAATAGAATGAATTTTAATTTTTTATCTGCAGCAACAAGAAGATTGGTATGCACAATGCAATGTGCTATATGTGAATGGGGCAGTGCACTATGGTATGAGGGTAGTTTTGCCTGGACAGCGGCGCAACAACCTACTTTTATATTAATTTCCAACTATCATGGGATATTTAATGTGGTGCCAATGGTATCAACAAAACCTTGCTTTTTTTCAAGGCATCAAAACAACTAGACGCTGTTCTTTGCCAGGCTCTCCAATCTGCATTACTGACAAGGGGAACCCAGGCTGGAAAGTTCACAAACTTTCTCAGTCAATAGTTCCAGCCTTGAAAATGGTCCAACATCCACCACATCCTACCTCTTCAAATTCCTCTGTTTTATATAAATTAGGAACTTCTCCACTACTCAACACATTATTTGTATCTTCTAGGAAACTCTCCTCCACGACCTGCGTGTCATTAAACAAGAACACCGTAGGTTTATTCTCCACTCCTGTCTGCCAATACAACTTCTTTAAATCTATAAATAAAAAGAAATGGGGTTTAATGTCCTTCTGTTCTGCTCCGACTGGGTTAATGAAGACTGGCACTACGGCTTACTATTATATCAATTCACTTCAAAATTTGTCAGCCGCTCAATTTTTAACATTTTGTTTTGGCTAGGAATAGCACGATCTTAATGACAAATTTCATTTTAAAACTTCTGCCAGTCAGTCAAGTTGTGGTTTATTTTGTTTAGCTAAGATTTACACAACATTTTTGGACCAGGAACTGGTCGCTAACTGCTACTCATCTTGTAAGTTGTTGTTTTATCTTTTTCTTGGGGTGACACTCTTCGAAAAAGTTTAAAGGCTCCATCAATTCAAGTACGATTGTACATGAAAATTGCCATGCTTGATCTTTGAACAATTCAGCATCGATTTGGTGAATTAGATTTTTAAATTTCATTCAACAACATGGTCAGCTCCTGGTCCATAGTATGATCGTACTTGTTCTATCATTATCCCCTTTTTTATATTTCTAAGTGATTTTACACATAATTTAATTGAATTTATAAAGTTTAAGGCTAAATTGACACATTTCTAACATTATCCAAACATCTTATATATATTCCAAGTGTTTTACACACAAAAACTATTAATTTGACAGTATTTATTAAGTTTTAAGGCTAAATTCCAGTCGATCAATTTCACAGACATTAAGTAAAAACTTGCAAATACGACTGAAACGTTTTGAACAGTTTGACAAATTTAAACATATCGATAAGTTTTCAAAAAACACTCAAACTTCTGCATTGTGTAATAATTTAGGTAAGACAATTTCTGTGAAAGGTCACTGAGGTGCCTTATGTCCAAGCTTGCTTCTACGTGAAATTATTGTTGACTCACCATCTCTGAATTCATTCCGTCTGTAAAGTTTTGTTATTTCTATTTGGAATGTTGAATATTCACACATGTTTGCAGCTAATCGTGTTAAACTCTGACGTCCACTTCCTCCAATACCAACCAATAACATGTTACCACGAGGTTGGCGAATAACACGTACTATCTTAGATACTGAAAATATATAATCAATAACGTTACGAGGTTGTCGAAATACATAATCAACAACATGTTACCACTATGCTTGCGAATAAGGCATACTATCTTAGAAGACAAAACTACACAGTTCATACATTTACAAATTCTCAACAATTATATGCTTGACAACGACCAGAATGATTATTATCCATAGAACTGTGTTGTGTTATATTATGTTCAATCGCTAAATGCCATTCAAAGATTATATCATAGGTAAGTTATTTATATGGACAGCTAGAGAGAGAAATGGGTTTCAATGCCCATTCAGCACAAACTATAAGTTATTTCAATAATTCGCTATTATGAAACACAGGTGATCCTACTCCTTATCATGTACAAGCAGGGAACTGAAATCACGCCATTTGACTCAATGACAGACTATGGATACGAGTTGTCTCTCTTTCACCCATAAGTTTAGTGCAAAACTTCAGGATCCGAGGATCCAAATATAACGTGGTGGAGATGCAAAACGTGATCTGAATAATTATAAGAATACATACCATGTTCTATAGCATCTCTAAATAAAACAAGATCCATGCTGACAACACCTGGGGAACTATTATACTCAGCCAACATCTCAACCATATGTTTCTTTAACGCATTTATATCAGTTATATCTTCATAAACCTGGTCGGTATTTATATAATCACCTACAATAATAAAACAAGTCTTAAATAACCTACAACAATACCAAGATATCACTGATAGACACAAGATATTTGGTGAGATAGGTCAGGGTGTGGGGGTGTTCTCTCCTCTGAGATAATTTTGAAAAGTTGAGTAGTCAAGAGAGAGAGAAATGGGGTTTAACCTCCACTCAATACAAATTAGGTCATTTTGGGACTAACATATGGTTTGGTTCAATTTTATTTCAATAATTCGCTTTCGCATAGTGTTCTTTAGCAGTAGGATGTAACCGGAGGATCCAGACAAAACCCACGTGGTTGGACCGGCGACCCTACTCCTTGTCACGTACAACCAAGGGAACGAAACCACATCAGTTGACTCATGACAGATTTTATGATACAATGCGCACACGCTAACCATACGGCCACCAAAACCCAGATGTTTGGGGATATAGGTCTGGGTGTGAGGGTGTAGATTGGTCTGGATGTGAGGGTGTTCTCTCCTCCGAAATAAATTTGAAAACATGGGGTTTCAAAGGTGATTTGTGGCGTGATTTGCTAGATGGGAGGTCAAAAAAGTTACCATTACACATGATTATGACATTGGTATATGGACTAGTGACTTACCAAATATTGGTGGTTGTTTATTCGGACAGATATTGTGGAACGTTTGATCAAACTGAGAACCAAGTTTCTCCGTTAAAATCCCTACAAATGTTTCATAGTCCTTCTCATCGACTAAACGATCGGAAAATACTCTGGAAAAACAAAAACAATAACAAGATGGGGTTTATTTATTATTAATATACAGATGCAATGTTATCATTATATGCTGGCGTGCCAGTATTTTAAATAGTTTACGGGCAACGTGCCAATCACACCTTTTTTATACTAATATTTATTTGTGTGACTATTTCATTGAAATGAACTTGTATCTGTATTTTAAGTATGGTTAATGGTCTCACGCAAGACACAGCAGCACCAATATATTACATATTGTGCTCTCAATCATTTAACCATACTTTATAATTATTTTCTTAGTAAATAATATCTCTAGTGAGAATATTATCATAATTCAAATATTCACAACAACATAAGGTCGCTTTACATAAACTGAAACATAGTAAAAACGATGGTTATATGGGTCATAGTAGTGATCATCTTATATATTCCTCAAATACATATCATGTCCATTTATCAATGTTAATAACTGCCATGATTAAACATGGTTATTGTCCAGAATCATTTTGTTTGTCAACTATTACATCCATACCTAAAAATCGTAGACATTCCTTGAATAGCTCTAGTAACTACAGAGGAATATCACTGAGTAGCATTATAGGTAAATTAATCGATTTGATATTATTAGATTGTTACCCTCATATATTTAACTCCTCGCAATTACAATATTGCACCTTTGTATTGAAAGAAACTATTAAGTATTATCATAACCGAAAGTCTGACGTATTTGTTGGTCTGCTTGATGCCAGTCAGGCATTTGATCGGTTGAACTACATAAAGCTATTTCGATTATTATTACGAAAAAATATATGTTGTGAAATTGCTAGATTTCTCTTAAATTTGTATATTAATCAAAAAATCAGGACCAGATGGGGTAATTTCACAGATGAACCATTCTCTGTCTCGAATGGAGTGAAACAGGGCGGGATTCTATCTCCGATACTATTTAGTTTATATCTAGATGAGTTATTAGTGCGCCTGAAAAACAGTAAATTTGGTTGTCACATTGGGCATGTGTATATAGGAGCCCTGGCATATGCAGATGACGTCACATTAATTACGCCAACAAGAAAGGCCTTACAAGAATTACTTAACATTGCAGAGTCTTACTCTAATGAATACGATGTCAAATTTAACCTCGACAAAAGTAAGCTTCTAATATTTAGACACAATAATAAACCTGATACGAGTACTTGTCCAATTAAGTTTGGTGATAAAAATATTAATATCTCCACTTCAGAATTACACTTAGGTCATTCAATCTTTAGTGATAAGACCATAAATAATATAGACAACTGTATAAATAACTTTATTGTAAGATTCAATGTAACTTTAAATGTATTTAAGTTTGTCTCGCCATGGATTAAGTATAAACTATTTAAAACATTTTGTATGCCATTATATGGATGTCAACTGTGGAACCTAACTAACAAATCTACCGAGAAATTTAACTGTGCCTGGCGCAAAAGTATAAGACGCATATTTAATATTCCTTATAGAACTCATAATGGCCTATTACATTTGATTTGTAATGATCTACCTATTGATGCCCAAATTCATAAACGGTTTGTAAAATTTATTGGATCTGTTTTAAATAGTAAAAACAAATTCACATACATATGTGGACTACTTGCACTAAATGGTAGCCAATCAAATGCAAGTGAGAATATTAATTATATTTGTGAAAAATATGAAATGTATAAGAATGTCTTCTGTTCAATGACAAAAACTGAAATAATAAGTAGGATGGTAAATGTCGCAACTAACAAATATAAAATTAATGACCTGCAAACTGCTGGCGCTATAAATGACATGTTATTTATGAAACATTCTAATGAAGTCTGTGATAAAGAAAAAATAAACGAGATTATAGAGTATTTATGTACAAAATAAGTCAATTTTATTTAATTAAACATGTATTTATGAAACTGTAAATAAGTGTAAAATTATTGTAAATTTTATTATTGGTATTACTACCATTATTATTATCGCATCTGTACTTCTGTATGTATACCTTTGTCTATGAAATAAATATAATTAATTAATTACTATCAACGTTTCGTAACATACAGGAAGGAGGCCTAGCTGTCCCCAAATAAACCAACTTAATAACATCACACCAATCATTGATAGCAATCAAGATATTTTAAGAAAACTAACCTGAAACATTCGTGAATCCACAATCTGGTCATAGCGGCCTTCGTATCATGGTAAACTTTATTAGCTCGTAATAATCCTTGGAAAATCTTAAAAAAATATCAAAATAACACCATAGAGTTTAAATTTATACTATATCTCCAAAACTATGGATACACAAATTTGAATTTTTGTTCTTGAAGAAAATGCAGTCAAATTTGCCTTCGGATATCTTTTGGGAAAAAACAATAAATATCTGGTTGCTGTTGTCAAAAGCTCATAGATCCAAATTAGTTATTGACTAATCCTTACAAAATACTGACCATGCGAGAATAGTTATTTGTTCAATAAAGGAGCATTATGGGAGATTAGATAAAGAGTTGACATAGTTAAAATATATATAACATAAATAGAATATGCTGCAAATTTCAGTCAAATTGCTCCACTCTGAACCAAGATATAAGCTTTGGAAATTTAGGCTAGCCTTGATCATCATTACTAAAGTCGGTACGATAAAAAAAAAAAACTTTTGATTATCCATTTTTACATTTAATTATTTTTTAAAAAATGTATTCCAATCCGCTAAATACTGTAGGCTAGCGATTACATCGAGAGTTGATTATGGTCTGGATAAGTTAATTAATGTCTAATTAATAATTCAGATAAGACCTGCAATAGGCAGTTTAACAAACTGAAAATACAATTGGTTTTGCCAAAGTCTATCATATAATATAAAATAAACAAACCTTTGAGATATCTCTGAGATTAAAGAGATAATGTATTTTAGCTGGCGTTGGTAGAAAGTTTGAAACCACAGAGTTATACATCTCTATCGTAGCTTGTGTCATCACGTCACCGATTGGTTTTACTTCCTCCTCGAAATCTTGTAACTTCTGGTTGATCATACTACCAAATATTCGCTTTATCTGAGATTCCTGGAAAAATATTAAAACAAAAATAAATTATTGTTGTATATAACATTGAACATGCAGTCATTCAGTCAGTTTAATGTTCCATGGCGTTTTAATCATAGATTCGGAAAAAGGGTGATAACAGGATAATGAGATTGAAATTGGTCGATTTTAGCAACATCTAAAAATGAAAACAGATATTTCAACCGATTAGAAAACTCAGTCATCAACCTGCACTGAGTATACCAAAAACTAAGTCAAATTTGTTTCCATGAAAACACAGAAGGATAGTCATTTCAACGTCCCTTCCTTAATTCCATCTGGTCCTGGATAGAGAGACAAAAATTAGGTCATTTTAGGACTAAGATATGGTTCAATTTTATTGCAATAATTTGCTTGCACTTAGGGGTCTTTAGCAGTGGGTATAAACCAGAGGACACAGAGAAAACAATAAAGGTTGGACAGGCGACTCGACTCTGTCACGTACAAGTGGGAAATCTAAAATCATGTCCCTTGACTCAATGACTAGACCTTATGATCTAACCATTTTGCTACCAAACGCCCCCTGGTGCTAGATAGATAATAAAGAAATAATCTCTTCAAAATTTGAATTATCTAAACTATTGAACTTACATGTGGGAAGGTCATATTGATAAGGTTGAATCTACTCTGTAGACGTCGTGATATAACCATTCTACCTCCACCTGGTGGGCCCATAGCAGCCACTAATAACATGTCCTACACGAGAAAAAAACAACATGGTTAATTAAATTTCAATCTCTATATTTATGAAAGTGAAACCTACAGCAATCTCATCCTAATAATATCAATAATAATAATAATTTAATTCATTTGATAGTGTATCTCAAATCTAACTTAGCGGTATCCATAAATCTTACCACATCACAGTAACATAAACAAGAAACAACGATTTCCAGTACTGGGTATAGATAAAAGTGAAACTCATATTTAATGGATAAAATGTTAAAAAGATGTAAACTCATAATTAAAAGGTAATTAATTATAAAGGACTTCTGTAAAATGATTAATAAAATGAATTTTGATTAATCAAGAGCTCTGACAAAAAGCTGTTTTAAGATTCTTCTTGAAGATGGGCATACATCATATAGTTTGATATGAGGCACTACGGCCTACGACATAATCCAACTGTCAAGGATTCTTTTACATGCACGCCAATGTGTACACAGGACCCCCAGGTTAGTCCAGGGTTCAAACAGTCTGTAATTTAGTCGCAATTTGTTGCGAATTATTTTATTTCAATAATACGATCGTGCACAGGTGTTTAGCACTGAGAGAAAACCACACCACACAAGGAAATCCGCAGTGCACAAGAAAAACACGCGAATTCTCAAATGAAGGGAATGACTACGATAAAACATATAAATTTTAAAGAATTTTGACGAACCTTGATATATTTGACGGTCTGTTTCTGTCTATCGTACCAGAAACCATAATCTAACCACAGTCGGATCAACTCTAACGGAGGCTGGGAACCAAATGTATCTTTAGCAGGCATGTTAAAATCATCCATAAACGTGATTAATTTCTTTCCTCCGATAGGAACATAAACACCTTTTGTTCTCTTTTCAACGCGACTTTCTATTATATCCTGTACGTTGTTCGAAGTTGTCTGAAATACAAAATATATGAAATTTATTGTCAGGTCTTTTGGAAACTATTTTTTTCTATTGCTTAATACAGAATAAGTATTTCATAGTTTTCAATTTCTATGGAATATAACTTAAGCACATCATTTACAACATTGTCAAAGTTTAATCTCCAAATCGAATATTAGACCAAAAAGGGGAGAAATAGGGTTTGTTTAACGTCCACACAACACAAACTAGGTCATTTCGGGACTAACATATGGTTCAATTTTATTTCAATAATTAGCTTGCACGTAGGATCTTTAGAAGTGGGAGGAAACCAGAGGACTTGGAGAAAACCCACAAGGCAGGACAGGCATGCCAATGTGTACACAGGACCGTCTTTTTTTGTCTTATCCAAATGACTATACACTGTTCATTGCCAGGCCCTTCATTATGCATCACTAACAATGGGGAACCACACCAGAAAATCCCACTGAATCAAACAGGGGACCTCCAGGCTAGCGAGCTAACATCTTACTCACTAAGCCATTGCGGACCCACCTTATAATGGAAACTATTTGTGTTTCTTTCTCATAGGACTTCTGTTAAAAAAAACAAGACCAATTTCTGATGAACTCACCTGAGCGGACATGTTTACGGATAACACACTGTACGATTTAGCATCTAGTTTACCCAGGGTGCTCTCTGCTACCGATGTTTTACCTGTTCCAACAGGTCCAACTAACATGACAGGATTCTGGGACAGCATGAGATTTGACGTGAGGTAATTATAACGGACCATATCAACTGTTGGTACACTCAGTTTAAAGAAAGGTAGACTGAAATAAAAAAGCAATCAAAATATTTTCTATCACAATGACCTGTTATCAGGTTGAAACCGGCTGACCCTCAAGTTAAATGTCTAGTGAGGTCAAGGTTTTGTCAAAATGGTAACTGATGTCGTGTGAGTAACAGATTGAATAGCCGTGTTACGGTTTATAGAAATAGAAATCCGACGGTCAGATGTTCTTTTATGTGCACGCCAATCAATACACAGATTAACATTGTTTTTGTACCATATGAATGACTAGACACTCTCCTATGCCCTTAGTCCGACACAACTGACATGGAGAAAAACAGGACCTCCTTGTTAGTGAGCCAGCACCTCACCCACTGATTCACCTGTTCTGTCAAATGTTTTTATTTTGATTTTATTATGTCAGTAAGCTTATATAATGAATCAAATTAAATATTTCAGCTTCCAAGATAATATTTTCTTTAAATAATACTCAATTTTTACCTTGGATTATACTTCCAGCCTCCTTTTAATTTCTCCTCCCAGTGAACCCACGTTTTATTTTTCGGATCGACATAATATTCATAAATTGTATCCTTATTTGGGAAAGTTCCTTCCATTTCTCGTATAAAGTTGTCGATCTTTTTCCGTCCATCCTCATCAACGGAACAGCAGATAGACCAGATCATACAGAACTGGAACCATAACTCAACCATACGCACAAAATTTTCTGTATCGAATGGATCAACCTAGAAAAAAATGATTTACAAGTAGAGATCAGAATTCTGCCCTTCCCATTTGCCAATAGCTATATTTTGTATTAGGATTATAACTCACAAGTCACAACCAACCATAGGCTGCCATCCTAAAATTGGTCGCATCTAGGAAATAGCCTATCAAATTACGATATATATTTGTGACTAGCTCTAGCTAAAAGGGACGCATGGTTAAAAAAGGTAACTATATATAACTATAACGAATAAATAGATAAAATTGTGTGACATATATCATTATCTTTAAGAATTATCTTTTAAAAAGGGCCAAGATATTTAGCTTTCATGTTGGTAAATGTCATAATGTTAATTTTTAGAGAAAAAAAAGAGGCAATTGAAACAATTTCAGAAAAAAATTGTAACGTCCAACTTACCCCATTTTCACTGGTAGCCAAACAATCAAACAGTTTACAAAGGGACATAACTCCATTCAACTGTGACAGGGGAATTAACTCCTCACAGTTATGACGTATAAAGTCCATAACTTTAACGAGATATTTATCAAACAACCTTCGTAATTCTTCTACAAGTCCCTGAAATCATATCAATAAATAAATATATAAAAAAAAGTCATGTATTCTAATTCATAGAATTCAGTGATTTAAATTGACCCAATTTCTGTGTCGATCAAATGGTACAAAAAAACGGGATTCTGTGTACATATACAAGCCAAATAAGGTATTCAGTATCAAATGGCCTTAAATTACTTTATTCTGTTTGTAGTTTGACAAGATGTCTGTATTGATTGTGTATTATTGTACTGGAATATTTGAGTCTTAGTCTCACTTCTCCAATTTTAAATTAAATCATTAAATGGCTGAACCGTTTTAATCTGGTAGAAATCTTGAGAATTGATTATTATGTTAATAAATGTCTAATTAATAATTTATATAATATTTAAGTCCTAAAGAAAGACCTGCAATAAGCAGATTTAGCTCTTGAATAATGTATCTTTAATCTTGAAGAATGACAAACAATTAGTAAATTGGAGAACATACATGTAGTTTGACCAAGCATGCAGTCACCAAAATTTGAATGATTGACATTTTGAAGTGACCACTCACCTTTTCTGTTTTCTTGCTAAGCCATGATTCGATGAACGGCTGCCAGCCGAGGTCCTTGTAATCAGCATACACCATACCACAACGAGAAACAGTGGCGGGGGAGGCGACTGCAAGATCCTCGACCTCGAACAGCAATGATACCTGATCAGGCATCGAGATACGCTCACCATTAATCAACGTAAGAATTTTATTGTCGTCCATGACAGAGTTCATACTCTCAATCCACAATGTATCAACAGGTCCATCAAAAACAATCCATTTCTCTTCTGGTTTCTCATCTACAAACAAAACATATGAAATGTTACAAATTTATGCCCGAAGGCAAACCTTTCACTTAAAAATTTGGGAAGTCATTTGATTTCCGACGTATTTTATTTGGCTGAGATTAAAGATATGTTTTTCAAAGATGGCAATTTTCACTTCACTTTATTTACTCATTAAAATGTGATAGTATAAAAATTTGGGCAGTCAGTTGATTTTTGAAGTATTTTATTTAGCTGAGATTAAAAATATGTTTTTTAAAGTGGACAATTTTCACTTCACTTTATTTACTAATTAAAATGTGATAGTATAAAAAATTTAATAGTTCAAATTGTATCACCCTCTTCAATCAAATCAGATGTACAAAAAAAACCCTAAGTATATGTTTAACATTCTCATCTTCAGAGGATTCTATATAAAAAGTATACTCACCAGAACAAGTCTGTCTCATGACACTAGAGAGTATACCATCCGTCCATTCGTTAGTATTCAAATCAAATTCTCCATAAAGTTCACCTAATGACAGAGCTTTAGGATTGAGAGGATATTCCTGTTAATATAAAAAACACATTGAATACAAGCGGCTGTGACATTATGGATACAATACTATCAATCAGGATCCTTATTCTTGAAATATTTAAGAATGGTGTCTTTTCATTGGATAAGAGCTCAAATTTGTACTGTAATTTCTATTCTCAGCCAATGAAAATGTTGAATTCTTAAAATATTTAAGTTTATTTTTTTAGAATAAGGCGGCGTGATTTGTCAAGTACACTGACAGATTAAGGGTTTTTTTTGTCCCATCCGAATGACTCAGCCTCCCTCCTTGTCAGCCTATGACCAATGAAAAATCCTGAATTTTCTTCTTTGCCCGCGCCAAGATTTGAACCTGTGATATTCTAGCCACAATTCCAGTACCACAGACCTGCAGCTCTTCTCAATGAAAACAGGGGGTAATTTATAAATAGCATATTGGACATTAATCCATCACATGTATAAATTCTATTATTGACTTACTTTAACTTGTTGAAATCCTGGTACGGCTTCCTTCCTATCTTTATCTGGTTTACTGAGTCGCGTCATGGCATTCTGTAAAGTCTTCCACGCCACCGTTTTACCAGACTGGGTATTCCCGACTATCATTACGGAGTGACGTGATGTCTTCGTCTCGTAAAGTTGTATTATTTTGGTGACTGTATGATTGTTGATTTGTAATTTGGTTTCAGCCAGTTCCTTCTCTATAGCTCCTTTCATCTATGAAAATAACAGAGCAATATCAGAATATGGCAATGAAATGGGTTTTGAAATAGTGGTCTGAAACCTTATAAAGTGTGTTTTATCAAAAAGATTTACTTCCCATTAAAAATATATTACTAATAAAAGGGTTAAATCCTAGAAGAATTCTGGGATAGTGTAAGATGGCTGTTAGGCCTTCTGCTTGCCTTAAACAACCCTAGCCATCTTGTTGCCTATACAGACATAAAATGAATGGGGTTTAACGTCCTACTGTTCTGTACAAACTGGACTGCTGAAGACGGATGAGGGAAATTTGGTCCCATTAGCGTGGGGTCTTTAACATGTCTCATCCGGAAACCGCAATGGGTGGCCAAATGGTTTAATGTGTGCGCACTGGATCATAAGGTCTGTCATGAGTCGTTGCGTGGTTTCAATTCCCTGCTTGCACAGGTTTTTTCCGGGTCCTCTGGTTTCCTCCCACAGCTAAAGACCCATATGTTTGTGTTGAGTGGACGTTAAACCATATTTCTCTCTCTCTCTCTTTAGAATCTGAATATTTTTTTGTATGGCCTAAATATACGTACCATGGAATAATCTATCAGTGGTGTTTCGACTCCCGGGAATAAATCAGACATGATGGCGTTAAATAATGGTAAATCTACAGATGTTAACTTGGCTACATTCATATCTTTCATCGATAATAGTAGAAGCTGAAATATAGTTTTAACAAACATAGGATTTATTAAATACCATCAAATGATTACATTTTCTTCAAATATCAAAATATAAGCATGCTAAAACAGAAACATTAAATCAGGAAATTAATTATGCTTGGAAAAAGAATTCAATTTGAAAAATTTCAGTGCAGATGAAAAATGAAAATGAATGGGGTTTAATGTTGTATTGT